AGAGAGAGAGAGAGAGAGAGAGAGAGAGAGAGAGAGAGAGAGAGAGAGAGAGAGAGAGAGAGAGAGAGAGAGAGAGAGAGAGAGAGAGAGAGAGAGAGAGAGAGAGAGAGAGAGAGAGAGAGAAGGAAAATGACAGAGCCGGCTCTCGTGGGAGGGTGCCGGCTCTCATCGTTCACTTCAGAGAGCCGGCTCTTTGTACCAGCTCGTTCGCGACCGACACATCACTCGTACCCGATTGTTCTCCGAACGTGGTAACGAACGCAAGCCTTCCGAAACGGTGGCATCCCCCGAAGAGCGAGCTAAAAGTGGGCTATAATGCTCTTAGCGAGCTCTGAACAAACAATGGCTTTAAGTTGAAGGCTTTCATGCACTTTTCGATCTGTAGAGGCCGTCTGGGCTCTTTTGTCTCGGCGCACGCCATCTGTTCGCCGCATTAGCGACGGCTTTAACAACACTTCGAGTCTCCTCCTTTCGCCCAGGATCAACTAAACCCAACATCGACGAGTCTTGCCGTGTTTATTTTTTGCGGGCTCGCCGAGTTAAGAACATTACAGTGTGTCAGTTGAGCCCAACCGGTCTGGTTGACCGGCGACGTCATCGCCTCCGCGTCTGTTCCCACTTTTTGGGAGCAACATAACGGCGTTCGCTCGGTCGGAGAAGTCATCCAGGATGCTCGCCTCTTGCCCCGCAGTCTGTCAGCCGTCGCCGCCGAAACTTGGTCTGCACGTGAAGAGTGATCTGGGCCATGTTGGCACGAGCGATGCTGTTCAAGAGAGCGCAAGATGACTCTGAAGCTGGAATTGCCAAATGAGTCTAAGTGTTGCTCGTGGTTCGCTTGAAGGTAGCTTCAGGCTAACGCCAGTTAGCCCTCTTCGCCTTTTGACTTGAGGCAAAATGGAAAGTAACTTTCTGGAACCGTCTGCCATTTGCTTCCAACATTTTCAATTTTCCTTTATTACTGGCTCCGTTTTTAAATGATATGCATGCATTTTCTGTCGGCTTTGTTTGCATTTTAATGCGTTCTCGTTGAACCGTACGAGTTCCTGATAGCTAACAATGCGTTGTCATGACGACCTGACTGAAGCGGCAGGTGTCCGGGACCACCCCCACGAGATGGATTCAGTACGTTGTTTTCAAAACTTGAAATCATGTTCTTATGTTCTGTCTAAGATCGGACTCCAGTAGGATGTCAACATTTGCCGGTAAGTGTGCTTAATTCCTCACCCTGAACAACACCACTGAAATGGCTCATTGAGTGTGATAGACAGGCTCAAGCGAATATCCCCATTATTAGGTACAGTTGTACAACGAATGACATTCGACATAAGAGCTGTCAACGTTTTTTTCAACGCAAGGAATATAATGTTCCAGCCACGAGGTTTTAGTTATTATACAAATAGTTTTATTTTTGGAAAGTGCACTATCAAGATTATGTCTTCTTTTTCAGACATAAACAAAGCAGAAAGAGCAACTGCAACACTTTGAATGACTGACCAATAAACACACCAAGAGCGTTTATGTGAAAAGCTTTTGAAATACCAGTCGAAGTAGTGTTTGCTCAGTACTAGTTGTCTTTCGACCTGTACTGATATTCAACTTATTTGGGTGTACCGCCAAAGCACGTTGCGACCAGCTCGTTTGCGGCCAAATGCTGAGCTGTTGTGTTTGTTTACGGACTCACTGATATTCAAATTATTTTGGTGTACACGACCGCCAAAGCACGTTGCGACCAGCTCGTTTGTGGCCAAATGCTGAGCTGTTGTGTTTGTTTACGGACTAGCTTGTGTAGCTAGTACCTGAGCGCTTACGTTTCCTGTGCCTTACCTAACATGTTCCACATGGGAGACAAACTACTCTGCATCGTTGTCACATTTGGAACTTTTCTTCATTAGCTGAGCTGATGAGCCGGCGCGCCCGCGAGCAGCACCAGCAGCGCCTCTTAGTTCTCAACTTGCACCTCCTGGCCAACCCCGGAGACTCTCTGCTGCTGCAGCACAGCCTGGACCGTCTAATCCGCTGGATCTGCCCGAGCCTCCACGTTTTTCACGTGTCTGAGAGGGCTTCTCCCCACGGCGGCTACGCTCGGCTCTGTCCAGAGACTGGTAGGGTCCTTCCTGAGCTCCTGTGTCAGGAGTCTTAAAACCAAACCTCTCGCTTGCTTGTTTTCATGAACTTTTCATTGCAGGTATTATACTGTGAATGTTTTTTTTTTTTTTTCTCCAGGCTCCCCTTCCCTTGCCATCACTTTCTTTCTCCACGAGGCTTATGGAGAAGAGCGAATCCTGAAAGTTCTGGACTTTTTCCAGCGGCCGCCGTGGCAGTACCACCACACGGAGAGCTGCAGCAGCAAATCGGCCGGGCTCCACACTTCCTCCGGCAGCTCGGCCGTCAACGCCCTGTTGCGGCCCTACCTCCTGCCCAGTCGGGATTTTTACAGCCTGGGCGCGGGGATGCCCGTGTGGGGCGTCCGACCGGTGCACTGCGGCGGGGAGATCCTCCGCGTGACGCTGTACAGCGCCTACGACAACTACGAGGACGCCGTGCGCTTCTATGAAACGGTGCTGCAGCAGCAGGCCGAGGAGCAGAAGACGGGCTTCTGCTGGTTCACCCTCCACACGGGCAAGACGCCGCATTCTTCACACTATTTAACGACAGCCGCTTGGATATTTTGTTTCATGGCTTTGTTTTGTTTCGTGCTCCGCACAGAGCCGGGCCTCTGCCTGCAGCTCGCAATCAAGCAGGTGTCAGCGGGGGTCTGCGTGGAGCCGTGTAACTCCGCCGTGCTGCAGTTCAGCGTGGATGAAATCGGCCAGTTGGTCCCCCTGCTGCCCAACCCGTGTACGCCCATCAGCACGTCTCGCTGGCAGACCGAAGACCTGGATGGAAACAAGGTTCTCTTCCAGGTTGGTCACCCGCGAGTCACGAGCGCCTCACAACTCGGTTATCAAAGTACACTCAGACAAAAAAAAAATAATCCATGTTTTTTGGTAGTTTTATTCGAAACATGTTCACATTTTGTGCGTTAGAATAGTGAATTACAGGATATCTGGTAGGTTTTTTTTTTTTGAAGGCTTTAGTAAAACACTTTCCACTTGTGTGTGGAGCAACCTTGTTGAGTTACTTGCGGTTGGAGTTCTTCAAGGTGAAATTGTTATGTGAATGTAGCGCTTGTGGTTATTTTGTAAATGTAGAATTTTTTAATGTGGGTCTTGATTTGGAGCAGATTGGAGGGTGCGTAAGTACCTAATATTGTGAATACATAATACAATATCCTATTTATTTTACGATGGCTTCAGTCATATTTTGAGAAAAAAAAAAAAACTTAAACGTCTCTTCAGGCTCTCCACCTGTTGTTAAAATCAGCTCCATCCTTTAGTAAAACAGATCATTAAATTGTACCTCTGAAGTGAGATTATTATTAAATATAACCAGCATTTCATGCTGCTTTACGTGTTTTCTGCCAGAAAATTATATGGCCCTTATTTTAAGAAGGCGACGATATTCAACAATAAATTGCATGAAAACATCAGTGTTTCATTTTAACATTAACATAGCAACACCCTCCTTCAAAATAGTTTTATTGAATTTATTGTAAGTTTTAAAGATAAAACTGTTAAGCGTGTGTGTGTGTGTGTGTGTGTGTGTTTGTCAATGGGATGATCTTAAAGCTGTCAAAGATGTCATGTGCTGGATGCGTGTTTGTTAATTCTGTTGTTTTGCTCGCTTATCCTGTTTGAAAAGCCCCAAACTCGTAATCCCTCTATTCCATCTGCGCTGCAGGTGAAAACCCAGACACAAGCCAAGCCACCTTTGACCTGCGCTTTCCCCCTCACCTCCACCGTGCCTCCCCGGGCCATGCAGCTGAAATGCGGAGGACACACCCAAAACGTATCGCCTAGCAACCTCCAGGCTCCGCCATCCTGGCAAAACCGGTCCGCAGGCCTGAGAGTCGCCGGTGAGAGCGCTCCGGAGAAGCCACCGGGGAGCCAAGGATCAGGTAGCCTCTGCAGCACTCCCCCAAGCAGCTCTTGCTACTCTTCCCAACGCAGCAGCCCAGCCCCGCCGCCTTCCTCCGACTCCCCCCTGCGTCCCCCGCTCACCCGTTCGCTGTCCCGCCTACTGCCGGAGGAGAACGAGCAGGAGGGGGAAACCAACGTGGACACGGGGATCCCCGTGCCCGCCGGCATCACTCGCTCCTCTTCCGTGGAGCTTTTGAGTTTGTGTCAGCCGCGGAACCCCTCGGCCAAAGCGCGGAGCCCCTCCAGGAAGTGGCGTCCCTCGGATTGCGCCGACGACGTCAGCAATTTCAGAGCGCGCCGCACAACGGATTCCTCTTACAATGAGACGAGCGGCGCCGCCGTGGAGCTTTTTGTCAAGATGCCGTCATCACTCGCTAATGCCGAGGAACAAGCCGACGAGTTCTTCATCTGAAGCCGCCGGAGAAAGCCACACGAAAGTCCAGCTGGGGGTAAAGTGCCACTTTTGACATATTCCGTGACTTGTTGCTCTGACTCAGACTCGTAAATGCCACATCAGAAACATAAGTGTAAATATTTGTCCCAAGGGTACAGAGAGCAGTGGACATTGTGTAGTTTTATTTCAATGTTATTGTGTGAATGTGCCATGCGATTGATGGGCGACCGGTCCAGGGTGTCAACCTTGACTTGCTTAAAGTCGGCTGAGATATGGTCCTGCTCAGCCGCAGGCCGCGACCCCGATGAGGGTAAACGCTGTTACTCAAATATCGTGGGCCATTAGAACGCCATAGAAGATAGGTGGATGAATAGTTCTCTAGTTCCAATGGCTTTGTATATCGACACGCAACTAATGTGTTATTTTGTGAATAGGAAATATTTTATTTGCTCGTAAAATTTAAAAAAACATCAGCACAGAAGCTGCGTTATTGGAATTGATTCAACGTAGCAAATCCTTTCCAGTAGGATTTATTTTTAACACCGAACAAATTCTGTTTGTATATTTGGGAGAAATGTGTACCGTACATTGTTGTGGACAAATATTACACCCGATGACCAAACTTTTGTGGTGTGTAATAAATTGTATTTCAAAATGAGCTGTTGGAAGTGGTGGATAAATCCACTTTTTATTTGGTATCACAAGTTAATAGCACAACTTGAGTTTTATGACTAATGATGTCAAACATTGTTTGCTGTCTTGTGCCCGTACATTAATCACAGTGTTTTCAAAGTGCTGCATCTTGGGCCTTATTCATTATTTTAGTACTGTTCGCACTTAACGTTTGCTAAGTCGTTTCCAACTCTGCATCAAAAAGGCTAATATTATACATGTTCCTCCAATTAAAGGCTTTCGAATAACTGTGTGATATCGTTGTTGCAACGTGTTCTTGTGCAGTCCACACTATTGTTCAAACATGGCTACAATTGCACATCTTTATGCAGTACTGTACCGTATTGGCCTGAATATAAAACAGTGTTTTTTTTCATTGAAATAAGACTGAAAAAGTGGGGGTCGTCTTATATTCGGGGTCTAGACATTATACCCATTCACGACGCTAGATGGCGCCAGATACAATTGAAGCGAATGCTGAACTTGACTCCCTAGGCCAAAGCGAACCCCTGTCACGAAGAATAAAAATAAAAATAGCGGTAGCACGAAGAAGAAAAATAAAAAATCGTGGTAAGAAAGAAAAGAGAAGAAAATAACAGAAGAGATAACAGAAAATGGAGAAACGCAGCGACAATCTGGAGAAAAGTGGGTCGAAGATCGGCCAGGTTAACCGGCAGCTGAGGAGAAGTTATGATGTAATTTACATTTCAAAAACCAGAAGCCATTCATTTACGAATGTGATTGCACTTTAGTTTACATATTTAAATGTTCAGATATTAAGTTTGAATGAGGCTAAATAACATGCTTTTTCTCTCAAATATATTGTTGTAATCGTTTGTTTCAGATGTTCTGTAATTATTTTCTGTATAAAAATTTATTTGGTGTTCAAAAAGTCTTTTGAACAAAAGGGCCGTCTTATATTCGGGCCAATATGGTAATTCAACTTATCTTAGACCATTACTTCAAATGTTGTGTTGGAGAAATGTAAATCCAGCTTGTTGTTCCCCGAAGTCTTTTCATCCACAGGGGATCCCAGGTTTACAACGGAGTGCTGTTGCTATGGTGCCACACGTAAATATACAATCAAATGCACAATAAGTGTGGTGGTAGGTGAGCATGCCTTTTTGTGCTCATGCAAAAATTACTTTGCAGCTTTGCAACCTCCCAGAAAATAAGATAAAGAAGCACTGGATAACTAGCGCTCTCTTGCGCTGATTAAAGAATGTCATTGCCTTGAGGAGCTACACCACAACCAGTCCAGTTCAGCTCCTTGACCCACTGCCCCACCCTGGTGACTCGCACTTTTACTGGGTCAAACCTCCAGAAGTGGCGCTGCCTGAAAAGGTAGAGGCGCCCATCCGGACGACTCAGCGCCCCGTTGGTGCCCTGCGGTACACCGGTCCAGTCTTTCAGCTTGCGGGGATAGTAGGGCTCTCGGCGAAAGGTTTGCAGGTTGAAAACAAAGTAGCGGGAGCCCTTAAGTAGTACCATGTGACCCAAAGGGGCGTAGAAGAAGGCGCAGTCCGGGTGGCGAGGTAGGCCTATATCAGTGCTCTGCCGGGGGAAGCCTGCGTCAAGTACTTGGCCTGTGTAGCGCCAGATATGCTTCCCTGAAGGAAAAATAACAAGCACTCCATCCAAGCGTGCATAACAGCCACAATACCATCTCAACTGTATGATTAATCAAACAAAAAAAAAAAAAAAAACGAATACCTTTAAAGAAGTACCACTTTGCGTCTAGAGGCGAAAACGCGGCCGCCTCGATGGCCAACGGGAGGTCGGCCCAATGCTGACGGAGAGGCGACGCGCCACTCACGCGCCCCTCAGGTGACACACTCCAGTACACGCTGCCTCGGAACACCAGCACTGTCCCGTTCGGGTCTGGATTCAAGACAACAAAAACACTTAGGAAAGAAAGTGGCAAAGGCGGCTGCCTCCAGTGACCCTGGATAGAAAAATAAGTGTGTGACAGTGCTTTAGTAGTGTGTATAAGAGTGGTTTTAATCATGGACGCGGGCAAAAAAAAAAAAAAAAAGTGTGTCACGTGTGTTTCAGTATGCTGGGTGATTCAAAATGATGTCACTTAAATAGTGTCCCGATAGAGGGCGCAATGAGATTGCAAGTAGGGGTGTTGTCTAAAAATAGGAACGGAATGCAATTACGTGCAAATCATTTTCAAAGACAAGATGTTTCGACTGATAAACTCGTTTTTTTGGGGGGGTTTGTTTTGTTTTTGGGGGCAAATACTGACTCATTTTGAATTTGATGGTGAGCCATGGGCACGTTGAGCACACCTCTCCTCAATAAACATTTGGGAAGTTCGCCATGTCATGGGGACTAACACACCCCCATACCATCACGGATGCTGGTTTTTGAACTTTGCACTCATACCAATGTGGCTGGTCCTTTTACTCGCTGGCCTGGAGGACACAACAGCAGCCAGGATTTGACAAAACTAATTTTCAAATGTCGACTCCTAAGACCACAGCACACTTTTCCACTTTGCGTCAGTCCATCCTAGATGGAAATTATTTCTGAGTGTTGCTGACGTACGACTTTTGCTTGATATGAGTTTTAACTTACATTTGTAGATGTTGAGATGAATTATGTTAACTGACAATGGTTTTCTGAAGTGTTCCCGTCCCGAGCCCTCCATCTTTTAAGAGGTTGAGGCCAATTTTTATTGCAGCGCAGCCTGGTGGAAGTGTTTGGCCTTTCATGCAGAGATTTCTCTAGATTCTAGAAATCTTTCGATGATATTATCGATTATCCATACTGTTTAGAATTAAAATGAGACCATAATAAGACACTTGACCTTGTGAGTTGCCCCATTAAAACCACGCTTGAAACAGATAAATGTCTCATTCCGAGTCATGACTCACCCGCGGTGATGGCATCAAACACGCCGGAGTGGCAGTAGAGAGGTAGACCGCTGCTCTTGTCGGACATGTGGACGTCCATGAACTCCCACTCCTGCAGGGCGGCGTGCAGCACCTCACCCGGCAGTCGCACGAGCCGATCGCCGGGCGGTTTACCTGAACCATGGCGTGAAAGAAGGACAAAAAATGCATCAAAAGCAGGAAAAGGGCCCCCCACCCCTGCTCACAGGCTGGATTGTCCTCTCACAGGTAGAGAGGTAAGGCAGACTCGTCGCTGGCTGAGCGATTGGTCTACTGACTGATCGTCCCCACCACACCTCCAAATTGTGTATGCCGATTTACAGGACCGGTTGTGATATTCTACTGATGTTGTTCACCAGAGCATAAATAAAAAGTCCAAACAAAACAATCGTCTGTTCTTTTACCCTGTGCAACCGGGAAGTCAGCAACACACACACACACACACACACACACACACACACACACACACACACACACACACACACACACACACACACACACACTTGGTGTTAGGGCGTTTGGGGTTTGGACGATTGGGGTTAGGGCGATTGGGGTAGGGGGTTTGGGTGATTGGGTTTGGGGAATTGGGGTTAGGGCCTTTGGGGTTTGGGCGATTGGGATAGGGGGTTTGGGTGACTGAGTTTGGGGGGTTTGGGCGATTGGATTTTGGGGGACTGGGGTTAATGGCGTTTGGGCAATTGGGGTTTGGGCGTTTGGGGTTTGGGCGATTGGGGTTAAGGCATTTGCGTTTTGGGCGTTTGGGGTTAGGGCGATCACACACACAAACACACAGGCTGTCGTAGATTCTCATTGCCTCTTATGTGTGCCTCATTACTCGTCGCGCATGCACACAAACATAGCTGGAAGCAGCTGTAACATGTCCACAGCTGTGCTTCTCGTCCTTGTCAGTTTACATTCACATGGAAGCAGCTGCGGTGTGCACGCGGGATGCCGTGCACACGCTACAACTAGAAAGTGAGAATCAACTCGATGCTTTTTGTCGTCAGCTGGATTGCACCTGGGCACAGACTTAACCACACACACACACACACGCCCAGGTGAACTGTTTAGGCACTTGAAGAAAAGATGTGAGATGTCTCGGCTTGTTTTAAACAACATGACAGTGGGAAGAAAATAATTGCACCTCACCAGGAAGTGGTTTTGTGCGTTGTCTGTGAATGAAATAGGAGTGAACATGTTGATGACTGTGTTGTGCACAAAATGTCGGGTGGCATGCTCACGAGCATTTTTTGGAAGTAGACATCAGGAGATCGACACGTTTTATTTTTGAAAGCAATTTTTTACATTTTAGGCAAAAATCGGTGCTCGACGAACGACATATTTTTCTGTGATGGCGACAACACCGTTGTCTGCATGCGAAATTTTTCAGAGGACCAAAGGGGGAAGACGTGCGATTCGTTTGTTGTTGTAACCTAAGCATACACTGACCGAGCCACGGCGGGACCCAAAGCGTGAAACATCATCTCACCGTACAGCTGCTGCACGGCCAAGATGTCATCCCAGCTCATGACCAGACTGCGGCCCAGCTTCCTGTAGTACGGCGACATGAGCGCGTGACGCACGGGCGAGTGCTCCAAACCCAGAGTGTGTCCGATCTCGTGGGCCATCACCATAAAGAGATTATGGCCCTTATGTCCGTTTAGGGTCCACCTTTCCGCCTTGTCAAAATGGGCCTCCCCTCGGCGGGGGAGGAAGGCGTGAGCCAAGGTTCCGCCTGAAAGGCACAGAAACGATACAAGTCACATTTTTCGCCCTCTCACGTCACCTCTCAACGCACATAAAGAGAATGTGTAATGAGATCAGAGCAAATTAAAGTAGACGCGTTTAAATTGGAGGATTTTCTTTGGAAAATTCAAACTGCAGTCAAAATAATTTGAGAAGTAGGTCACCTACTTGTTATCTTTCTAAGGACAAATTACAGTTTATGAGGACATGCTGTGTCTTCTGTCTTAAATTTATATATTAGAGCGTTAAAGAAAACAAAAGCTTTTGTATTATTTTATTGCCTCACTCAGTGAGAATGAATAACGAATAATAATTTCTCATGTGCCGTTGCAGGCTGGCTGGGACTAGAGTTTGGTCATGCAGGGGTCTGTTTTTGTTCCATCCATTGATTGTCTGATCGGCTTTATCCTCACAAGGGTCGCAGGTGGTGCTGGAGCCAATCCCAGCCGTCTTTGGGCAGTATGCGGGGGACACTCTGAACCGGTTGCAGGCCAATCGCAGGGCACACACAGACGCACAACCATCCGTGCTCACACTGACACCTCGGAACAATTTAGAGTGTTCAATCAGCCTGTCATGCATGTTTTTGGAATGTGGGAGGAAAAAGGAGTACCCGGAGAAAACCCACGCAGGCCCAGGGAGAACATGCTAACTTGCCACAGGAAGGCCAGAGTCAACCTCTGCACTGTGAGGTCGGCGCGCTAACCACTAGGCCACCGGGCTGCGTCTGTTTTTGTTATTTATTTATTCATTTATTTAATATGTGAGGAGTTGGGATCCGATACCTGCACCAGATGTTAATGTTAAGTGCCTTGAAATAACGTTTGCTCTGAACATAATTACAACGGGCTATATTGCACAAAATGAAAATTCTGAAGACAGGAAATTCCCTCCACTGCAGACATTCTAATATCGACCCTTGGCAATTATCACGAGGAAATTCACTTTGTCCCAAACCTGGTCCGTCAAAGGCGTTGCCAGCCCCGTCATTGTGGTCACCCTCGTAAAAGGCCAGACGGATGTCTGCGGGGCCTTGGGGGGCCTCCTGGAACGCCAGGCCTGACACATTGCTCCACACCTGGAAAGCGGCGCTCACTGCCAGTCGCACTGAGCCCAGAGACAGGTGGCTGGGCCAGTTCACTATCTGGTAGGCCAGGTGACTCTTGTACCACTTGTCAGCTACAAACACACACACACACATGAAATGAGCCATGCAAGTGTTGACCTACTAAGCACAAAAACTGGATAAAATGACATATTTTCAACTGAATACACATCACATCAATGCACAAGTCAATCGACTTCAATCCTATCATCTAACAATAATTTTGTACTTTTCACGTTTTTACATGATCATTTTCACATGATAAGTATTGCATATTTTACATTGTAAAGATCATGTTTTTACAGGAGAATTATTACGTTTTTACATAGGTGTCATGTTTTTACATGATACGGTTTTGTGGGGGTTTTTTTGTTTGTTTGTTTGTTCCTGGTGTGGCAACAATCTGCTTCCATAGGTTTACTCTTGATCTCATCTGGACTTTGACTCTGACTTTGTGGACTCTGACTTGGACTTGATAAAGAGGAACTTGACGACAGCCTCGCTAAAGATTGCTCTCTTGTTTTCATTTGCAGCAGGCTAGACTGTGCTTTCATCTTGTAATTCCATCTATTGACTGTTGTTTTCGAGCAGAGCCACGCCTTGTAAGTTCAAATGATACATTACCCGTAAAAGCTAACTAAACGTCTCAAACTAACAACCAGGATGAGTACAGGTCAACTTGCCTGTGGGGTTTTTACGGCTCACGCCTAGCGCAAGCGCGTGTGGTCATAAACATACCCAAACACTTGTTTATGGATATGCAGAAGTGGAGGAAATGCAGTACGCATTCAGCTGCTGTTTAATTGACACAAGTTACCCTGCGGTGTATACACAGGAATACACAACGCGTCGATCTGCAACCGGAGCAAACACACAAAGGCAGTTAGGCATGTAGTACACATCCACAGCACACAGACACAGCGGCTGCATGACAGGAAACGAGCTTTAGATACCTTTGGAACATTCAATATTCAGATACTTAAGTCTTGAAATGTTTTTTCCAAGGTTGATGTGTCCACTGAATGTGGTTCTGGCAGTTGTCAAGTGAGAGAACCGCATGACGTAACCAAGAGTGAGGATAAACACAGTCCTGCTTTATCTTCGTGGAGGCTAATATTAGAATGACCTCATTCAAGTAATGACAGGCTGAAAGTACGCCATAACCAAAACACGTTCATACTCACTCCACACTTTTTTAAAAATTCTCATTGATTTTTTTTTTTCATGCAGGTTTGCGCTCGAGTGAAATGAGCGCACGCGAAAAGAACAGCATCCTGTGCGACTTTAGTTTGTGTCACCTGCCCAATGTCTACTGTGCATTTTCTCAATAGTAGCAGCTTAGCTGGAGCCCATCCAAATGTGGGGGAAACACCGAAGGCATAGCCAGAAAATTTTCAGTGGGGTGGCCAGCGTGATGCGACGACTCAGTGAGGAGCGGCCGTGCATGTGTCCATCTTTTTTTTTTCATCACAGTTTCCTATCACACATGCATGTAAAAGACAATCAAAAGATTGTCATCTTAATGACAACATATGGAACAAACTGTATTAAAGAACAAGAAAAAAACTTACCAAGTTAAAGCAAAAGTAGGAAGGGGGGAGGGGGGGAGTACATGATGTATGATTTCAGTCCAGGGGCCTTCTCTCTCACTGCTCCATAGTGAGAAGGTCCCTGTGGACAGCTGAGAGGCCAGGAAGTTCGATACGTACAACATTCCTCCACTTCCCTGATGGAAGCAATTGCAATGATGCCCAGTGTAGCGTCGCTGTGGTTATCTCAGGCATTAGGAAGTGACTGCGATGAGCAGATAACAGGAGTTATTGTTTGTAAAGAAGCTGACGGGGTTACGAGTGCTGAAGACAACGGTTGACACGTGTGAACTTAAGTTATTTAAAAGAAAGAGGACTCAGGGGGAAACGCCATGCTGAGAAAATTTGCTTTTAAAGGCTGTTAACCTCAAAATGGGCTTGCCATCTTCGGCTTTAGGCTCTATAAAAATGTACAGAGGTTCTGTTTTGGGTTTTTTTTTTGTCCGGTGTACAATGTGCTTCTCATTCAATGATTTTCAGTTCAAAGGAATTAATTCCAAAGTATTACGCAGTCAGATTCCTTGAATGCAGTGTTACAGGACACATTGTTTTGCGGCAAAAAGTACTTTCAATCTGTAAGTATTTTTAAAAGCAAATACTTCTTTCCTTTAAAGTTCATCCGAATTTGACTAAGCGACTTTTATTTTGAATTTGGGTAACATTTGACCATGAGGATCTGTACTTCGGCTCAAGCACTGGAGTTGTGTACTTTGTGACTAAAAATTGTCATTCTTTTTTTTTTTTATTATTATTTCAAATCGTACATAAAGTGTTGACAAAGGCTCATTGTTGCCCACAGTGGGCACAAAAATCAACTTTAAACGGGACAAACTGAACGAATGGCTGGATGGACTAATTTACAAAAGGTTGCATCTGTTGAATGAAATTTATCTCCAATCTACTCAAATGGTGTGAAATTCGCTTTGTGATACAAAAGCAGGGCAGAGGTTAAACGGTGTTACGACATGGCACCTGTGAAAAATATACGGTAGTTGCACGCATGCATACAGCCACCACTTTGGTAGCACTTATCAAGAATGTGGGTGGTGGAATGTCAGCTCTGTAAATATTAGTGGGAACGTCCGTCACAACACACATGTCAAGGTTTGTTTTGATACATGCTCAGAAGCGGTGGGAGCAGTAAATGCATTGCAAAAGCGAGTTGAGCACTCATATTGGTATTTATCTGAAGAAAAAAAAAGTGGGATTGAATGTTAATAATGTGGGATACAAAGCGGTGTTTTCAATATATACTAATAAAGGTTATGTGCCAACCGCCCATGTACATCCCAGAAAATGACAGAAACTGTGGCTACAGACCAACATAATTGGACTGAGGCCATAGTGCAGGAGTACCACGGCGGTTTTCAATGGCGAGCTTCGAGGCTGATTGCGCATTATCGCCGTTCTGTATTGATTTATCAAATACATTTAGCAAAATAAATACGCCGCTTCTCCTCGTTTGAGCGCAGCGTTCAGCGAGTTGCGGGCGCGTTTGCCAGACGGAACATGTCAGGTACCAACATGACGCGGCAGGCGGCACACGTCAGCCGTCGGTGCATTCCCCAAACGTCAACCAACTTTTCATGTGACAGTGAGGAATGCGTGACGTGACCCATCACAAGGCTGCGTGGGGCAAGCAAAGGGAAACCGCTGGTCTGGAGGGCAACCACACTCCCACCCTGGGGGAGAAGGAAAGTCATTCCAAGGCATTCTCATGAGAAAGTACCTGGGAGAAAATCCACATAAGCAATGTATGCGTCTGAATATTGAGGAGTGCAATCATCACAAATGTCATTTAAAGTGCTCTAAACTAGCGACGCAGGACTTCATTATTTCAAAGCGTCTGCAAGAAATTGAGCATTTCGGGGCCGTTCCTAACTGCCGTTCAACATGGCGGTGTTTAGCCACGTTAAATTGCACTGAGTTTTCCAGCCATAAATACTTTTACAGCTGTGTTTGAAGCCGAACATTAGGATAGTACCCTAAAGGCCTGTCTAAAATCTACAAAAAAGCACTAAGAAGCAAAATCAAAGTGCTGTAACAGGCAGACAACCCCTGGAATACTGTGAAAACTATTGTAAGGTGCGATCTTTGTTTTTTTTTCTTTCTTTCTTTTTTGTGCCATAATCTGCATGATTTTTACCCCTCAAAAGACAATACTTGAAGATCTGCGACAATAAATGCCAGAGAATCTGGCATCCGACAAATGCAACGCGAGACACCGGACCATCTTTTATTACAACCCTCAGCTCGTTTAAGTGATTTTAGTTTACCAAAAGGTGGACCCTCCCTGTTAAATACAAAGTGAGACACCGGCGCACAGCATGCACGCACCCATTACAGCCGGCCGGCTGAACCAAGACAAAGAAGGCCCGCATCTATGATGCACATTTGAAACAAACAAACACGCAACCTTTTATGGCAGAGCGCTTCCTGCGGCGCCAAGACGGTCCTCCTGCAGAACTCCTGGCAGTGAAGATGATGTTTACCCTCTGGGCCCACACCTGCTGGCTGCCCTTGTCCGACACGCCGCAGCGCGGCTCGGCCATCTGCCTCAGGGTGGCGCTGTCTAATTCACCTGTCATAGGTAGGCGAGACAACCGCTGGAATTTCCTAAAAAGAAGGCAAATGTTTGGATTAACGGCGCATTCCTCACACACATTTTTGAGATGCCATTTTGAACACGATACATTGGGAATAGTGGTTAGCATGATATAGCTCTGCGAATCTGGGTTGGAATCTCAGCTCCTGCCTTACTGTGTGGACTTGGCATGTTTTCCCTTTTCTTCAAAGAACACGCGTGGAACATTCATTCTAAATTGTCCAAATGGGTAAATGGGAGTCTCGGTAGAGATGTGTTTTTATTTTGTTCTTTATTAAAGGAGGGACAATGCAGTCAAACATCCCAGTACTTAACAAGCTTGCAATTGATGTGATACATATACAGGTAGTTCATAATTAGTGGTAATTTTCAACTCCTGTCCTCAGTTGGGCTCTGCCACAACATTGCCGGTTATAGTAGGTGTTTATTTAAAAAATAAAACGTGCCCTATAATTCAATAACGCATTAATCAAAACTAGAGTTATTTGAAACCGTCATTCACAATACCACACGGTAGACACTACTTACAGGGGATTCCAGTTGTCATTTTTTCTTGAACTAGGTTTTAGTTCTGGTGGTGAGCATTTTAAAATCTATTTTTAACGCCCTTTTTGTTTAGTGTTCCATAGCATTTTTCTGATGTAAAATATGCAAAGGTTGGGAAACAGATAGCATATAAAACATATATTTCAGACAAAGTTGTTCTTTGGGAGAAAATAAAAAGATATTTAGGTCACAATGCTGCTTAATGATTTTACATGGAGTCCAACTGTCAAGCTTTACACACAGACAACAAAATGGCCGTGCAGGGATTTAAATTTAATAAACTGAGAGACTGATATGAAAATGTTAAATCCAGGGACACGCAGTGGCATGGTGCAAATGAACACGCCCTGCAGCCAAACATCAATTGCATAGTTTGACTAACTGGGCCTAAGTTAAGCCTACTTGTGGGCATGTTCAATCTTTTTCCATTACTATACTGGCAAGCATGCAGGTTGGAAGGCGAGGTTGAGGCTCCTGAAATTTCTGGATGATTCAGGGAGGGTTCAGGAGAGGTTTGTGGTTTAGAGGTGAGTGAGGGACCTTGGGGGGCCTTTTACCAAGCCAAGCCTCCACCCACTGATGAACACAGGGTACCATTTGGCTCTCACCGCCGCAAATAAAATCTGTCACATTACGTCATGGTTTTGTGGCTTTGACAAAGGGAACTTACTGGATTGCTGACTGCATCTCAACTGCATTGTGGATTAAGTGGTCATCATGAAGGTAGCCATATTTTTCCAGAAATGCCTGCAATTGATATCATGATCATTAAGCGTGGAAGCATGCAAACACAATGTACTGTATGACATGATGATTTGTAATAATCATAGTGCTTGGTCAGACCCTAGCACAGGCTCTGTGATTACAGATATGTTTTAAGGTGGAAAATTAAAAAATGAGGCAAAGCAGAAATGAATGCGCAATATAAAAATTCCTGTCTGTTTACACGCAAAGAATGATGCCACGGGGTATTGTTTAATGGACGGGGAGAAGTAACGTGCAGCAGTGTAAAACCACAACAGAGATGAGGATTGAAAAACGAAATCCAAAGTCTACACATCCCTATTGAAATTGCAGGTCCTTGTGATAGAAAATGAAACCAAAATACAATAAATCATTGCAAAACTGTCACCATTAATGTGACCTGTAACTTGTAGAACTCAACAGTATTTAAAACAAATGTATTTTTTGAAACGGAAAGTAAAAATATATATACAGGTACTGTATAACATTGCGTGAGTGTAACCATTTAAATTTTTACTCGTGAAATGAGTCAGCGCACACCTGCCACCATTTAATTCCTCTAACAGCAAATAAAATTCTGATATTCTTGTAGACCATAGCTTGACACGGTTTTTTTTTTTTGCTTTCTACCAGAAGGCGCAAAGTTTCAAGCGGAGGAAGAGGAGCGAGCAGTGACAACATAAATAGACCGACATCCCCAGTGAGGGAAATTAATGTATTATAAATCCGTGAGAACAGAAAGTTTCCCTAACCCCCTTCTTAAACATGTTGACTATATCAACAAACAAGGCAAAAGGAGCATATACATTTCCTGTGTTGGGGGCGGTGAGGTAATTAAGACCCAGGAGAGCTCCAAAATTGTAAACAGCGTACAAAACAACATCACACAAATCTCACTCATTCAGAAACGATGAAAGTCGACCAACTTCAGCCATAGACCTCAAAAAGGCAATGTAGTGGTTCTAAGGTCAACAGTTAAGAGAGTAAATCAACAGTTAAGAGAGTAAGTACCTGTGGGTCGAGCAGCGGAGAGCCGCAGGCAGCGCGGGCGCTGATCAAACAGGTCGCAGCCAGGACCCAGACGGGCTTCACGTTGCTTGCAGCCCGGTACCGGTTCATCGTGGAGCGGGGCCCGCGTTGGCACACGGAGCATTACTGGACTTCAGACGGACCTCTCATGACAACAGCGGTTGTCCGGCCACAACCAAGCGCACAACTGCGTTTCTGGCTAAGCGTCTCCATTGCCGATGAGCAGTGACTTTAGCAAGCGTCGGGTTAGGCGGGAGACGGCCCCACCCCTCCCCGTCCCGAGACGACGTATATCAACCCTTGTACAGTAGTTGCACTTCCTTCAACCCAAACTACAGGTATCTTAATATTGTTGTCGCTAACAAAACAGTTGATCGGTTTGTGTAAATTCTGAGTTCCAGGTTTACAATCAATTAACTTTTTCAAGATTTCCATTTTCTTCACAGTAATTTAAAGCATTTAGACTACATAACACAAAACGAAAGATCACAGTTTAATATTTGTTGGGGGAAGAGAAACAAAGTAAAACATTTTATTCCGTTCATACAAAACAATGGTATGAAGTCTACCACACATCTGCAACCAGGACAGAAAATTAAAAGATGTACAAATAAATGAAACAAATTCATTTGAGCACATGCCACAGCCAGTGAGTCCTTGTCATAGTACAAACTGTCTCACATATAGTGAATAATATTCTTGACTTGCAGCAGTTGATGAAAAATGGGGACAAGTCAAAAATGTCTGTTTTATCCCACTTTGACAAATCTCTGTCTATGGGGGACTCTGTGGCTGTAGTGATGCCCATCTGCTCTACACTTTTAATATGGCCGCTCTCTTCTGTCATCCCTCCGGTCACCTCTGAAAGACAGATTCAGACAAAAAAAACATAAAAGTTGACAAAGTGTGAACCATCATTAATCCAAACACACCGTGCATCTTTATTTTAAAACAGACACCCATCTTCTTTTAGCTAACAATTGTCATGCCGTGAAGTTTGTACGCAATGTTCACATTCCAAACAGCGGACCATACAGTAAAATGTGTCACGTTTCATATAAAACAGTTCAGTCGTCCACTTAAGCTTAACAATGAAGTGGATGATGCCCTCTGCTGGCAGAGGAAGCTGAACCTAGACAGATCTGTTATTACCACTCATTGACATTAATATGATGATTGCTGTTTAATATTAATTTTAAAGTGTTTAACAGAGGTGATATTCTGATAGTCAAAGACAATCAAATTAAAATACCAACCTTCCTCCCATTTTGTATCCCCCTCCATATCCACCACCACGATCACCACCATAGCCGCCACGGTCGCCGCCACGGAATCCTCCGCGGCCGCGGAATCCACCCCCTCTGTCGCCGCCATAACCACCTCTGCCTCCACGATCTGCAAAACAAGTGATGCGTTGCAACTTTCCACATGTACATGCAAGGAACCAAAAGAACAGATGAGGATTGCGGGAGAAGGGAATCGGTCGGGCACCTCCAAATCCTCCTGCATCTCCAGGTTTGGGGGCACCGCACTTGTTACACTCTTGTCGCCGTGCGAAATTCATGTTGCCGCAGGAGCTGAAAACGACGCAGAACGCAGGAAGATCTGAGTGAATCCGAGATGGGCATCAGATGCGCATAGTTGTTGTCCATTGCAGACAAACCTGTTGGGGCAAGGCCAGTCTCCGCCCTTCATGTCAAAGTTAGGACCGCCACCTCCGCGACCTCTGAAACCTGCAAGCGCAAAGGGGAGCGAACATATTAACACGGAGGGGGGATGTGTGAAATAGTTTTTTTCCCTCCTTCCACCGACCTCCTCTTCCACCACCTCGTCCTCCGCCACGCTGTGTGAACTCAGCTCTGCGGGTGGCGAATGACACTTTGATGGGTTTGCCATTGAATTCTTTGCCTGCGACGACAAAGAGGAGCAGTTAGAAGACACCAAATGATGGGAATATTTGCAATTCTCCTATGTTGGTCTGTGTGCGAGCGCCATTACCGTCAAACCAGTCAATGGCAGCTTTGGCAGAAGGCGGGTCATCAAAAGACACCGTGGCTTCGCCCTTGGGCCGGCCAGTGGCCTTGTCAGAGTAGAGGTTGATCATTGGCTGACCAGTCTTCTTGTTCACCTGAAAGTGACAAAGTTCACAATTTCAAGACGCCATATGGAACCCAGCTCCTCACTTCTTGTTAAGTGTTTCAAGCATCAAAAGTTTTAACACTGCGCAGACAGCAGTGGAACACATTTGAGATAGCGAGCGTAGGTTTCTCCGGGGTAAGCACCCAACTCAATACCTTAATAATGCCAATTTGCTTGAAGTAGTCGCCCACTTCCTGAACTGTGGCCTCTTCTCCCAGGCCTTGGACAAAAATGGTGTTGTTGTCAGAGTTGTCCTGATCCCCACCTATGGGGGAAAATGAAAACAAATTCATCAGTAGTGATCAAAGAAGCCAACACAAGCATCTTCAAACGAACGGTGCCTATTTGTTCGAAGAAAACTTAATCCGATACTGTTAGTGACTTCGATATTTGGTTACTAGTGAGTACAGTCAATATGATCAAGCATGGTCTGCTACTTACCAGAGTCATCCCGTGAGCCATAGTCTCGAGAGCCTGCAAAACAGGTAAGAGGACGAAGAGCAGATGAGCAAGAGATCTTCAACATCTTGTCTCATTTCATATCAATCACATCCTAGCAGAGTATAACAAAATAGAAATTTAACAAAAGTCCATGTTTACAGATGTGTTTGGGGTTTTCATACCGTAGGCTCACAGTCACCTTTCACCGACAAACAGCCTCATTCCATTTTTCCCCCCTTTCTTTTTTTCCTCCACCAAGTTTTCAAGTTCTAGGAAGTTTACCTCTTCATCCCGGGAACACCTGCCACGTTAATAATAAAGCGTTGTCCTCATGCAACCATTACCATTATTTTACATCTCAGGCCCCATGTCTGTTACCGAATCTGAAGACTAAAGAGAAATCCAAATCAGTCGAATCCCTTGCGGTCTTGGCATGATATTGATGGCATTCAGAGTTGTTTTATCCCCAGTTTTCCTTTTGTGCTAACTCAAGTTTTTTTTTTCCTCCCCCACCGACACAGTTCTGATGCTCGTCACTTACCACCGAAATTTTTGAAGCCACCACGGTCACCACCTCTGCAGAGGAAAAATTGGAGAATTGATGGCTTTTCCTTTGTCCCAACTGAGAGCTCAAAGCTCCCCTACATCCCACCAGTTTGCACTCCTGTCAGGGTGTGTGACTATGTGGAATGTCTCACACGAGGAGTGTTGTTAGTCCTTGACAATTATCAGTGGACAGATAGATGACCAGGTAGTTTGGACTCAAGCAGAAGTGTGAAGACAGTTATCACACGTCGCTTGGTCACAAGAGTTTAACCAATTTGATACTTGTTGCTGTTTTCCATTCAAAGGAAATTAAAAAAAAAAAAAAAGGAAATTAGAAGATGGTGCTGAAATAGCATAGTCAGGCAAATTTGTGTTTTAACATCAGAGGCCAAATTGGTGAGAAGGGCTTGATACGCAATCTTCCACTGAGTGCGGTTTTGACATCCTTTAACTGAGGTCCTTGTTATAGTTCAATCACTGTCAACACCTGTAGTATAAAATGTAAATCCATGTTAACAGAACACACATGCTGGCCATTGTCAAAAATACAATAGTTGAATGAAACCTGTAGAATGCGAAGCAGCTGACGACGTCGCTCCAGGTCTAACCGCAGCGTTTCAGCCAAGAGTTCCTTGTTCAAAAGCTACATGATCCTCAGAACAAGGACAGACCAAAGTGTTTCACTCACACTTCCTCTCTAGAGTCGATGGACCTTTGAAAGGCTTAAGTTATTGTGGCACGTTAACGCTCCTTCTTGGCCGTGCAATTTATTTGCGCAAATCTTACACCTGCATCCTTGTGTCATGTATTAAAGTGACTGGTTTTGCCAACACACAAATGAGGCAAAGTAAAAAAAATAATAATTAAAATTATATTTCTCTTCTAATCATTGGAATGCTGACTTTTAAATTGTTTTTTCATTTCTGAAATATGGGTCATTGCGAGTCATTTTGCCATGCTGGGTCACAAATGATAGTCATTTCTCACCTCCCCAATTGCTGACAGTTTACTGCTGATCGGACTTGTGCCCTCTAGTTTGGGCACTTCAACCATCTGACAAAAATAGACCATGAAACTGCTGACATCCACTAGGAACCTTGTGCAGAGTCAAAAATGGCTTGGCCCTTGACAGAAACGAGACTGGCTGAAATAGATTTTAAAAGAAATAGAAAAAAAAAGTCCACGCCTCTCTAAGGAGATAGAGAATTAGGTGTGCATCTTGTGTTCTATTCAGATATAGCACACATCGCAAATGCCCATTTACCATCAGCTGAAGTTACTGACTTCTGATATTCATAAACATTTGCTTAATACTGATTCCCAAATCTATAACATGTGAAACACGCTCCCCAGCCTGTCTTCCAAGTTAGGCAGTGTGGCTTCGTCCATCTTGATAAAACTCCCGCTTGAAGCTTTAGTGTTGAGACAATTGTTTTACCATACACCCCCATAATGACAACACCCCTGACTGCTTTACCATTTTCTTAAATGCATTTTTGATTAAGTCAGCAATTTTGCGTGTGAATTGAATACAGAGGGCCTCGGATAAAGCTGTCCAAAAATGCAACACTTCGAGGTTACAGATGGCACAAAAATGTTGACAAATGGCACGAGAAGTCCTACACATGTAGCGCCCATACTTCCAGTATTTCCATTTATAGCCTACAAGTGTTTTTCATACAAATGACATTCGAGGTTAGACGCAAGAATACGTCACGATGCAATAAAGGTACGACCAGTTACCACTGTATTTACTGTTTTTCATTTGATTGTCTTTTACTTATGGAACAAAAGTGCCCCCCCCCCAAAAAAAATGCTTCCTGCAATTTAGATTTTAATAGAACATAAACATTGATAGATTATGGCACGTTCCAACTTGTGTACAAACTGCGGTTACGTCGACATAGGAACAGAAACTCCGTCATAAACCGAGGACCCCCTGTATACAACTGAAGATTATAGTAATAGATCGTCACAGAATTCAGGTTTACAGGCCTAATGTAGTGCACACTGTTGATTTCAAGTTTGATGGATGAAGTTGTGTACCATGTTACAAAATATTGAAGTACCTTAGGGGTAGTGGCACTGCGCAACTTACCCCATACCAGGATGTCCTCCTCTTCCACCACGGTCATAGCCACCACGGTCATAGCCACCACTGCGGTCATAACCGCCACGGTCATAGCCACCTCGGTCATAGCCGCCACGGTCGTAGCCACCACGACCCCGGCCTCTGTAACCGCCGCCTCCTTCGGACCGGTCTCCTTGGTCACGGCCATACCTGCCACCCTGTCCGCCACTGTCCCCTATCACATTTGGAGAAAGACAAATAAGATCCACTGCTCTTTGATAACATAACAACCGACAAATGGTTACTTCTTTACCTTCACTCCATCTTCCATAACCACCACCGCCTCCACCACTTTGTCCCTGGCCACCGTATGATCCTTGTTGGCCAAAGCTATCTCCACTTTGTCCTTGACTACCATATGACGCCTGTTGTCCATATGGCTTCTCACTGTCAGTTAACAAAAGGAGTCTGTCATTTCTCCGAATGTACAAAGGCATGTTGAACAGAAAAACAATCAAAGAAGACCTTGCTCAACTTTTGTATAATTAAAAGGCTCACCCAGATGACTCCTGTCCATAATTATCATAGCCCTGTTGCTGCCCATAGCCTCCCTGAGACTGGCCATATCCCTCTGTCAAAAGAAATATTTTAAAAATGCCTGGCATTATCTGGCTTTGTACAACGATAGGTTTACACACAAATCATGATACAACACCTTGTGTTCCAGATTGCTGTCCACCATAACCACTATAGCTTTGGCCCCCATAGGAACCTGCACCATTTCCTTGGCCTTGACCATAACTCTGTAACATCCAGTATGAGCAAGGACACATCAGATAGACAATTCGGGATACGTCCAATACCAAATAGTCAATGGTTAAATGCAGATTTTACCTGTCCACTCTGCTGTCCGCCGAATGAGCCATAACTGGAAGACAATTGTGAGGTACAATTTAGTATCCTTCAAAATTGGAAACCTTCACATGAAAAAAAATGAATCAATGTAAACTTACCTCTGTGAGCCACCATGCTGTCCAAAACCCGAATCTGGAAGAACGGGATGTTTGAATGTTATTTAAACAACATGAAAGAAGAGCAGAACGTTCATCATTGTAAAGGATATCCAGTTACAACTTAGGCAGCGACTCAACACGCCTTCCATCACGCTGTTCCGGTGAAAATGGCGGTCAAATGAGGCTCCGACTAAACCTTGGATCGACGCAGGCGTTTGGAATACAGAAGTGGACCAAATCGCAACGTACTTCAAATTGAAAACGATTGTGATTCGTAGAATATGCGGACTGAAAGGGAGCGTTGCGTATTTGCAGAATAATGCATCTTCGCATCCACGTGTGTTGACTTTAAACGGAAGACAACGGCTAAGTTGTAAACAAAGAGACGTTCAAGCAGACCATCGGGCGCCTCAGGCCAAGTTAGCGAAGAACGCTATTGCCAGGCCTATTTGCCATTTTATGGGAATAAGAAGGTTGAAAATCACAAACGAGGCCAAACTTACGAGTTGACCTAATACGCCAAAAAGTTAACAAGTATTTAAACCGATGCCATTCAGCTATTCAAAACGACAACTCCAAGAAGTAGACGGTTTCCACCTTAGGCCTCGCGGTGAGCAAGCGAGTTAGCCAGTTAGTAAGTTATTTTCATCTTGAACTCACATGGAATAAATAAATCCGCATTACATTCAAATATAGAATGAAAGTCTTACCGGTGGCCATGGTGCTCGCCTAAAAATCGATCGCGTGCTTCTCCAGAGATATATTTTTAAAAAAAAACCGGTAAGTGTGTCACAACGCCCCTCGGTTGAGTGCTAGGCCAACCTCCTGCTGCACTTCCCTTATGGATATTCTTCTTCTACTACCTCATAAAGGCCTCAGATATCCAAATTGCTATTGCTCTACCGCCATCTATTGTTAAAGAGAATTAGCGTGCCTCATCGCTCATGGTCCATTTCGACGTGTGGGTTGGAACTAAACATTTGACTGCGCCTACACGGATTGCCAATCTGTAAACTCCCCCCGTTTTTTTGTTAAACTGTCTCCTTAGCGGCTATAATAATGCACCGTCTAATGACATAAAAATCACATCGAAAATTATAAGCTCTTTCAATTGACTTAAACCCAAATACTGTACTAACCTCAACCATACAGGGAGTGCGCCCTTTGCTGGGGACATGTGCTAACTGCATCCATCCCACTCATTTCTTTACCACAACCTTTGACCCCAATGGGCAAGACATGCAGAACAAACGTCAAGTCCTCATTTCAGGGTATCGGAACACGTTTGACGAGCTTCCGTGGCTCAACTACCCTCTGTTCATCCAGAATGGCCGTTTCGACGATTTCCGTCCAAAAGTTCCGTTAGCTGCGCCCCGACTGTTTGAGGGTTGAGTTTGTAATTTTCGATCTTCATAAAAGAGTTTATAATAGTAAGCGTGACATCATACGACAGCGCGACACTAAAACCACCAAGGAAAAAGTTTGACCAAAAAAAAAAAAAAAAAAAAAGTCGCTCGGTGTCCACGTGGGGCGGAGTCAAACGTTGTGAATACCACATGCAAGTGAATTTTTCAAGATTATTTCCCCGCTGATTTCAAATCTCCCTAGCAGATTATATTTTAGAATAATTAAAAATAAAGTAATACGCCTAATATTGAATTATGAATAGGGAATTAAGGGTTAAATTCAGCAACACGTGTACTTTTTTTCCTGAAACGTCTTAGCTACTAAACTACTATTCAGTAAGGCATGGTAAAATCAGGAAACGGTAGACATTTTTTTCCTATCAGCACCATAAATACACTTAAGGACACATAAAGCCATATCTGATAAAACTTTGCTGTTGACCAGTGTTATTGATCATCCTTTTTCTATCTATTATATTCTAGTTGGTTTAATTGACCTATTATTTAGGTTCGTACATATACTTGGTAAACAAATATATAGTCACTTTTGAAATATTTCAGCATAATATATTCGGAAACGTTTACAGTTTCTTCGCACTATGTGCATAAAATTTAAAAATATGGATATAATTTAAACTTCTGTGTACTCACATACAGTACAGAGTAAGGAACAGCAACAAAAGGTCAGAGCCCAGTATCAGAAGTACCTGTGTAAAATGCAATTGTTAGGCTGCAATAAAGAACTCAAGGTGACAAATTATTGAATTTGTATTAATTTACATATAAAAAAGGCAGGCGTAATTTCATCATGAAGAGGAATGGACAAAAGTGACAGTACTCAGCGAAGTGTCTCGGTCTGGTTAAAGTCCATGAAACATTCAGAAGGAAAAAGTAAAACAATTGAAGTAAGGTTTACAAATCCAATATGTAAGGCAGTGTTCAAAAGGCACAGGTTGCACACGAGCTGGCTAGCATAATGGCAACATTTGTTTACTCGTCAAATCCATGCTTCACATACAATTTGTAGGGAAATCACAGACCACGTACGGAGAGAAGTGTTTCCCTATTGTGGTACATAAATGAGTGGACAACATACATCTGTTGCATTAAAACATATAGTCAGATGTGGTTCAGTGTTACTGGCACTGGACAAACCAGTCAAATGCATTAAAAAAAAAAACCTATAAAGCCAAACGCTGTTACAGGCCAGATTTTTCAATTCTGTAACACTTTACATTGTATCTATATATTTTCTATTCTCTTTTGTTTTAAATTGCATGCCTATATGAAGTAGAATACAGTAAAGAATCCCCTTTGCATCACCTGGCTCACAGGTGTCAAACCCAGGTTATCTAGGCCCACTTTTCTCCATGTTTTCCATCCCTCCGAACATTTCAATCAGGTGTGTTGCAGCAGGGAGAGATGGAAAACATGCAGGATAATGGCCCTCGGGGACCAAAGTTTGACATCTGCGACCTACCTGCATTTCAAGTTAATTACTGATTAAACCAAGCAGTAAAGGTCCCTTGTCAAAACATAAAGCTGCACATTGCATTACATTTTGATGGCAGTTGACTAAAACACTTCCCTCAAAATCTTCATATCTTATAACATGTTTGATTGTAATTTTTCGCTGAAGGAAACATGCATACAGCCGACCCCTGCACACTTGTTGTATTGCACCCGCGAATTTGCATTTTTTTTACCACCAGAATTTTGAAGTTTAAAGAGGAGGAAAGCAAGACCCCTCCAGAGTAATATACTTTAATTACCCCTTATTACAGCCAGTTAAAATTAACAGCACAGAGGACCCGCACAGTGCTTTCGGAGGCTGAAGGACAAGTGCTGAAGATCCAGTTATACACATATGTCACAGATGAGTAGGAGGCTAAAGCTGTGTATTGGTTTTACTAAATAATCAGCAGAGGTAGGGCTTCCACTTTAAACTTCATGAACCAGAATGAAAATGAAAGACTGTTAAATATTTTCATATTCAGTCACAATAAAATAAGACCTAAAAAAAAAAAAAAAAATCAAACAAACAAACAAAAAGAACAAAAACAGATGCCACCAATTAAAAACAACCACTTGAGAAGTGAGATGAAGGCCGGGTTTGAGAGTTTTAACTCCACACGTCTTGCGAGTAACGTCCCTTGGTCATCAGTTTCTTGATGTAGTCTGTGGCCTGGGTGCGGGTCATGCCTTCAACATCTTCTGCTATCTCATAGAAGGCCGTCTGCACATCCTTTGCCATGTTCCTTGCATCACTAAAAGTCGAGACACATCTGGTTAGACTTGTTTTTGTATTAATGGGTTGTCATTTCGCAAGTTTCCATGTGTTCATCAACAAGGAGATAGTGGTGTAAACCACGTAAAAAAAAAAAAAAAAAAAGGCGTCAGCAATGCGCATTAATAGTGACTATTCTCACCAGTAAAAGATATAACTCAACAATTAGTGTCCGCAGTCCCCAAATGTTTACTGAATGTTTTTAAAAGAAAAAGTGATGTAACAGCACAACATGACCCCATCCCAGCTTTTTTTTGTCTCATCTTGCACCCAAAAAAATTCTAAGTTAATGATTATTGGCTAAAAACAATAAAGTTAATCAGTTTGAAACTTAAATACCTTGTCTTTGTAGTTTATTGAATTAAAGACAGGTTGGACATGATTTGCAAATGACAGTATCGTTTTTACTTATGTTTCACACATTGTGCCAACCTCAATGGAACTGCTTTTGGATTTTCACAGGACAGCACGGTACCTTAATGCAAATGCAACTTCTCTATTCTTATTTGTTTCTAATTACAAATACTGGCAAAAAACAACAAAACAAAAAAAATCTGTAAATTATTCAGACCAGAAAGAAACAATGAATAAAACATACCCGCAAATGTAGATATGGGCATTTTCTGAGTGAATGAGTTTCCAGATGTCCTCTTTATTTTTCTTCATGAGGTGTTGCACATAAACCTGGCACGTACAAAAAAAAAAAAAAAGCAAATAAGAAAACCTCGTATCGGTTCAAGATAACTATCAAAAGAGAAGTTTTGAACACACAAACTGCAGTGTGTAGAACATGAATATGCATTCACAACAAATCGCAATTTATGGTTTCAGGGCTGCAACTAACGATGATTTTAATAATCTATCATTTTTTCTTTTTTTTAATGAATTAGATTAAAAACTTTTAAATGGCCATCCGTTTATTAACAAACGGGACACTGTTTCAAACCGATGGTGCAGAAAAGCGCACAAACAGGATGCTACAAGAACATCCCAGAACTCCCAGAAAGAGTGTGCATTGACCAGAACCCTCAACTCTCGCGCTCCATGACGTGTGATGTAGCATGAGTAACATTATCAAAACCACGCAGCAGGTGACTGACTTAATAATCATGCGACACAATAAACTGATAATGAAATTCATTCCCAACACTTTTAAATATCGATTTTTATCGATATCGACTCGTTGTTGCAGCCCGATATATTTTCAGTATTTAGCTAGTATATTTCTTTCCATTCTGTTTGCAAAGTCAAAATACAATCTCGTAATAATTTGAGAAAAATGTGTACTAGCAAGTGAGAGTAGTGTCTCATATGGTACCTTATGCTCCTGGTCTCGGGAGAAGGCAACATTAAGCCGTGTTAGAACTTCATTCTTCTCAGCCTCCTCTAGCTCCTCCTGGTAGAGATAATCTTCATTCTTATGTCTGCAGCCACAGAACAACAATGTCTCTCCAACTTCCTTGCCTGTACACAGACAGGAGAGAGAGAGAGAGAGAGAGAGAGAGAGAGAGAGAGAGAGAGAGAGAGAGAGAGAGAGAGAGAGAGAGAAAACATCAACAATGCGTGTGATATTTCTTCTTGTCATTTATTTGACGCTCAATTTTACACAAAGGCTTGTTAGGCGGGCAGGCTACAATATAATCAGCTGTGAGTTGCTGTGTTGTTCAAAATTATGAACATTTTTGTTTGCAAAAAAAAAAAAAAAATCTCATTTTGATTTTGATGCTTGCAACATGTTAAAAAATAGCTGGAAAAGGGGAAGCAAAAGACTGGGAAAGTCGAGGAATGCTAAACAAAAAAAAAAGTTTTGAAAATTCCACAGGTGAATAGGTTAATCGGAAACATGTGAGTGTCGTAATTGGGTATAAAAGGAGGATCCGCGAAAACTCAGTTGTTCACAAGCAAGAATGTTTTTTTTTTTAAATCATCTACAATCCATAATATAATCTCAAAATTCAGAGAATTTGTAGAAATGTGTGCACATAAGCATCAAAGCCCAAAAAAAAAAAAAAAAAAACCAGAACCTAAACATAACACAGTCCTAGCTTTTTGCAGCATGTTCCAGGCATATTTGAAAACAAACAAAAAGTTGATCAGTTTGAACATTAAATATCTCGTCTTTTTTAGTCTGCCGCAGATTTGAAACCTCTCCGCGGAATTGAAAGCAGACCGCGGAAATAAGAGTGAGGTGCAGAATATTACACTTACATGTAGTTTTCATCCCGGCAGCTAGATGTCGCAGTGAGACAGGCTATGTTCACACTGCAGGGCATGGCGCCCAGATAATTTCCTAAAAGAATTCTTCTTACTTCATTAGTAGATTATTTTGCTTTATAATCATTATTTTGTGTTGATAGTTACGTTTTACACAATGTCGCTACTTCGTGGGAATTGGGGTTTAGACACAGATATCATATCTTGTCATTCTAACCTTGTGGAGGCCTGACTTTGAGAAAATTTAGCCAAACAAGGCCAGATGTTGAAGAATACCTTGCTGTTTGAGCCAGCCCCTCTCCTGAATGAAGCCCATGAAGGGAGCGATTCCTGTCCCAGGACCAATCATGATCACCGGGACGCTGGCCTTGAAGGGTAGGCGGAACTGAGATTTGCGGATATACATGGGAACAGTAGATTTGTGGCCGTTGTCAGTGACCAATTTGTTCTTCAGCCAGTTTGTGGCCACTCCCTTGTTGATACGGTTCGTCTTGGTCTTGTACTCCACGACCACAGCACAGATGTGGATGCTGTTCGGATGAACCTGGGGAACAAAGAAAATACCATTTGTGCATACACAAGTAAAGCGCTGCCTGCATTCATGTTGTTATTGACGAGAGACTTACTTTCGAGGAGGAGGCTATGGAATAATATCGAGCCTGCAGACGAGGCAGAAGCTCACACAAGTGGTCAATGGGAGGCTTTAAAGAGGGCATGTCCTCCAGAATGGCAAGAATGTTTCTGCAGGGCTCCAATACCCAACTCTGGTAGAGGGCCTGAAGAGAAACAAAAACACGAAAGATGCTAAATACTACTGCCCTAGTGACAAAAACTACGAAAATCTGATGCAGCTATCTGTTATGATTCTTGACCATGTTGACATGCTCCAATTTTTTGATGACAATGACTAGAGTGGAATTATGTTCTTACGGTTGGAAAAAAAAAATACCCTCAGCATTTTTCCAACATTGGAAATGTATTGTCACACCCCTGCAAAGAGGTTCTGAGTTCAAATCTGAGACATTGCTAGCCTTTTCTGGTTGGGCTTTACATGTTCTCCCTGTAATTTTGTGGGCTCTTGGCATTCAGTAGTCCAAAAACATGTACAATAAAAATGTTATTTATTGACTTCTACACAATTTACGGTATGTTGGTGTGAATGTCTTGTATGTCAAATAGTCCAGTGATCGGTTGGGTGCGTTCTTTGTTAACAGTGACATTCAGTGAAGTTATTTAATGAGAATGTACAGTGAAAATACAAATAGTTGTGTAAATTTGTTGTGACTGACTGTTCACTGATTGTTTTAGTTGCTATGCATTATATATAGGCTTGATGTCACACAGAATGTAAATTTGTCAGTACGTTGAGCTTTCTACCAGAGTGTCAACTCTCTTCCGTATGTTCTGCATCCAGCCCTGCTCTCTGTAATTACTTTGTATTTTCGAAGATAAGACTTTTACTTTTGAACTTCAATATCATGTCTGCGACTGAGTACGAATTTGTGCTCCTCAGATGACAAAAAATGTACAATTGCAAGGATGAGCAACAAGCACTGCGGGCCCACTACAACTTTTATTTTATTCAATCTCCACCTATTATCACACACACTGACCTTGCCCTGAGCGGAGGAGGAGGCCATCTTGCGCATATTCTCCTGTTCTTGAGGGTCCGAAGCGTATTGTGCAAGCTCATAGAGGACATTGGTGCGAGGAGGGTGCGTGATGTCGAGGTAGTGAGTCAGAGCTGTGCGGTACGTTGTGGGGCAGGGGAATGGGTGTTTCTTATTCGACTCCTCTGAAAGATAAACATTCAATATGTATACATTAGTCGTCACATGGAAATGTATACACGTTTATATCTTTTTATTGTATGAAAAAAAAATATGTCAATGGGGCCACACCCCATCAGCTCAGCCTGTATCACTCTGGTATTAATCACTCTCTGCTCAATCAGTCGCAGTTATTATGGTATAAATAAATTAATAACCACGCACTTGCAGCTATTATAAAGGAGCTGATTGTGCAAGTGTAGCTATCAGGGGTAAATGTCATGACGCAGTGAAGGGAGGAGCTCTTTAAGTCAAATCACTTTGCACTTTCAATGTCATACCATCAAGGTTGTTCAGAGAGATAACCACATCAAGGTCCACACCAAGGACTTGTCCCAACTTATTCACCAACGCTGCATCATTAGTAGGGAAAACAGCCACATGGTCTCCTGACTCATATCTGCAATCACGGAATATCACCTTAGCCTTTGGCCATATGTTGGATGAAGGAACTCAGTTTTATGAGCCTCATTTAAGTAGTACACACCCATGAAGCCCAAAACTCACCTTATCTTTGAGCCTGAAATATCTAATTCAAGGTGCATCAGATGCCTCTGACCACCTTTGTTGAGTTTACGGTTGACAGTGACTGGGGCCAAGAAGGGATTTTTAGAATCATACGGCCTGTAAATCAGAGGACATAACTTTAGCCTGATACTGTAATGACAAAGAATATCTAAAATCACTTGGGATAATCTTGTCAAATTTTCAAAGTTACATTTTCTTCTCGGTTTTTTAAGTGACAAATGTTCAGGTTATTTATACCCATAGAGAGGTTTGGAGGGTACATTTCAGAGTGCAAAAATTAAAACAAAACGTCCACTAGGAGGCAGCAAGCCTTCAATGACCTACAGTAAGCTTTGTTGCAGGCAGATTTCTCTACTACAGTACTTACGGTTTCTGGACCTCAAAACTCTTCAGACGGCCAATCTCTCCCGTGAACACTTTATTCATGTTGATGTCAGTGTGCTCCTTCAGCTCATATTGACGTATGCTATGTGACCAAACAACACTAAGTTAGACGTTACATAAACTTAAATTACACCTCCTATTTTTCATTCACACACAAGAGAAGACTAGCTTGTAGTGTAACATTATGTCAAAAGATAAAGGTATATTTTATCTCTGACAATCCAGTCAAAAGAAAAGCAACAATATAAAGTATTGCAAAGACTAGATATGCACCTTGAGTCATCTCCTAAGGCTTCCACGCCAAAGTGCTCACAGACAGCTGGCCAAAACTGCTCTCGCCACGAGACAAAGTCTTCTTCCAAGCTGAGAGAAAAACAAAGAAATGCCAGGTGAGCACACAAGTTAAGATATTTACAGTCGAAGAAATTTCAACAGTTCAGGTCACTTGCATTTATCTGATGACTGATGCAGGATGTTATTTCAGGCATCGAACCCTTAACACCATCAGAAATAGCCAAGTATCTTTTTTTTTTCGTCACTTACTTGCCATCATCATCTCCTAAACCGAGGTCAAAGATGCGCTTGGCCCCAAGTTCCTCCAGCCTTTTGTCCACATATTTCCCCATGGCATTGTAATGCTCATAGGTCTTGTTGCCCAAGGAAAATACCTGCAGAAACAAAAGAATTCCAATCAGGCAGGCGCAACATGTTCATGGAACCAGCTACTAATATTTTAAATGTGGACATTTGTGTCTGTTATTTCCAGTGAATTAATGAGAAAAAAAATGCAATGACTTCATAAGGAATGTAAAGGAAATTGAAATTAGGGAAATCTCATGGAATCTCATGCATTGCTACGAAGATGACAAATGTCAAACCGTTCCAAAATTAACACTCAGTGTGGCGAGTTTACAAAATTATTGCGGTTGCAGAGTGACTATAAATCCAACGTATCCCTCTCAATGGGCTAAAAATAAATGTCCCCGCTCAGTAGGAAATCGTTTGAATTCTTTACAAACTTCAGCAACTCTAGAGACAGAGAGAAACAATGGTGGCAACATTCAGCAGCTTCAGAGTTGGGCAAATTTGATGGGCCACTGAATGAAAAACCTTTATGATGGTAAATTCACTTTGGTGTGTGACCACAGATCAAAACTTCCAACAAAATCCACATTTGCGTTATCATAAACCTCACCGTGAAGTTCAGTCCAGAGAGGTCTTCATCATCATTTTCCTGTAGCCAGTCATAGAAATCCTGGGCATTATCTGTTGGGTCTCCTTCTCCATAGGTGGCCATGCAGAATATGGCTAGTGAGTTTTTGATCTCAGACAAACGAGATAGTTCGCCCTGAAGAGCATGACAGGAACGCAGACAGCACTGAGTATCAAAAGTATACAATTTCTAAATAAGTAAGTGATGTGTTGCATATTGTTCCTGGGAGTGTCTGAGGTCACTATAGCATTATTGTGTTAAGTAGCATTGTTTTGCAGTCACTCGCTATTTAAAAAGGAAAAAAAAAGTGGGAAAAAAAGGAAGCAAGAAACTCTGCATGAACTGTATGTTGCACAAACTGCTTTAAGTTACCATGTCATATTCTTCTGGGTCAGCAGCCATTCCCTTCATCCCATAACGCTGAGCATCTTTGGAGAGTCTGTTGGCAAACTCCTCTGCTGTGCCAGTCTGGGAGCCATAGAACACAATGATGTTCTTTCCCTGAGGAGGAAGAAATAAGTTGAGGCGAACAGAAAAGAAAACTAGTGAAATAGTGCTAACAGCTCGATGCACAACTTTGCGATGACAATTCACAATGCAGACCAACAGGCCAAAGTTTTGCCTGCCCCCCCCCCCCCCGCTAATGTCATTGTATCTGAATTATTTGCAGGAAAACCACACAAATCAAACCCGAACTATTTCTAATCGTTATTCACATCCTTTCATCCTAGTCCAACGAATGATGCATGCACCCATCACGAGTGCTGTTTAGTACTGAACTTTACATGTGTTCTTAGACTTATGATCAGAAAAGGTTTTTCAAGTGTGAATACCGTACATGTGGGAGACACTATGAATGCCAAGACCAAAATACTGAAACCACATTTAAAAGATGCATGTGACCAAATGGCGCTGCACAAAGACAATGAATAGAACGGGGGGGGGGGGACTTAAAATATCAGTCAACCTTGACAAAGATAATTCTAGCTTTGAGTCATATTGTCAAGCGGTTATTACGAGAGCAATATTTATTTGTGGGTTTTCATACAAGGCTAAAAAGTTAACCAAAATATTTGAAAGACCTCGGTGCAGTTCGAGACCATTACAGACCATCACCACAATAATAAACACATTTCTGGCTCAATATCACTCAGATGGTTTTACTTTCAAATGAAACTTTGCAGAGGAGTCTCAGAATATACATCCATGTTTACCGAGCTGCAAGCTTGGACTTTCAAAACATTCCTGCATTGTTTGCAAAACATTTACCAACACAAGTACAGTACACAGTGAAATTGTTGGAAATAACAGGACTTACTGTTTTCTTCATTTTCTCAATGAAACTTGTTTCTCTCGTTGTGGGGGCTCTAGAGAAGACAAAATGTTTCACTTGTTAGACTAAAGCGGATGGAAAATGAAGATATGAAAAATATATTTTTGTAATCAGGCTTTCATGACACTTGACTTTTTATTGCATTACAGTGCCACAATAAGCTCAGTGACCAGGTCAAGATGACATTTTATTTGTTAAAACAAAAATATTAAACTTATAAACCCCATCACTAAAAATGTGTTTCTATTCATTTTGCCACAGCGAACATTTTAGCACATTTTGTGATTGATTGTGACTGAATATTTACAGTCCTTGGAGATCTCTAATTGCTGCGGCCCTCAACCACGTAGTCAATGAGAGCCAAAACAAATTCAAGAGGTGATAAAAGGGTGTGAACAAATCAAAGCCACACGGGTACCAATGTAATAATTTCACAGTGCATTCTTAGAGTGACGTATGTTTTCTAATTCAGCTTCAACCATAAGATGACTGAATGCAGTCTGTGCCCAAAACGCGACAAAGAAATTTAACCATTGGGTTGTCAAGGTCCTCACCCTTTTAGCGCCAGGCTTTCAATGGTCACACAGGTCAAGCTCTCCTCTTTCAGTCACATCATTCATGTGCTTTCCTGAGCTATTAGCTCCCCCTTGGGATTGCAGTGCTACAAAAACATTTGCCTTGTTTGCCGTGCAAATCCTCTTTTGATACTCACTCCCCCTTAAAATCTTGGATCATCAATCACATACAATAATTCATCGGGTAAACTGCAACAACATCTAATTGAGGAACTCGATTCTAAGTATCTAAACATTGTCGGTGATTATGGATGTTTATTCCTCAGGTGTCCAGAGGATAAATAAAGCTATCGTACAATTCTCGTTTATCTGTAAAACAGCTTAGCCGGATTACTGTAAACGTAAGAAAGCAGTTAGAATTCAAGCGTGAGAATCCAATGCCCAACCTGCCATAAAACAGTCTCCCGTGGTTAACACTTGCACTCTGGAGCGAAGATGACTCCAGATGGAAATAAAAAAAGCAGACATTTGCCCTCAAGCTCAAGCATTCCTGTCAGACCTAATATAGAGTCTAAGAACATAATCAGATGGTTTTGGAAATGTCTGCACCAAATGCAACAAACCTGAGCACATGAAAAACACATAGTACTCTCAGGGGAAACTCATTGTACGAAGAGCGGAGTTTTTGTGCAGTAGCCATCTCAAATACTGCGCTTCCAAGCCCTCCTCTCTCTCCCTTGACATTCTTGTGTTTCTGTCACAAAATAAAATGGAAATGAATCCTGCCCCCTCCCCCACACTTGAAACTTACAGAGTCGGTTTCAAGTTAATTGTCCAATGTATTATTGCGCACTTTCAAACAACCTCTGTGAGCCCATCTAGTGCTTTTAAGTAAATCAAGCACATTGACCCATCATGCGTGACAGTGTAAGGCTTGCGCATGCAATGTTTTCTATTTCTTTTTTTAGGTGACTCATTACTGATGGCAACCGAACACCGCAATTAGTGGTTAAAAAAATAAAACATTTAATAATTTTCTCATGACTTACTGGAAACGCTGGGTTGCGTTTGACTCCATTGTCAGCACATGAGGAATTTACTTCCTGATCTTAAATTCAAGAGCACCTCAAACTCTGCCATGAGCCCCAAACCGAGCATCTTTTAGTTGCAGTTAAAATCCATCTTTGATAGAGAGGAAAGCAAACAGGTTACTGACCTCTCGGCAGCATCTCTCCTGTCTTCTGGCAGGGAGAAAACACAGCCCATGGCATGTGGCCCTGTAGCTCAGCAAAGCCACGATCACCGCTGGCTAGGCAGCGCCACACCGTGAACAGCCACGCTCCGTCTCAATAGCAGGATGTCAACACTCCGCAGCCACAAGCAGACAAAAACAAGCCCAGTCCAGAAAGACGCTAAAAAAAGCTTTGCCAAGAGTGGTCTGCTTTCACCCTAGAAGCTCCAGCGTTATCTGAACTCAGCCTCTTCCTGTGCGACTCTCAGAATTCAGTCTGTTTCTCATACTCACATAATCAAACATGCACATTGCAGCCCCGTCAGTGTCTGGACACAATGGTGGGAAACTGACTTTCCCATAAAATGTAGCAGAGCTGCAGACCCACATTTTTGACTTACACCAGTACACACTGAACCACTCCGGGGCTGAAAAGCCTTCCCCCTCAGGCCCGCCCCCTTTTCCTCTCCGGCCTGAAAGGTGTTAGGCAAGAAAAAGTCTACAAGATCCATTCTCAGGATTTGGCTAGTCAACTAACCAAAGCCACTCCTCCGTGGACCACTAAAAGTGGGGAAAGAGCTGACTGGAAGGTTTCTGTCCCCCGCCCCCACATCACCGGAGGAGAGAGGGGAATGCCATTGCTATGGCAACCTCATTTATCATAAAAGGATTCCATTTGTGACAAGGCCCAATGGCAGAGGAGCTCATCTGACGCACATAAAGAAAAGAAAAAGCAGGGAGAGGGGAAAGATGGGGGGGGGGGAGTAACTCAGGGTGAAGAAAGAGTTGCTTGTCTTTTGCCTCAACGTCCACCTTTTGGAAAGGCTTCACAAAAGAAGCTTGGCTCACAACTTTCTCATGATTTCAGGGCCAAAAAAAAAAGGCGCAGGATATACATGGAGACTACGCCTCCTTCAAAACAATTAGCTAATCGCCACACTCTTAAATGGGACAGCAGACCATCTTCGGGCTTGTGTCATTTTTATGCTTCCTTCCTGTATCCCCTTCTCCTCCCCTCCGCAGATCGACTGAACAAAATGCTTCCTGATGGTCATTCCTCTGGTGACCAACACCCGCACACAAAGTCAGTTGTTTTTGTGACAAAACCTCAACCACACAGAGAGCATAGTTTTGGGATGGTTAACTAATATGTGTTGTGGTTGGGGAGGGTCTACAAACGTATCCAGTTGCCTTCGAGTTCAGTGGAAACAAAGCAAGCCTCCATCCCTCGTGTGTTGTCACGTAGGGAGAAAATAACCAAGGGGAAGCTTTGACATGAAGGGGGAACAAGCGGACCCAAAGACGAGAAGGATGAAATGAAAGCTACATGTTCAAGGTTTAAGACATGATGACACAGTGAGACAATTTCGGTCTCGCAACATACTCAGGCTGAAAGCGCTTCCATTTGCACATTTCCTTTAGGATCGGAAAATGACTACTATGAACTGAAAATCGATCAATTTTAATCAGACTTTCAGATCAGTGTGCCTCTGATGGAATTAACTCCAATACTGTACTTAGTTATGGGGTTTTTTTTTTCTTGGGTGACGCCACCACAGAACGGTACCAACAGACTCGGAAGGTGATGGCCCAAGAAAAGTGTCATGATGGCCATGGAGATCGAATTTATTGTAGTGTTGGAGCCATAATGCTACACATGTCAGTCCGGGATGCTCAGTATACAATGTGGCTACAATACATCTACTGCTGAGACAACTAATCCATAACATCAATGAAAATCAACAATTTACAGTGTTGGCAATAATCTCCGATTACGACATCAGTTACCCGCTGTGTCACCAAATTATTATTACCTAAATCACCCACTCCATTGATGTGTAGTACAGTGCAGTGGAAACTATGGGACTTGAGAGCCTGCTCTCATGACATACAGTATACGTAACCCCCCCTGCCCCCCTGCCAAAAAAAAAAAAAAAAACGATGTTGAATTTGGATGACGTAGGCCCTGCTGCTTAATTCTTGGATCCTGATGAACCCATTACACTTTCAATGCATGCAGAGGTGTTGCACTGTATTCCATAGACAAGTGCTCATTTTCAATCCAAAATACATGTCTATGCTCAAAGCAGCCAAACAAACTTGGTCTTATAATTCTAAGTGTTATAGTGATATAGACAATATTCAAAATTATTTTGGAAATACAGCACGTAATTAACTTGGAGGGATTTACCTCTGCCACCCAGTGGACATAAAGGGAAACGCAGTGCCAACGCATCATTTGTTTATTGTCAGTCCATAAATAAACCAAATAGGTACGTTTTTCAAAGGTCAAGTGTGATGCCAACATTTATTCATACAGGATTGTATTTTTTTATATACTTTATACAACATGTTATTATAGTGTATAATGTCTTGTTTGGTAAATGGAGTTATCTGGACTGGACACTATGAATAAAAAAAAAAGAGAAAAAAGAAGCATCACGAGATAAAGAGCAAGTTTTGAAATTGAGCGCTTTTACTTAGTCTTTGATTTTCATCAATTTAATGTCATACGTGTACGATTTAAATGGAATACCAAGGAGGTCAAGTGTGAGAATGTGACTTAGTGGTGGCACAGGTTCGAACCGCAAGTTAGGTTGACGGTGCAAGAGTAAAATGCCAGCAGTTACACATGTGCACATCCACAGTAATCATCGCCATTCCCAAGATGTGAAGAGGGTGCGGCAATGACTCATCTACACCCAGCATCCTCCCGGACACCCAGCTGTGATACCTTTGTACAAGACCCAGATCCCCTAAACTACGTCCTGGGGGCTAAAGTCCCCTGCTCCAGTATGTGTTTGGAGTGTTCACGACTGAGATGGCTTAAATGATTGCATTTCATATTTTATCAAGATTTATAAACATATAGTTAACAAAGATTTATAAAGACACATTACAACACAAGTATGCATGTGTTCACAACAATGAAGATGATTCTTATCTTAATGTCACTTGTTGAAACCATTGAGGTACCATTGCTTGATTTCAGTTTGCAGTGTTTGTACAACAAGTTCAATAATCAACCATCTATGAACCTACTGTACTCATTTAAACAACTTTTGGAATGACATTTTGTACAACCGGAGAGGTCGTCATCACAGTTGTGAAACATTAACAAGAATGCAGTGGATGTTCTTTTGAACGTTTTGGTTTTTTTTTTTTTTGCCACCCACACTTGATGATAATGCTCCCACAATGTTTTTAAGGAAATAAATGAAATGAAATAAATAAATAAATAAATAAGAAGGGTGAAGGAGACTTACATTATTTCAAGCTTCTTGAATTCAGGGATGGGTTCAGGCTTCTTGCGGGACATGAACCAATAGATGACAAGCCCAACGATGAGAGAGAACAGGAAGAGGTCGAGATTGCTGAAAAGAGGCTCGTCCTCGTCAGCCATGGTTTTTGTGTCGGTGTCGGGGTCCATGTCTGCCAACCTCTTGACAAAGAAAGAAAAACCTTCTGAACAATCTCTCAAATGACAATATCAATCTGATTGTATGAATTCCCCTGTAATTTCTTGCTACCTTAACCCATGTAGGTTGAGGATGCAAGAGTAAAATGCCACCAGTTACACATATCCACAGCTTCACAACCCATATAAACCCACGATCGCCTCAGATTAAATAAATATACATCTGAAATTGATGGATAACAAGTTTTGAAATCAGAAGCCAGGAAGTAATTGTTTGTTCAACTATTTTTAAATTTACTTGAAAGGAGGGATCGGGAGCAAAAAGTGCTTGCAATATCTCATATCTCTGTGTTGCGAAAAGTAAAGACAGTTTGCAAGAAGCGGGAATTCGACGCACAGGATGGCTGACGGTCGGGGTAGGTGGGAGGTTCGCCGGTCAAGGTGGGTTGGCTGGCCATGATGCCCAGGACTGGCCCGGATATACACTGGCCGCTCGGTAAAATTCACATATTTTCCCAAAATTCCCAATGGCCACACCACCCCTGGAACCAGTTAAACTGCACTGGGAAATATGATGATTAACAGATGTGGCCAATCCCTTTACTTTCTCTATACAATGGCTGCTTTTGTCCACGCATTATTGAACAAATTGGCTGAAAATCAACAGAAATCTCTAGCCCAGCTTCAAGAATAGCATCAGTCTTTTTTTTTTTTCAATGAGTGGAAAAAGACATGCTCTTAGCTCATGTTTCAAGTTTTTTTTTTTTTTTGGCTGTTCCCAGTCACACAGCTGCGCTTGCCTGCTAGAAAACCTGAAGCCCACTTGAACACTTACCCATTTTTAACCTTCCATTCATTCAAACATCAACTGCTTATGCCGTTTAGTTCTTTGATTTCTCCATTGCCTTCAACACCATCCAGCCCAACCTACTGGGGGACAAACTGCAGCACACCGGAGCGGACCACCACCTGAAATCATGGATTACAGATGACCTCACAAACCGGCCACAATACGTGAGGGCACAGAGCTGTGAGTCGGACAGGCTTCTCTGCAGCACCGGGGCGCCGCAGGGGACTGTCCTGGCTCCATCCCTGTTCACACTCGACACTTGGGACTTGAGCTACATCACTCCACCCTGCCACCTTCAGAAGTTCTCTGATGACTCAGCGATCGTCGGCCTCATTACAGAAGGAGATGATCGGGAGTATAGGAGACTGACGGAGGACTTCGTGGACTGGTGCCTGCAGAATCACCTCCAGATCAACCCTGGGAAAACTAAGGAGTTTGCTGTGGATTTCTGCAGGAAACAGTGCTCACCTGCACCGATGAACATCCAGGGTACGGAAATGGAGAGGGTGACCTCCTACGAGTACATGGGTGTCCTTCTCAACAATAAACTAGGCTCGTCTACCAACACAGACGCTCTGATCAGGAAGGGACAGAGGCTCTTCCAACTGAGAAAAGTGAGGTATTTTGAGGATCAGGGGTCACTCCTTAAGACCTTCTATGACTCAGTGGTGGCTTTAGCCATTCATTATGGCATAGTGGGCTGGTCAGGCAGCATCTCAGCCCAGGACAGAGAGAGACTGGACCGACTGATCAGGAGGGCCAGCTCTGTCCTGGGCTGCGCCCTCGACACTCTGGAGGAGGTGGGCAACAGGAGGATGCTAGCTAAGCTAATAGCTATGATGGACAGACCCTCCCACCCCCTCTAGGCCACCCTGACAGCACTGGGTAGCTCCTTCAGCCGGAGACTGATACAGTACATACGGTGCAAGAAGGAGAGGTACCGCCGCTCGTTCCTGCCGACTGCTGTCAGGCTACTGAATCGACGCACCCGAAAACCTGGACTCACCCTGACTCAGCAATTTAAAAAACCACAGCCATCTTATGCAGCATACATGCAGTTGCACATATGCTTATATGTTATATTTTATCTTGCATTCTGTACTGTGCACTGTTCATTTTTAAATTTATTTTGTGCATGCAAATAGTTCATGTTTTTCTACTTTCTTCCCTCCATATTTTGCTGCTGTAAATTGCGAATTTCTCTATTGTGAGACAAGGTTTTCTTCTCTTATCTTACTCAAAAGGCTTTTATTGCGAATCATATTTCCCTTTGAAACGAATGGAAATGCCATTAATGGGTTCCAGCCCAATGAAAAACAAACAAAAATAATAAAAGTAACAAACGCTGGCAAACATTTTGCAAAGATTTGCAACCTTGCATGAACCCTGATGAACCCTGACGAACCCTGACGTAAACAACATTCGCTGCCTTCAAAACACTCGCAAATTTTTGCCACTCAGTGTGATAGGGGCTAGAACGGCATTGGAAAAGAGTTAAGTGAACCATGAGTGCGAGAGACAGGTTCGCGATTGCGACACATCCAAACAGCATAACTTCAAAAATACGTTTAATGAGCGTAATTTTATTCGGTGACAAGCAAGCTTGTTCCACACTGGTTGCATTTACTGAGATCATAAATCAATAGTGTCGTTTCTAGATGAAGGAAGTCATGAATGTACCCGACAACTACGTAGAGACATGATGTAAATGTATTGTTTACCATTAGAAAAGTCAAATGTATCAAACAGAGAAATCCCACATGTTCAATATGTGTATCATCATATTTAGTCTTTTTTTTTTTTTAAAGAGGGAAATATTGACCTTTATGAGTTACAAAAAGCAACTGGCACTGATTTGGTGGAATGGTACATATATATAAATATATAGAACATTATGTATACACATCGATGTATGCATATCTCCATATTAATTTGAAAAAAAATCAGATGCAGCCTTTTAATTTCCAATGAATGCATTGCAGAGGTATTCGATCAGGCAGATACTTGAAACCAAAGACTCAGACTCGAGGGCCAAAAAAGCGTGATGGCGACATCCCTAATAGCTTTAATAAGTGAACACACACCTGATAAAATACTAGTCTCAAGCCACATAAACCTGATTTTAGGGAAAACATTAACAAACGATGTGAGTGAGAAGTCAGCAAAATTGAGCTGAAAAAAAAAACATGCAGGGAAATTCAAGTTGAATTGTTAGCGATTGATGATAACAACAGCCTGGCATTTTAACAGAGTTGTGTTTACAACTCATACATTATTTAGTATTTGATTCTTTCTGCTGCAGAGCGTTTCCTTCCAAGCTCAGGACAACGGATTTAAAACTATGAAAGATACAATAGTTTTTCTTGGCTCCTGTGTGAGACTGACTTAACAGGCACCAAATTATTTCATAGAAACACCAGGAAATACACTCTGGGGTTTAAAAAAACAACAACAACAACAGAAAAAGACAAGTTTGAAGTCCACTTTTGGTCTGAATGTATTAAGTTGGCCCATGGTGCATGTCTCCAACACAACTCATCGATCTGTGTACTTCTGCTAACAGATGAGCTAATGAACTCATTCAGGAAACGATTTGATGTTGGAAAATAACTTTTGTGATCGAGAAACTTGACTGAAATCACAAGGATATAAGTCACATTACCCCAAAGGGATTCACTACTCGACTCGGTACCAGTCATACATGATACGGATTAATTCATAAAAGTGTCTATTCACCATCATGTGAAACTTGGGTTTCTTGCCAATTACAATCCAATGAAAGGGGCTTTCAAAGGCTAATGACATCGGTGTGTTCAACGGAACGATGGTTGGACATAGAAATATTTTACCCGCACAAGTCACAAGATGAAATATAACATTAGTATGAGCAACAATGAACGTGCCAAGAAAAGGTTAACACGTTCTTCTCGATCACTGCTGCCCTTTACACTGAAGTACACATAAAGACAATATTGACAACTAGCTAGCAGGACTTTATTTTGGCCCCCTCTGGACAAACAGCAACGAAAAAGCACATTGCGCCATAGAAGCACTTGTGTGACAAAGTACTGTTAGTCAGCGACGTACCAAATGGTTTAAGCCGGTGTTCATCGCAAACCAAGGTAGCGAAAACCTGACTTTAGCCTCACATTGCGGAAGAACGCATCACATCTTTCACCTACTTCGTGTCTAAAATTGAACTTCTGCTCCTTGTTTTAACGATTATATCCAACGCGTCTTTCCTAAATGTAATTCCGCCTAACTGCCACTCATTGAAAAATGATTTGTCAATAATTGTGAGTGTATAATCGATCTTACCTGCTTGCTGCTCTAACTCACGTTCACGAAGCTCACAACGCAGAAGGAAACTTTACGGCATGTTGGACCATACCATCTTAGTCTTTACAGCGGGGGTATCCGGTTGGGTAGTCAAAGTAAATTCCATAAAACCTAGTCGTTCTATGTTCTTTTTTTGTTTGCTTATGCACTCGAGAATATGATTTTAGCACAAAGTTACATACATGTGACTGTGTGTGTCGTCAGATGTATTCTTTAATCAGAGCGAACACCATAAAGCTGACTCGTTTTTCGAAGTAAACCCCTACAAAAGCATTACCTAATGTCGTTAGACTATTGTAACCTACCATGATATATAACTGCTGAGGTATTCGAGAGCAGGGTTCATGGTTATGTAATCTGGACAGCACAACACGCTGTGTAACCCTGACAAACTAGACACTGACTCTTCAAAGTCGTCCTCCCAATGTTATAAGTGTTTATATTCCTAACACATCTCAGGAATAGCCCAGTATGTGATGATTCCTCCCATGTGATGATTCCTCCCTCACACCCGAAAATGCACATCAAGAGTATCCCAGTCAAACTCGGTGAACCCTCATCATCAAACGAAAAAATGCAGTGTCATGCATGATAAAATCAGTCAAAGTACTCACACTCTGTTTTTCATCAGAGGCATCAATTCAATTTCTGATACTTTAGTAAAATAGTAGTTTAAAATACAGACAGTCAAACACAACAATAACAAAATGATTACGCTCCATGATGTACAATACTCATTTCGATAATGATGCACATCAAGAGAAAAAAATTCTTTGCACACAAATACTCTTTTCACGTTTTAACTTGAAATTGTTCGATATATATTTTTAATTATTTATAATATTTATACATTTTATCTGTAAATGTTCATACTAAACTGACAAGAAGGAAGAAAAAAAATATTGTCACATGTCGAATTTTGCTGTTTAGGTGGCTGCCATTGGCAAGACTGAAAACATGTTACCAGTGCATAATTTGCTAACATTGTGAACTGCACAACAAGAAGCGCTAAATTATCTATAGCTAATGATAATAATTGAAAAAGTACAACTTGTATGTGGATTTTTTTTTTCAGATTAAAGTCACTGTTTTTTTGAACACCAGAAGCTGTTGTTTTTTTAGGCCGGCACAAGACACAACGCAATTCCTATGAATTTTCGCATATAGTCGACATCGTCAAACAATGAGACCATGGACGGTAAATATCTTGCTTTTTAGAATTTGTGGCCAGTTGTCCATGCTCCATGTTTCACGTTCCCCCACGTTCTCCTCATTATTTGCACATTTAAAAACCACAATCAAATTCGATCTCAACCAGTTTTCACCTCTCTGTTTACTGTAAGTTTTTTTTTTTTTTTGTTTTGACATTGTGTTGTGGTTACCACACCCGTCTCGCAGGGCAGAGGTGCAGTGTTTGATTCCCCGCCTACTGCCCGAAGACAGCTGGCATACCCGCGTCCCTCGTCAGGACAAAGTGCTTCAGATAATGGATGAATTCATAAAGAAACCAAGTCTCAAATATCGACCTTGAAAACATGATGTGATGTCTAACACACGAATCCAGTGTTTCCCAACCTTTATTGAACCAAATCACCAATTTTATATTGCAGAGATCTCATAGTAAAACGCTAAACAAAAATTCCACCAAAAAAAAACTATAAATACAGAAATAATGATCAGCTTGTCTGGACCTGTTAAATTAAACACAATGTTGATACTCGCAGGAAGCCATGACTTGTTCTGTTGTGCAAGTGGTGGATAAACAGGTTTATTCTAATTTCTGCCTTCTAATGGAGGACCATTACGATGTTCTGATTGCCGCTATACACCTCTGTTTGTTAATAAACAACACCCTTTGGACGAATTGAGTGAAAATGAATGATTTTCGACGATTCAACTTGTGTGCCACAGCATCTTACTCAAGATAAACTACTTGTACTGTTTGAATCACAGGATCTTTGTTTTCTGATTCCTCCGTTTGACCTTCTGATGGACCACAGCAAGAGTCGTGAAGAAGTTTCCCGTGAACAGAATAAAGAAGCAAAGGCTGCACACCAAGACCTGGCGTTAATAACAGAATGAAGGTGAATCATTGCTCTGGTTGATTTTCAATTTCAAAAAAATAGATAATGGTCAGGCACGTAGGCATTCAGGAGCAGGGCTATTAACAGTTTCAATTCTGTTGCAATCTGGACAAGCTTTTTCATTCGAAAAGTTAACTTGGGAATTCAAACTACATCTCAACTCAAAATGGTTGCCTTACCGCGAGTAAGGCATGCCTTTTAAATGAATGAGACTGAATGAAAACATCAAGAGGGAGTGAAAATTGGATTGTGTGAGCGCTGACCTGCCATTCTTTGCAGTCTGGGAGCTGAGCCATTCTGAAGAGAGAGATGCTATTGAAGAGCTGGCAGAACTACAAGAAAACAGGAGGTCTTAGAATTGCATTTGTAAATTGTAAAGTATAACAAACAGTGACACACCAAATGTTACATGCAAATGTAAAACCCAAATAGATCTTAGCATGTAAACATGCAGAATGCTGACATGAGCCACGTACATGTGATGTGTGGTATCATGTCGAAACCATGACAAAGCATAATTATTTATGCAAACTCCTCCGTGACTCAAGTGCGGATGTTCCACTGACGGTATACTCACATGACCGAAAAACAGGAAGGGCAAAAGAAATGTCAGTCCTTTCCACATCCAGGACTGAAATCCCTCTAAGAACAGAAATCAGCCATGTACTTTATTTGCCATTATGTTCATGTTCTGAATTTGAAACTTTAAATTTTTTGTACATGGCTTCCACATGAAATGATGCAGACAGCATATTTATTCGGTGACCGAGCTCTGTGTTTGTGAACCTTACCCACGGTCAGATCCATGTTGTGTCTTTCACCCAACGCTCTGAGTCTGTAGAGACATCCACTCTGATAATAACACTGCAGACATTGAACAAAACCTGCATGTTCATGAGAAGATGTTTTGATGACATCTGAAGAAAAATCTGGTATGACTTAATTTGCCAAAGACTTGACCTTACTTTGATAGAGGGAGTAAGCCAGGAACTGGTTCCTGAAAATCTTATACAAGTTGCCATCTGGCCTTGAGTGCAGAAGGGAGGACACTTTAACCATACAGTGCCAGAAAACTTTCACGTTTCACATTAGCTGTAAATGGCTTTCGATTTACTCACCATGTCAGCATTACACCAGACAAAAAAGCTGAGATGTAATGATGGAAAACCCACCAGCCTTTAATTCTGAAACGTAGGTGACACATGGAGAGAATTAACTTCCAAAAGAATTTTTAGAAAGTAAAATGTCTTCAGAACTGTATACAGTATCGGGCTGACCTGGAGCCATTGTTGATGAGGATACTTTCCCTGATTGTTAATGTGCAGTAATACCAGACCAACAGGAAGTTGAGGATAGCGTCAAGAAATCTGAAGCCATGTACCAAAATTAAACACAAAAGTCCCATTGACATATGGGAAGGACCACATTTTCTTTTCTGGAAATGCTTACCTGTAGTTCACAAAGAAATAGCATGTAAAGGAAAACAGCAGCAGGATGACAGTGAGGTACAGCTTGAACTTCTCATATTCGTCTTTGTAGGCAAATCTGGTAATGAGTTTTCAAAATGTGACAAGCAGAAATATCCGGAAGTGCATAAGACTTTGTGGACAAAATGAAGTTAGTGAGATGCCATTGGGAGCATTGTTGACTATGCCACATAACCTTATCCGGAAAAGGTCGTCGCTTTAGGAAAAAAAAAAGAGCACTTACTTTAACTGTTTGCTGAGCAGAGTGACATTCACATTTCCAAGAACCAGAGTGAGGTACAGCCTGAAATACAATCACAACGACACTTTGTCCTTATTTCATTTTTAATAGAAGTAGGAATGTAATCCAAGAATACGATTTTAACCACGAGCACTATATTTTGGTATTTAGCGGTAGACTAAACACTGATATTTTTAGCAAGGTTGATTTATTTTAATTTGTCACCCATTTTTCCTTGGGAGAAAGGATTCCATTTCAAAGAAGGCATTGGTTTGCAGCTTTATTTTCTCTCTTATTACGTCAAGGGCATCTTCTTCCAACAGTCCTTTGCTGCACCTGGTTGATGAGACAAAAACACGACCGGGCTTATCACCGGCATATCTGCGTTTGAGTGTCTTAGTGTATGCCTATTTGTTTGCCTGTTTGAAAGCCTCCCTTTTCAGCTAAATGTGTATGTGTGTGTGTGTGTGGGGGGGGGGGTTGAAAGCTACTTTTTTACAAAAGAGGACATCTCCTTCAGTCTTGTTTGTTGACGGGAAATGGAGGAAGAGCAGCTCCTTTGGAGTTTGGAAATTTCATCCAGTTTTTGTAGGTATAGCCTGTGTGCCTCCTGATTGACAACAAAACAGAATTACAGAACATCAATAACCACAGGAAATTATGCAGTGCAGTCAATGTGATTGAGCTTTCTGCTAGGGAATTTTAAATCTAGAGAACTGTGAGCATGTGCTATTTAATATTAAACACAGGGTTGGTGATTACTCATTGTTGCTTACCTGAGCATGCTGATACTCTTCTTCCAGGCAGCCCCACTGGTGCAGAACATCTGTTAAATTTTGCGAAGTTTTGTGAGTCATTTGCTGGCCTTCCATTTACACCAAAGTCTTTGCTTTAAATATAATTATGTGCCGAAGTATTATTCGTCAGGGTGTGTATGTCATTATCACGGAGAGTTTATTGCACCGAGTGAACTTTGACTGGTGTGCAAAAATTCAAACTTGGACATTGTTCTGTGTTTAGCTCTGTGTGCCATTGTCAAACATAGCTATAATGGTTAGTTAATCCTGACTAAATCATATGGATTAGGTCGATAGATTGATATTGATATGAGATTTTGTCTGATTACATAGTTACATTTTTATTTTGAATATGTGATACAAAAAAAAACAACAACAAATAAATGAAAAATCTACAACGTAACACTGTATACCACTGGTCTAAAAAGGAATATGACATCAAAATGTACATGTACAAAGTACAATTGAAAATGTTCACCCAGTACTATGACCTTACGTTTTCTGGTTTATGGTACATTGAATCATTACGTGATGACCCTCCTCCAAAATGGATGAAAAGACGAAAAGAAAACTGTTCAGGGAGGCTGTCAAGAAGCTGACAACAACATCAAAAGAGCTGCAGGTATTTCTGGGAAGTACTGGCTGCTTGTACATGAGACAGCAATTTCTTCATACATCTGTGCTATGAGGTAGGGTGGCAAGACAGAAGCCTAATGCTGCAAAGAAAAACATCTAAGCCTGGTGTCATTTTGATCAAAAGGAACTCTTTGACTATAATATTTAGAGGTATATTTCATGTAAACACAACACTGCTTGGTGGCCCGCCTCTGTGTGCCCTGCGATTGGCTGGCGACCAGTTCAGGGTGTCCCCCGCCTACTGCCCGAAGACAGCTTGTACTGTAGGAAGCCTTCTTGTAGAACTGATAATTGCTATGTGATAATGGTGGTTTTAGTTGGATAAGGCCAAGGTAGCAAGTGCACCGGTCCGGCCGCCACCAATTCACATGGCCAACCGTGGCTCACATCAACATGTCTCAATCCATCCAGTAGAGGGTGATAATGCGCCTTGCTTGCTAAGACCCGTTGTGTTTTTGACGCAGTCCACGAAGAAGAGAAGCTACGCGGCCAAACACAAGCAGCTACCCGGACTGTCAAACGCACAGCTGATCGAACAAAAACAAGCAGCGGACGAACCAAAAACGACAGACACACAGATCTAGACATTTATCAACAAGAACCGGGACTAGAACGGTCGATGTACAGCTAAGGTACAGCTATGGTAAATAACTCAAATTGGCTCGTACACCGGCGTTAAAGGTAAACGCTGTTGAACGTATGGCGCCAGGGTGCTCGTAACAACTCATATCTGTGCGTGTCCCGTCAATTGTAAGGGAGGTAATGTACGGTGCGGTTTACGTCCTGTCCACGGTGACGGGCTACGTCCTCACCTCCGCGTTGTTGCTCAAATGCCCGACTCTTCTGCATCGGAAGAAGAAAGAGAGGTTCCACAGTAAGCACATTTCTCATCGTGGAGGTAAGTGAGCGGTGGTACTCTCTCAAGCAGTGCGTATGATTTCATTCTTGTGGAAGACAGTAATAATATCCTAATTCAAAGTTTTGAGATCCCATACGTATCAAAAGGGGGAATTCCCAAGGTAGGAAAAGTAGTCAGTCAGGACTTAAGGAGCACAGACACTTGTGTAGTAGAAGTTCTGATTCAACTCTTGAACTTCGATATTAAAGCACAGACTCAGAAATCGCTACAGAAGATTGATTTGAATTGATTGATTCCTGTCTGCATTTCAGGAGCAGCAGAGAACCTTGAGAACACAATGGCGGCTTTCAAACAGTAAGTTGAACTTCGACCCGCAGCGCCAGGTGAAAGTCTGCTGCTGAACAATATGTGCCTCTTGCTCCTCGCAGCGCCGTGGCTCTTGGCACTGACATGTTGGAGCTTGACTGCCACCTGACGAAGGATGAGCAGGTTGTGGTGTCACATGACCCACATCTGCAGCGAGCAACTGGTATTAATGCCTACATCTCTGACATGGCATATGGGGTAAGCAGAACATTTTATTCTATAGTATTTTAATATCCTTAAGTTTTAAGCTATTAAAGGTCAGTTTCAGGTTCACTTGTCATCATCACACTTGTATTTGCCATCAGTCTCCAGCTCACCCATCTCGAAAATAGATGGATACTCTCAGATTACTCTCCCATTCTGGCTGCAGCGCACTTGACATGAAACACTTACTTTCCCTGTGATCTTAGCTGTAATTCACTAACTTACTCACAGTACTTCACCGCCATATTTGACCTTAGGTCTCCACGCCTTCTCCACTTCCTGCTGTTTGCTCTGTGCAGGAGTTGCCACCATACCTCTGCAAGCTGGATGTGACTTTTCAAAGGGGTGAGTGTCTGTGGCTGGAGCACTCCCATGTACGCTCACACGTCAATCGGAGCTCTTAATCAAACTGCCGTCGCTGTAAACCGCTAAAAATCCCACGCAGGTTCTATTACATAATTACAACCATTTTTATATTGGAGGGGTGGGAGGGGGGACTGGACTGACCTTGTTATCTACATGTCCTTGTGTGTACAGAGTGTATATGCGAGGGGGGAGAGGACAAACGCATTCCTCTGCTCAAGGATGTTTTTGAAGCATTTCCCAACACCCCTGTCAACATTGACATCAAGGTCAACAACGATACACTCATCAAGAAGGTGCGTGCGCGTGTGCGTGTATCTGCTCTCGAACAAATATCAGTATGAAAGCTTCTTTAATTTTGTCTCTGACAGCTGCATGTCAGATACACATTTCCTCCTACATTCAGATTCTGTTTTTGGTCATTTTTCTATTTGTGTGGCAGGTTTCCGAGCTGGTTGTAAAATATGACAGAGAGCATCTTACAGTATGGGGCAACGCCAGCAACCAGATAGTCAGGAAGTGTTACAAAGAGGTATGTACAGTATGTCTCCTGTTTCCACATCACCAGTCAGTCAAATTTGTCATGGTAGTTTCAAAACAAGCCATTCCCACAGTTCGCAAGCAATCCCTGACCATTTTGGATTCATGTTTTGCAGAACCCTCGCATTCCTGTGTTGTTTAGCTTTCCCAGAGTGTTGCAGTTGTTGTGTCTCTTCTACACTGGTCTTCTCCCTTTTGTTCCTTTAAAGGAACAGTTCTTGGAGATCCCAATGCCCAATATTGTTAACAAGTAAGTATGGAAAAGTAGACACAATGTTTGTCGGAGGTAAAACACATACAGTGAAGGAAATACTCACAGTGCTTCATGTTTCCCCACATTTTATGTTATGTTACACAGTCTTAATCCAAAACTGAATCATTTATTTAGTTTTCCTAAAACAAAAAAAAATCTACAAACATGAATCGGTTTGGTCTTGTACAATACAACACGTTTATTCATATAGCACTTTCACAGCAGCTACATTTCTTTGAATTTTGCGCATGTATTAAAGTATATATTTATTTATATACTTTTGTCTTCTACTTTCTCCCTTTCCTAATTTTGTAAATTGGGAATTTCTCCTTTGCGAGACAAATAAAGGTTTTCTTATCTTACCTTATCAAGCAGAGGACTGAACCATTTTATCCCGCAATTGCTTTGTCAAAAATTACCTGGCCCATCTGTTAATTTTAAAATCAATCAGTGCCCTTATTTTTTTTTTTAAATGTTCAATATATCTCTTTACAGACTTTATGATCCGAACAGAATGAGCAAGAGTCAGCGCCTATTCACCTGGCTTGCAGATAAGTGAGTTGACTCACCACCTTTGGCAGTCAGTCAGTTAATCACCTTTGTGTCTGATTGTTGGAATTAGCTGCACTTAACATCATCCTTTACTATTTTATCTGGTCCCCTCCTCTTTATTTTTTTAAGTAATATTTGTACCCTTACTATTCTCCTAATTAATTTTTTTTCCTTTACAGCTTATTGATGAGGAAAGCGCTCTTCCAGCATCTCACTGCTCGGGGAATACAGGTGAGGTTTTAGGAGGTTATTTGATCCTTCACCTCTATGTTGTTTTGTTCAATTTTGTCCTGGAGTAACCCAACTTGATTAAGGAAACCATGTCACACATCATTATTTACCCGTTTAATAACATTCTATTTTTCTTGCATGCAATGGCAACATTGACTACATCTGTATGTTCAGAAAAACCCTAAGGTAATAGAACTGTTTCCTCTGGTTTCAGGTGTACATTTGGGTGCTGAACGATGAAGAAGACTTCCAAAGGGCATTTGACTTGGGAGCTACAGGGGTTATGACAGATTTTCCCACCAGGCTGAAAGACTTCTTGGATCGGAATGGCCTTTCCAAGCCTCAGTGACTTGTCTACAGCCACCTGAACGCTGCCATAAAACGAGGATAATTGTGTTTGAGCACTGCACATTTTTACACTAGCAATACCATTGAACGCAAAAATTCATTGAAGTTCGGTATTAAATCTCTACACACCTTTTATGCCATCGTTACAACCGCAGCTCGATCATTTTACTTGAATGTATTTGTAACGTTTGCAATACTACTCAAGCATTAGATGTTGCACGCAAAAACACCGGCAGATGGTGCTGCCAATCACAATTGACCTCCCATTTTATTTCATGGGCAGATGTTTTGTTTTTGGTTTCATTTTAAAATCTGGTTTCACGTTTGCACTGATAACAGGACTGTCTTAACAGCTGCACTAAAAACTGTTTTCAGAGACAGGAATGGCAGTCCTGACAAGATTTGATTTCAATTAACTTGGTCAACATGGCCAATTCGGCATTGAGCTGCCGTCAGACAGCAAGTGAGTAAAAACACTGGGAAGTTAAATTTCACATGTGCGAAAGGACAGTACTGCGGTATTCTCTTGAATGAATAACATATTTCAATTCAAGAGGCATTTCCATGTGCAAGAGCATTTACAAGTTTCTTTTAATGAGTTGCACTATTGTCTTTGTCTTTTTTTTTCTGAAAAAAAAATCGTAACATTTTGTCAAGAGACCAGAACATAATGATTGACTTTGCTAAATAAATGCGGAGAAACAAAATAAGAAATCAACGGGAGGATGATCAAACCACTAATATTCTCCAATCCAGATAGGCGACGAAGCACTTTGAGTCATGATTGAATGTAATGTTGATGCGTTTTTGCCATTTGGTGTTGTCAATGAAATTAGCTTTTATATTTGTGTATTTATTGATTAGTACATCTCCCCCCAGTCTTATAGTCTACTTGCATTGCAGATCTTAAAGCAACTGAAATTGTCTACATTATTTGTATTACATTGTGTCATTGATGCATGCATGTTTGAAAACTTACGAGTGTGTTTTGTTTGTTTTTGGTTTCATTTTAAAATCTGGTTTCACGTTTGCACTGATAACAGGACTGTCTTAACAGCTGCACTAAAAACTGTTTTCAGAGACAGGAATGGCAGTCCTGACAAGATTTGATTTCAATTAACTTGGTCAACATGGCCAATTCGGCATTGAGCTGCCGTCAGACAGCAAGTGAGTAAAAACACTGGGAAGTTAAATTTCACATGTGCGAAAGGACAGTACTGCGGTATTCTCTTGAATGAATAACATATTTCAATTCAAGAGGCATTTCCATGTGCAAGAGCATTTACAAGTTTCTTTTAATGAGTTGCACTATTGTCTTTGTCTTTTTTTTTTCTGAAAAAAAAATCGTAACATTTTGTCAAGAGACCAGAACATAATGATTGACTTTGCTAAATAAATGCGGAGAAACAAAATAAGAAATCAACGGGAGGATGATCAAACCACTAATATTCTCCAATCCAGATAGGCGACGAAGCACTTTGAGTCATGATTGAATGTAATGTTGATGCGTTTTTGCCATTTGGTGTTGTCAATGAAATTAGCTTTTATATTTGTGTATTTATTGATTAGTACATCTCCCCCCAGTCTTATAGTCTACTTGCATTGCAGATCTTAAAGCAACTGAAATTGTCTACATTATTTGTATTACATTGTGTCATTGATGCATGCATGTTTGAAAACTTACGAGTGTGTTTTGGTGACTTGATCTGTTTTGACCGTCTCACTTCGTCATGTGTGCACAAGTGACAAGGGTTTTGTGGTATCTCAGCTGTTTTTCAGACAAAATAAAAATGTACACGATATATTTCTGACAGAGGCAAGCTGTTTTTCTTTCTGTGTAAATGTGATCACACCACTGGAGAAACTGGTATTTTCAATTTAACACGAGATGACGTCGCTATAGAAACTGGTCACGTATTCGACACGAGGGGGAGACAGAAAGTTGGATTTTGCACTCACTCATCAGTCTTCTGAGTACATTCTCGAGTTACTGATCGCAAATATTGCGTCATGGACAGCGAAAACATGTTTTGCCCCCCCCCCCCCCCCCCCCATTTAACACCTAAAGAAGACGGTTCTTCATAAATCACTTCAAAAAATATACTTCGTCTTCTCGATGATTCGGTAAAACGTGGACGTACAGTCAGCGAACTTGTTGTTAACGAAGATGTCTTTCTAAACCAATGAACGCGATGTTGCTATGCTGTTTCACTTAAATGATTGGCCTTTCGGTATGCCAATCATTCTTCAATACTTCCCTTGACAAAGATCAAACAGTCAAGCTGAAAGGGTGAACCTTCACCAGTGGCATTTTAAAACGTTTTGCCCGAGATGTTTGACGCGATTCAGCGATCGATCCATCGTTAAAATAAAACTATATCGTTTTGTGATCTACATTAGGACCGTGAGCATTTCCTAGACCGAGCGCACTGATTTTAGGGGGTTTGAATGGTAGAGTATTTTTACATGTACAAATACGTTATTTGTCAAATAAAACATTTAAAACATGATAAATGTTATCAGTTACATGTACTGTATGTCCACGTCGTCTATCAGCGAATCTGATTTTATCTTTCTGTAGATACACACATTACAAACGCGGCATCATTGTTTTTGCGCATGTGTGCGTTTACACACTACAAACGTTACTATAATGTTTTTCTTAGCATTGATACAAAAATAATCATCATGGAATAGAGTGTATATGTTACTATCAGGAGAAAATACATGATACGTCTTTTTTAAGCCTTTACAGCGACGTTAAATGAAGGGAAGGGAAGCATCTTGCTCCGGCTGGCAGTCTCCACACTCTTTACCTTCCTCTAGAACTGTGCTGGGCATCGTTGCGCGTCAAAACATTGAGTCTATGCACGACTTCCCTGGGCCCAGGAGAGCAGAGACAAGAGCCTGGAAGACAAGAAGCTGAGAGGACATTTTCACCTTGGAAGAAGCCCAAATGAACGTTTAAAATTGGCACTGTCACGAAGAAAACGAGGAGGTGCGACGTTTTTCAGGCAACGCGTAGGTTCCTTTTTCTCCCCCACAAAGGTAAAACTAATTGCTACGTGTTGTTGTTATTATTGTTGTTACCTTCAGTGTATTTCTTATTTCTTACTGTATTAATCACAGTTTTTGTTGTTAAGAGATGGTGTCGATGTCAGCTCATCAAGTCTATGGTGCTTGATTATTTATCAACACAGTCGGGACTCTGGTGTTCCCCTTAACGTGCTATTTATTTATTGTTGCCCTCTTGTGCATTAATTTATTTTGATATTTGAGGAGGTTTACACTGTCATCCACTTCATCCTCACATGTTGTTTTGTGGCGTCTGTCCGAGGCGCGTGCGCCACAGTGCGCGCGCACGCGGCTATTTGTCGCGAACGCTGCACATTACCTCAACCATACGTGATCGATGCAAGTGATCCCATAACCCTCTCACTCCACCTGCCAGGTCACTGCAGATCTTCAACTCAGTGTCGTATGGCAGTGTGTGTTTGTGTGAGTGTGTGTGTACGTGTGTCTGCCTGCGTGCGTGTGGGCGCGCGCAGGATTGCTGAGCTCAGGCATCCCTGCCATCTGGGCTCCGTGTGGTGGCTGAAGTTCTGGCCCAGATAAAGTGTGCCACTGCCTGTGTGACCTGATTCATACAGTAGGCATCACACACACATACGCACTCACTGCAGGCCTTCAGCGTCCCCCACCAATTTATAATTTTAAGTACAGTATTTTGATTGATGTGATACGTAGGCCTTCCTGCGCAAGTTTTGGACAGGCTTTTCCAAAACGTTTTGAAGGGCTACACGTGTTTAGTGTTTGTCTAAAAACTTGCAGCCTCGCCGTATTGCATCACTTGTCGAGGTGTCTATTTAAGAGCATACTTATTATCTGATGTTATCATCGTGACCACATAGGCCTGTACGGCAAAAGTGAGTACACCTCTCAAGTTTTGGTAAATAATTTCGTATCTCTTTTCGCTTAAGAAACCAAATTTTGTTGTTAGTGTACAGCTTGTATAACAGTGTACTCAAATTAAAGCACTTGCTCTCGTACTCGGTTGGAAAATAGTGGCTCCATTTCCAACATCCTTCTCCCGATATAGCCACTGTCCCTCCTCTGTACATGTTCAAACTCCTGCGTCTCAATCGTTCCTCTGCGTCTCCAAACCTTCCAGTCTGTTTTCCTGAACCTGCCGTACTCAGAGAGAATCTCATCATCTTCAATTCTGACACCTCCAGTTCTGTCTCCCGTTTTCAGGTCATTGCTACTGTCTCGAAACCATACAACATGTCTGGTCTCGCTCGCTCTCCTTTTACTTTTAGTGAAATTTGACATGAAGAAAACGTTGACATTAAGAAAGCACGATACACATTCTTTTGCGATTTCGTAGCTGTGCCCAACCAATGGCATTTGATGTGCCGCGAGGCTCAGTGATGTCACTCTGCTGTACGCCTTGAGGAACACCAAACGGGGAACGCGATGAAAGAAGGTGAAGTGCTGATTTGCTGCTCGTGGGTGCAGCTCGTGCGCAGCATTCGATGCACACTTGTACTTCCCCTCTCTGTCCCCGTCTGACTCGCATCCCTCGCTTTGCCCCGATCGTCGTCACAAACGGCAGCGGCGGTGGCATCAGTCGCTTATATAACAAAGGTTTTTTTGTTGGGATATACAAGGGCCCTTTCGGCTGGTGAGACTCATGGCATGTAGCCCTTTGTGATGACACTCCGAAATGACCAGAACGGCCAATGCGGTGACCTCAAACGACATGCGGTAGGACTGATGAATAGACAGTGGCAGCAGAGGAAAAACAAATGCAATTGTGTGGCGAGGCCTTTCGATAAGGAGAGCGCAAGTGTGGGGCGACCGAAATGGACAGTGATAGAAAATGGACAAACACGAATTTCACACACGAAAGGGTTGGGCACATACTGCACATACAAATACTGGTACCCTTTTCACCTTTGCTACATTCTTCACTTGGCAAATGGATAGCCTGCTGGGAAGTAGAATTGCATCTTGTGATTGATTTGACAGGAACAAACTGTGTATTTTTGCATGCAAATTTCACCATAAATTCTCTTACCGTTGGAATAGTCCTGGCCAACTCACTAATCTCAGTCACCCAGGCGAGCAACACAAGTATTTTAAGGGCTTGGACTATTTGGTATCATGCAGCGAGTTCAGCGTGAGGCTCACAGTTGTGTTAAGCTAAGAAGATTAACTCTGCAGCCTCATGCTAGACTTCGATGTGAGCTAGCTTTCCTGCCTGCATTGGTTCGGGTGAATGGGAAGTGTGCCTGCAACTGTGGACAAATACCCCAATGCAGCTGCTGGGGGAGGAGGTCTGGAAATGGCTTGAGCCTGCAGGAGTTGTTGTCAGTTTGAAACTTTGGGTACACAAAACTTTATTTGCTTTTTTTTTTTGAGCCAGCTGCTTCTCCTTGAAAGAATCGCGTGCATGCAATTTGAAATCTATTGGAGTGCTATATTTGTCTGCATGTATATGGATACAGAACATGGGATTGTTGCGCAGGTTCACAGTGAACATGCAACACGCTTTTTCCATGCTTTAAAAAGAGACAACCGTTTTCAACATTTCAAAGGTAAAGGTAATTTGAGAAAACTTATTTCATAAGTCACGCGTGTGAATCAAACACGTAGCCCTTTTGTATTAAACCGTATCCAAGAAGTAGCTCTCACTTTCAAAAAGGTTGGTGACTCCTGTTTCAGTGTTTTTTGTTTTGTTTTTTTTGTTGCAAGAGAAGCAGGTATACATGAATTATGAATACAAGCACTACAAATTATCTTGATTTTTATTTTTAATGTTGAACATGCAGTACCAAAAAAAAAATCATATTGAAACTGCTGAATAATTTAAGAACTCCCCCCACCCCCCTTAAAAATTGTTTTTGCATCAGCCTCTGGTTTTATCAACAGTGCCTGCTACTTGTGCTCTCATGTTTAAGGGAATGCAATGTTTTTGTTAGGTTGAATGGCCACTTGGTTAACCAGCGACTAGAATGAGGTGCCGATAATTGAGCCTAATTTGAGCATTCCAGTTAAAGTCAGCAAAGGCCTGATTATCAGGTTTCTCAGAAACTTATCTTTTTTTTTTTTCTGTGGTGTGGAAAATGTCAAGATTTAACTCCATCTACGATCTGCTCCGATAACATTCTCGGTCAATATTCACCAATTTTAAACCAATTCAATATTTTCGATTGTAAATCCTTTTGTGTGGTCAACACAAAGTTGGGCCAAAAAAAACAAGTCCATGAATGTGATGTTTTGCGTAATGTGTCTCACGAGTCATTTGCCACTTTAGCAACAACATTTCTTCAGGTCAAAAGAAGAGTGCTACTTTTGTTTTCAATACAAAATAATTGCAATTATACTGGATAACACAGACCACTCTATTCAAGTTAAATAAGTGCTAACCAGCTACATTTTGTCAAATTAAAAACAAAACAAAACATGAAACAGTCATATTTTAAGAAAGGCTAAATGGCAACCAACTTCCATAAGTTTGATCCTCCCCAAAATGATATAAACAGTCCAGATGATCTGGTCGAAGAATTCGTTTGTGCATTCACTAGACCGGATCATCCGCTGTACTAAAATGCTCATAAGCTTTGTCTACAATTGAAATGTCGTGGAAGTATTTGCGAATGATGACACATTGTTTCAATCTTTAAAAAAAAAACAACAACAACATACTGCAGCCCTCAAATGCCGACGTGTATTCAAGCGCCAATGGAATGCCGAATGCTTCAAGATGCACATGCAACAAAAGACACAAACATGCGGCAGAATTGACGACGCGAGTTTAACCCTTTCATGCACCCAGTAACCCGATGACATGATAAGCCGTCCACTATTGTAACCGCTGTCCCTGAAAGGGTTAAGGCAACAGCATGAGCTCTCCCGTCCCTCTATGCTTTGCAGGTGTTTGCCTCCCGACCCACCGCCCACCACGGCCCTCACCTGTGTGCTGCGGTGCTTCCCTTGTGAGCCGACCTGGGCCGGCAGTCCCTTCTTGCACCGCCCGCCAACCCCGCCCATGGTCAGAATGACGCGCTCCAAGACCTTCCAAGCCTACCTGCCGAGCTGCCATCGGACGTACAGCTGCATCCATTGCCGGGCTCACCTAGCCAACCACGACGAGCTCATCTCCAAGGTAAACCGACAGCGGTGGCGCTTCACTGAGTTGACTTCACGCATTGCACAACAGTTGTTGCACCTGGATTGTATTTAAATGGCATTACGGCCATTAAGGAAAACCACTGGGGTTACAGATGTGCTTAAAATGTTCCAGCTCACATGGCTTCACTTTTGCAAGTATTGGAAAAAAAAATGACCATGTTTGAATATTTTACACAGTGGATTTGTACAAGTAAATAGCAGATCGCCCTCCTATATGGTCCAATATTCTCTCTTGTATTTCCTGGAGATGGATTATGTTTTAAGATGGTCATTGAGTTGTATTATGAATGAGTCCCTTTTACACGTGCACTGAAAGCAGCACTCGCCAAGCACACACACACACACACTTCTTTCGCAGCAGATAAATGACCTGGAACTGCTCGGCCTTGATGGCTTTCATTAATACCTTCTGTGAGCGTCTCTTCCTGCAATATGAAAGGGTCCATGTGTGTCACAGCCGACTCATCTTTGCTTTCTTCTCGCCTCTGCAGTCGTTCCAGGGCAGCCAGGGCAGAGCCTACCTGTTCAACTCTGTGTGAGTGTCCGTCTTTTGTTCTTTGTTGCCTCCATCTGCTTTCAATTGGCTTAACTTAAGCGCCTATGCACGCTACCCTTGGGAGAATAGCAATTTTCCATACGCTGTTATTTAAGGAAGTTCGCAACGTATGTTCTTCCAGCGGGTTGGCACATTGTTTTTGTTTTACGGCTGCGGTGTAGACAGAGCAAGCCTGCCTCGGGGGAGCCGTCATTGTCAGATGAATTTAAGGCCGTTCAAGTCAATTGTAGGCAGACCAGTTCTCTGCTCTGAGAGGGAGTGGGTGGGATTGAGTGACTCACTCACTCTGTGCACATTACACTCTGTATGAAACAGACCAAGATAAACTCACCCATGTCTGTCTCTCGCTCTCTCTCTCGCTTTCTCACTCTCTCTCTCTCTCTCTTTCTCTCTCTGGACCCATTCTTGTTCTTGTAGGGTGAACGTGGGGTGTGGTCCTGCAGAGGAGAGAGTTCTGCTTACAGGCCTGCACGCTGTAGCAGATATCTACTGTGAGAACTGCAAGACCACCCTGGGCTGGAAATATGTGAGTGCCCTTTGCCGATGTTCAGTACCGCACGCAAACAGCTTCAAATGTTTCCGAGATGATTAACAGCCAAGTCTTAATTTTATTTGCACCTCCTATTATATTTGGACCACCGCCGCATTCTGGATCAGTGAACCTGCAGGCAGTATTCCGTACGAGGCATCTTTATATATCGTTGGGGATGCTGTTTGGCAGGTTGGGAATAAAGTCTGACATTTAACTTGAATAAACTGATGGCCTTTGGAGAGACGATATTGCTGTAACAAGAGACTGCAACATTCGGTTGAACAAAAACACACACACACACACACACACACACACACACACACACACACACACACACACACACACACACACACACACTGGGAAGGGGGTAACGTGTCACTACGAAAAGTGAGGGAACACTATAATACAAAAATGTAATTATGAAAATATTATTTTATTATTAAACTACCATCAACACATTTTACATACATCTACATTCTGTCTTTTTATTTCACCTCAACTACGAATAACCGAGCCTCATCTGTCTGGTTTCAATATCAAACGCGGAGCCTTGAGCACCAACGTTTGCTCGCGCTTTAGTGTGCGATGTTGTCGATCGGAGCGAGAGTCACCCGGTTAAAATCCATATGCGGTACGTATTTAGCGTTGGTGATATGTAAAAAGGGACTTAACTAGGAAGCGCGCATGTTATCCTCTTTCATGTATCAGCAGAGCTGATTGAGTGCAGTTGTCGGAGGTGAACCCAGTCAGCATGGAGGTGAGAATTTACACTGTGGGCACGTGAGCGTCTTCCTCGAACGTGGCCCTGCACAAGTACACAATATCCTTGTTGTTTGGCGCCTGAGAAGGCTCTATTCACCGTCCGCTTGGGCCTCACCTCCAACTCTGAACGTTCCCAGCATAAACATTTTCCTTCATTAATCTTACGAGTCGTTATTTTTTTCCAACCGAGGTTCTATTCCTGTCCCATGCCCACATGGTGGAGAACACATGGCAAGTGCACACACACACACACACACACACACACACACACACACGTAATAGTACTTAATCGGGGGCTGGGGTTGGGGGTGGGTGGGGGTAATGACATACATATCAGTTGCAGCTGTGTCGAGTTTCTGCTGTCATCAAAGTTCTGTGGCGATGACCTTGACCCATGGCCCTTATATACCAGAAATATGATCATGCCACTCCAAATCCACACAGTCAAAGACAAAACAAGGCAGACAGACTCCACAGTCAAAGACACTTCTGTGTCTGGTACAGGACCTAAGGGGGGTTAACTCCCCCACCCCAAAAAAAAACCCAAACAGAATAACACAAGTATAGTATATCCTCTAATTGGAACTTTTGGTTGCGAAACTACAGTTTATTTAGTTTTGGTTTCTTGCTACACCCAATGCCATCTTTTAAAATGTGGTGGGAATTTGTGACCTGGGACTGGATGAAAATGACGACGGATTCGAAAGTAGCAGTCATTGTCGCGCTCTCTGGCCAGAATGTGATTGTTTCATTCTGAACGCAGCCACATCACAGTTATTAGAGGGTGTTCACAGTTGTGCAATCACATCTGTTATTTTTATTTCACCTCTTGAAAATGACTTGTACCGTAAAATCACATGAGTAAGACACATGCCCCGCCCCCCCACCAAGTCACACTTAAAAAGCTTTTTTCTTTCTCTGTACTTGTGTCTAGTACACTCCCCTGATTTGCTGGTATTCTTTATCATCAGAGTGAATAATATGAACGCATAAAAATTCAAAACATACCAGTAAAGTGAAAATGCTTTTCAATCCCGGTTAAAAAAAAATGCTCTTTTCCCACAGCGAGGATTAAGGTCTTTTCAAAAGTATCACGTCTTCGGAAATCTTGTTCTTGCACGCAGCACTCTTTAAGGAATTTGAGTTAGTTATTTTAAATCAATTTTTTAACTTCTTTACTTATCTTTTAAATCATTTTACCGTTTACTGCTTTTAAATGTACTTTCAATGACCAGAATGTGAAGTATATTGAGTTACGTTGTGTATCTACGCTATGAGTCAGTTGTTCCTTTTTTTTTTTTGAATAACCTCTAGCTCCTGGTAAACGTACCTACAATATGAAAAATTTTCAGTTCTTATTCTTCCCCCTGTATAATATCGCCCGCTATATTGGATCTTATTTTTATTTTTGGGGTGGGGGGGGACAGGAAAATGAGTCAATTTTGCAGTGTGTGTTATACGCCACATGAATGGTGGCAACGGTTAAGAATCAATTCATCTTGGTCACATTGTTTTGAATCACAAAAAGCCCACTCTTGAACAGGGGTGTGTCGACTTTTTATACCCACTGCATTCTGGTGTCTACCAGTGCTATAAACGTGTTACTGGTAGTGTCTTTGAGCACGATGTGAATGAAATGTCAGCCGCCCTGTCCTGTCTTTTGCCGCACCCCCCCTAGGAACATGCCTTTGAGAGCAGTCAGAAGTATAAAGAGGGCAAGTTCATCATCGAGCTGGCCCACATGATCAAGGACAACGGCTGGGACTGAGCGACGAGCCCGCCAGGACACAAACACAGTGGAAGGGGAGAGGGTTGGGTGAATGGATGGATGGTTGGGGAGGGCGGGGAGGGTGTTAGGGGGTTGTAGTGGGTGAGTGTGTGACTTTGGTTTGGCTGATATACCATTAACCTCTGTAAGTCCCTGCCCATTCCTGACCCCCCCCCCACTCCAATGACGCCTTCTCGCACACACTGACACTCGCATGCCTGAAGTCGCCGACATCTAAGCTGGGAGCTGCGGTAGATGACCTTTTGACCGCGAATGAGACGACAGGTCTCCTTTTCTTACTGAAACCTGATTCCGGATCTTTATGATGTTCGAACACCAAAACCAACTCAGAGGAAACGCATCGGGCAGTCAGCCTTGCTTGGCTGTTCTGCCCCCCACCCCCCGTAGCTAGCGATGACCTAAGATGATTATAGCAAATCGACATGATTGGGGCGGTGCCAGCTGGGCCACTGATGACGCTTGGCACAGACATCCGAGCACAGCGGGCGGGCGGGGAGATTGACGCTCAGCGGGGCCGTTCACTCAACATGAAGAGGCGGGGCAAGGGAAAGATGGTGCTCCAGTCGTGCGGGTGCTTCGACGGCTTCTGGCTGGGTCCAGCTCAGGGCAGCCAAATTAAAAGACACGTTAGCTCGACCGTCATCAGCTTTTTGTCAAATCTTGCTGTTTGGTTTGAAACGCTCAAAAGTGCCCTGCAGATTTCTGGTGGTTCCCAAAGTCTTGTTGTAGGCTCAAAAGACAAGAAAGCTTCAGTTGGATGGCGGGCGATGCAAAACTGACTGCGCTTCACAGAAATGGCCACAGTTATGACAAGTTTCATGGGCTTATCGTGTTTCTGATTATTTGCAGCAGCACAATGAAGTGCGGTGTGGATGCTAAAAAGCTAATAATCCAACATGGTGGTGTGCCGTGTCTGTGCAATCTCACTTCAGAGGAAATTACTTCTTTGACCTGGACTGACTTTAGCGGACATGACTTTTGCGTTCATAGACATCAAACTCACACATGCACACTCAAACACATATGTACGAGGACCTGCTATGGACTTCCAGGGCAATGATCAGTATCTCCTGGCGTAATATCCAGCTGTCGTTTTTTTTGTTTTTTAGTACCGTGTTGTCTTTTTTTGTTCTTTACACTCCAGTGGGTGACCTTTATGTGTTCCATCTCGTTTGCTGTTTAACTGCTGTCGCGTCTGAGTAGTCCTAACACTCCATCATGAAGCTGGCTACATGAAGCGGTTTTGCTAGCAAGACCTGCGTGTTAGTCTCCGCAATGCCCTGAGATTGTTTTTTTCTTTTTTTTTCTTTCCTATCTCTTGCCCGTACTCGATAGTCCTCATTGAATCAACTCCTTCTCTGATGGAAATGTCCTTTTTTGTTTTTTTTTTTCCAAATGAGAGAATCCATTAGACTTTCCATCTTGCGGACACCACAAACATACAGTATGCATGAGCTAAAGTGCCCAGTGGGCTTTGAGTCTCCGCTTCTTCCCAGCTGAGAGGGTTACTGCCAATGGCACCGTTTCTGATCCATCTACACAATGTCCAAAACAAAGCGGATGTCAATTACAATCCAGATGTATGGCAGTAGAATGTCTCATCGTCCTTGTGACGGACTCTTTTGTTGACACTTGTTCCAACCTCTCCAGTTAGCAGCAGTAGGTCACATTCAACCACATCATAACCAAAGAAAGCACCCATCAACATGAACCTGACCGAGCAAAAAAGATCTCGTTTTGCTCGGGGGAAAAGTTGTGCAAAAACGAGGGTGTGTTTAGCTGAAAGCCAAGGCCGTGGATAAAATACTTGTCCGTCGTGTGTATTTCGCATCTTTTATTTTGTAAACAACAGATCTTAATATATGAATCTATCGTTATTTACGGCATTTGCCGCGAGGCGTACCATTCATGTCAGCCTCCGTGTTACAGAATGTAAATAATGTCAACAGGTCACGTTTTATCCACAAGCCCCATGATGATGAATGAATTGGATTTGGGTCACGTCAGGCTTTCTCTCCGGTTGGCTGTACAAAATGACTTTTTTTTTTACCCCAAATGTTTGAATTTTAACATCTTTTGTAAAGAGGGATGCTGATGTTGACTTCATGTAATTGGATCATCATCTAATAAAATGCACCTTGGTATCTGGATGGACAACACTGTGTTTCTTCTCTTTATGCAGAAGTAAGAAATAATTTAGTTTGCTCGTGTCACGATTGCAAGGTGGTGGTGGACCCCAAAAAGCAGGCACGAGAGAGGAGCAGGTAGTACTTGATGAATTGTATTAAAACAGAGAAAACTAAATCCTGAACAAACAAAGTCCAAAGTATCAAACAAAACACACGACTGAAGATAAAACATAACAATGACCAAAACCTGACTGAAACAAACATGACAGCAGCCAACAAACAGCAACAAACAAACATGACAGTAGCAAAGAGCAACAATGACCCGACACTGAGTGTTCGGGCTGGGAGTCCTTTTAAAGCACTAATTACATAATGACCAACAGGTGTGCAGCTGCAGGGAGAGCCCTACAGTGCCACCTGTTGGTCCCAAACCGAATCACGACAGCTCGTGGGCTCAGCTGTGAAGTGTAATTGACAGTTGGAGTTATTCACTTTGCTGAGTCTTTCTCATGTTCATTTTATCGCTCGTCCATTGAAATTCATCTCCAAATATAATCCCCGACCCCCTTATTTATATGAAATAAGCAATACCAAATTTTTCATTTTCTTTTTTTTTTTTTGTGTACCCAAACAAGTAAAAGCACCTTTTCCTGATTAATAGGTAAGAATCAACTTTTTTTTATTTTTAACAAAATAAAAATAAAGACTTTATTTCTATCAGACAAACTTCTCATCAGCCTAAATTTTCAAAAGTAAAACCTTTTCAACAGGCTTTGAAAATAAATTACTGTATCTATTCTGCACCCTTACCCGGATTCTCATCAAAATTCAAAGTGTGTCATAACAGCGGAAGGGTACATTTGGCGTCCTCACATTGCAATTGAATTGGAAAATGTGGATTCCAAATCAATTACTTATCGGCTGTCCAGCATAAATGGACAGATCGGCTATACCTCATCGATGCAAGCTTGACATCATTGACGTCCACTCATCTGTGACACGCGTCTGCCTAAACAAGACAAACATTTATCTTATACACGTATGTCCGTGCTGGGGCCATGTATTTGGCGCCTTGGCCTTCAATAGACACATACACTTGTCACCTCTCAATGGGCCACCCTGGTGGACGAGAGGGTCACGGCCCTCCAACTTCAGGTGGGAGACGGGTGAAATTTGAGTCGGTGGAGACATCAAATGACTCCAGTGAAATCAGAACAACTAGTGGTGGACTAAAATATTTGGTCCAAATAAGGAGTCATTGTGGAGTGGCCACATGGTTGTTGTTGTTGTTTGTGTGAACTAAGCATAAAAGCCGACAGTAGCACTCAGCCGTGACCCTTGAAGATGAACATTTCATTGTTTCCATGGAGATGAGCAGATTACATGAGTTACTTTCTGGGGAATTGGGGGGGGGAAAAAAAAAACAACAACAACTGACGGCCTGAGTACAAAGGGGAACATTTTGTTAAATGAGAGCGTGGGTTGGATGAGTGGGCTACTGCACATGTATTTGGAGGAAGGTGACGAGCGGGTCATGTAAGAGTCACATCTGTTAGTCACACATGAATCAAATTTCATGGTGCACTTGTGTGATTGTTATTCCTCCTACTCCACTGCGCTCCATGCTCAGTCCCACTCTCATCCACTCACTTGCTGTATTGTCTCTCATGCTCTCCCCCACGCTGCATGTCCATCTCCTCTATCTATCTGGTTCCCTGTGTTGTTGTTGTAATTGTTGTTGTCATCGTTGCTTCCAACGATTCCCCGCCGCTCTCCGTCTCGCTCTGTCCGACTTGGCTAAACTGCCGCAAATCTCACTGCAGCAGATGGTGCAGTGTTTGCATCGGGCTGGGTTTCCTAGCAACTCCATCTCTCTCTCTCTCTTTTTTCCAAATAGAAAGCAGAGCAGAAGAGAGAGGAGTCACGCGCTGCCTGGCTGTGCTATGTTCACCCTGGCCCTGACCGGACCGTTGCGGTCTATGTTTACGTCTGTCTGCATGTAAAAATCCAGGGCAGGGGCTGGCTGACTGTCTGGCTTGCCTCAAGTGTATTGATTCGACGTGACGTGCAAGATGAGCAAAGCAGGACACCGAGAACGTGTTCTCCTTCATTCGGCAGAAAAACAGCGATTTGTAACCTGATGTGACCCACATTTTCACAAGTGTGATGATGGCGAAGTCACGGGGTGTGTGAAGGAAGCCGTGCCTACATTTTTATGGCACTTGAAATGTCTCCCTGTGGATGTTTATGGAAGTCATTTCATTTCATCACCGAAGGGGGAAAACATTCCAGTGCCTTCTTCGCAGCACTTCCTCCTTTACACACATGCAGTCTGCTCTGACTTGAGTAGTGTATACTAAATGATAAATAATCCAAGTCACCTGGGTTATCTGAGCAACATTTCCATAGAAGTGTTAGGCCACCAACTCGCTTAGTTGGTTCATTGGCCTTTTTTATTTGAACAGTAAGTAATAGAACATAGCAGCAGCGGCTATGTTGCACATTTGACACCCCATTTGTGTCTTAAAAACACACACACACACACACACACACACACACACACACACACACGCACAAAACCACCACAGTGATACTACAGTCGGAAGAAAAGCAAACAATAATACGTCATGATGCAACTTCTCCTGATGAATTGTTTTCATTTTCTCTCTCCACATGACACAAACTGCACTTTATCACTTTATCGAAAGCCTGGCTGCAGCTCTCCACCTTTACTTTTTTTTTTTTTTGCCTCCTTTGGTTGACCCTAGTGAGATTAAGTGAGACAAAAAAAAATGGATGGATATATATATTTATATTTTGCACCCGAGTGACTCTATTTTGAGACTTTGCTCATCAATAGGGGGCCCTACAGCAGCTGAGAGCTCCATTTCTTCCATGAAAGGAATCGTTTGCCTCTGGGGGAAGGAAAGTGCTTTTTTTTTGTACTTTGTTTGTACCTGCATGCATCAGCAGAGAGGGCAACGTGTTTCTTTTTTTCTGTCCACAATATATCTGCCAGATTTGGCAGGTCAGGGTCTGCAGCGACAACTTTATGACGCATTCAAAGGCCTTCAGTCGTGATGACTCCTCGGGAAGTACGTAATCCGACCTTTTCTCTCAAGAAGTCTTCACTGCAGCCCCATTTCATTCGCTCCAAGGTTCGTGTCAGAACTGATTGTGAATACTAACCATGAAATTTCGGTTTGCACTAATCATTACTCAGGGATGGTTGTAATGCAGTGGCCGGTGGTGCATTTGGTACCCGGGTCTCATGTACTTGTAGGGACTCTCACCATGACATGCTTACTTCCATGACATTACAGCAACAGCAGAAAGCCAAAAACTGATTACGACAAACATAACCACTGCATTCAAAGAGATCCGAGCATGACGAGATCAAGCGTGTATAATTTAATTATATTGAGATGTACTGAAGACCAGCGGGCGAGTGGTTAGTGTGTCGACCTCACAGTGCAGAGGTACCGGGTTCAATTCCACCTCCGGCCTCCCTTGTGTGGAGTTTGCATGTTCTCTGCGGGTCTGCGTGGGTTTTCTCCGGGTACTCCGGTTTCCTCCCAAATTCCACAGGCTGATTGAACACTCGAAATTGTCCCTAGGTGTGAGTGTGAGCGTGGATGGTTGTTTGTCTCTGTGTGCCCTGCAATTGGCTGGCAACCGGTTCAGGGTGTCCCCCGCCTACTGCCCGAAGACGGCTGGGATAGGCTCCAGCACCCGCCGCGACCTTTGTGAGGATAAAGCAGATTGGAAAATGGATGGAGGGATGGATGGACTGAAGACAGAGTGTCTGTTACATAATTTCACTGAGAAATTTAATCTACGGTACCTATTTTCAGTCTCTCTCCAGGAAAAAACAAGAGTGAGAATGTCAGCTACGAAGTCATATGATGATCACAGTCAAAAGCGATGCTCGAGGAAAATCACTTGATTAATTCAATCATTTCTACCTCCTTGACACAGTGAGTAAGCAACTCATGAACTGCAAAAAAAACCCCCAAAACATTTGTGTCATATCTAAATATTAAGAAGCCTCTGTAAGTGGAAGTAATCGATACATTAAAAAAGGATTTCCTAGATTGCATAATTTTGTAAACCGTCTTAAACTAGATTTTAGTCATATGCAGGTTGTTTTATTTCAAATCCGTTGTTTTAGTGGATAAAGGCAAATGAAAATGCTGCCAACTGCCCAAATACTTCGTGACCTTCAGTACTGTAACTCGATGTGGTGGTTTGGAGCCCTGTGAGCACAGCCGCTCTTCGTGAACTTTCCTGCCTAGTGATTAAAGGTCCCAATTATCAAGTGGGATGTTTGCCTGTACAGCACCAGCACAGTAAGCAGGGCTGCTGTTGTGTCACATGGGTAATGTGGTGGGTGGTGCCTGGGAGAAAGACAAACTGATCTATTTATAGTCTCTGCAGTCCTAAACTGGGCTACCGAACAGCAGCAGCTCCCCTCGGAAGAACCACTGAAATAAACAAACGCTTCTGCTTCTCTTTGGGTTTGGGGGGGGGGGGGGGGGGGGGGGCCACCCCTTCATCTTTGACTTTGAGCTTTACACATATACGCAGAATCGGGAGGCAGTTGCATTCAGGTCAAGCAAAGCATACAGCCGCACTAATAAACACAGTCATGAAAGTATATTGTGTTCAAGGTCAACAGTGTCAGTCAGAGTTCCAACAAAAAGTTTGAGAGTGACATCTTTTTGTTCATGTTCAGTGTGAAGTGTTTGACAGGACAGTGGATGACTATGGGAGCATGGTTTGAAAATGATTGCCAGGTGACTGCTGGCCAAAAAGTAGTCCGAATGGCTGAAAAGTTAAGGGCCTTTTACTGCATGTCGCGTTTCTCGCTTGTGTTTAACATCCGGACACACAGATGTTGATTGAGCCAAGTTTATTTGCCTTTAAAAATGTGTCTGAAAATGTAGGCTAACCACAGCACGACGGTGAATGAACAACCCTAAAAGATAACATTGATTCTGAAGAGATCTGTAATCCAACCAGTGTTTCCAGATTACACAACACTTGAGCAGAAGGAAGCCCACAAAATTGATCTGCATCTTGAGTTTATAACCCCACAAGCACTTAAAACGAGTCGATGCTTTTAGCGGGAAACTAACTGCACCCCTAAAGATCAATAAAGGTGCATTAGAATTTGGCTCTGCTTTTGAACACTGGCACTTGCGAGTGGAATTACGTTATTTCAAACACGATGAAGCAGTCACGAGGTTCCTCGTCGCTTGATAGATAACAAATAAACTCCCCAAAATTAATGTTGACCAAAAAAAAAAAGTCACATTAATTTAATTAAAAAAAAGGCAACATACAAACAACACAGAAAATAATGCAGAATTCAACTAAAAAACAAGACACACCCACAATTGTATTAACAAGTTGAAATATTTATTTTTAAAAACTGAAAAAATAAAAAGAAACCCACCAACATAGTTTTAGTACACGATACAAAGACACATGTCAATGTCGCTAGGTGAGTGAGTAGTTTCTTTAACTACAATGTGAGGCAGTTTGAAAGGCTGGTTGAGCTGGTACGACGTCGGACCCGAGACAGGTTAATAAGACCGTTTGGACAAAAATACAAGCGTTTATTATTCAAAGTGTGTTTCCGCTCACCTCCAAAGACAGATGAATCGTCTCCATTCATCCCCCTTCATGAAAATTTTCCCTCTAAAACAAGTATGTGGTGTGACGTGACAGATGACCACACCTAAACAAGTACAGTATTGAACACAAGGAGCAACAGCACTGCCGTTAACATTTGCCTAATCCTTAACTGGCCTTGCCTTATTCAACAGTGACTTTTACTAAAAACTACATCATCTGCTCCATGCAGATGTAAAAGAATTATCTAATCCACAACCTTTCATGCTCAAATTAGGTTTGAAAACGAACAAAGATCACCCATTTCACCACGACAACACGGTCACGAGCTTCTCTTGAATAACACCCCCCCCCCCCAAATGACGTCGATTGGTTTAGGCCTGCACCGCTTTGCATTCCTCTATTTAAATGAAATGACGGCCGACTCAATGACAGACAAATATTGATGCGGCTGAAAGTGAGTGAGCTCTTATGAAAGAGAAAGTTGACACTTTTACACAGATTCGTGGTCTGCGGAAAGCTAAGGACACACGCTGCAGTGTAGTATCCTCGCAGGAAGTACACATCCTAAAATGTATTTAAAGAGCAACAGGTAGCAAGAAGTGTGTACTGTAGTTGTATGATGTTCCGATTTTAAAAACAGATATAAAATTTCTGGACTTTGATCTCCAACGCTACTATGTGTTGTTGCCGCTTGAGTTTGGCAAAACAAAAATCTGTCATAAGAGGCAGCTTTATCAAAACAAACATGCACTTGTTTACGGAATGAATCTATGCAGAATCGCTAGACAGAAAAGGTGGCAGGGAAAAAAAAATCCCCTTCTCCTAGCAGTTACTATAACTAGTACTGTAAAATGTTCATTAATCGCGTTTTTTTTGGCGTGCTGCTACTTCTGACTTGTGATAGTTTAGAGTCAGTGATGTGAGGCCCTCCTCCTTGCCAGTTTGGAACAGTTTTCTATGGAAGTGACTATTCAAACAAAATGAGATTGAGGTTCATCAGCATGATTTAACAGTCGGGTTTGCTCCAAAGGTGAAAGAAAGGCAGACAGTCCAGTGAAGCGCTATGGACTTAACAAGGAGTGACAACTGTCAAACTGACCAAATGGCTCCTCCGGCTGGTTAGCAAACTCCATTATGAGAGTCCTCTTTGTTCCACTGATGTGATTTGTGAGCTCCGATCTCATCCTTGCTGTTTCGAGATGTGGAACTTGTGCTCATCATGTCTTGGATGCGACCTTTTCAGGTGGGTGTGTTTGTTACAAATGTGAAGCAAGGAGCACAGGTAATAAATAACCGATAAATTGCTCTATACCCCCCCCAAAGACACACACACACACACATGCACACGCACACACTCTTTGAGCAGTAGGCATGACGTTATGAAGTCGGGTCGTCCTTCCATCCGAGCCTCATTCCTCGTGGCTGAGCCCTTGGTGCCCGCCGTCTCCGTAGAAGACTCCAGACATGGGTGTGAGATTAAGCACCGTTTCATTTGGCTTGAACAACAAACAAAGAGGGCAGAAAAACTAGCGAGACAGAGATGGAGAAGGGTGTATAAATACTATTTTTTTTCCAGGCAAAGGCCATGACAGAGATGCGTGCGGTCAACCTGAGCCTGCAGGAGGGGGAGAAAACAGCATTTTAAGTCTCTTTTACAGTTTTTTTTTTTTTACCGCTATTCAAAAGGAAATGTCTGACTTTTATTGGTTAATTGTCATAAGTATTTCTATTTGCTATTACAACAAAAGTATTGCTGTTTTTATGTTTTTTTTTCCCTTTCATTAAAAGCATAGTATTAACAATTACATCCACGTGTGTATATCATTTTGGTTTAGCGGCGTGCCATGACATAATTTGTATAGTAAACGCCCAATTTAACATTAGGAAACACTGCCTTAGAAGTTCCACCGTGTATGAGTGGTCTGCCCTCACCCTCCTCGTCGGCCCCCCAGCCCTCTGCTACCCCCGCCAGCTCGTAGTGTTTCTTCCTCAGCTCCCCGAGACGCTCGCGCTCCTTCTGCAGACGCGCCTCCAGCTCCAACACCAGAACCTGCACAAAACACGCGCGGACCAAGGGGGAGGACAGACACATTCTTGTCACGTTTCCCCTCGCAAACAGTGGAAAACCTTCTGATCGCTAAGTATTTTAATGCTCACCTAGAAAAACAACCCCCCCCATCAAAAAAAGAAGACCCATCAGTGGCTCAGTGCAGTTGAGAAACATAAAACGTATTTGCTCAAGCTTGGTTACTGTAAATACGCTTAATGCACTCTTCCAATAGCAGTTCCTGATTTAATGTTTGTGTGCGCTTGTGCGACAAAGGTCCAGCTACTTTTGTTTTCCTTTCACTCACTGGGGGAGAGGGGGTCGGGGGGGGAGCCTCGGACACGCTCCTTTACTATTTGTCTAGCTTTAAGTTCAACTTCCCGCTGGTTGAAAAACAATCAAGTGTCAAATGTGGAACAATGAGTACATTCCTAAACAGGTCTGCTTATCGTTTTGACTGTTGCTTGGTGCGTGCATGTTGCGTGTTGCTGCCAACCTGGGCGTCCATCTCTTGTCGCTTGATCTGTGTGAGCGTCATGCTGGAGAAGTCCATTGTATCTGTACCGCAATCAGGACCAAAAAAAAAAAAAAAAAGGTTTGTATGCAGTACCAACAATAAAACTTGTAACTACTTAAGGTTAGGCTCTCAATATTGTTCATTCTGTATCTAAAAACAGCCCACGAGACGGTGAAATGTACTTACCTTTGTCTTCAATTTGGGACTTTCCAGACTTGGTGGAGGCCACAACGGTGGCAGTAGCCTGCGTGACGCCTCGGGATGCCTGCTGTAGTCGGTGCAAGTTGGCACTGTCTTTGTCCGCTTTAACCTGGCGAGGACAGCACAGATAAACACGGAGCATATTTTTCGAATACCGCATCCAGTGGCGATGAAAGAATACGATTTAACATTTGATCGCACTCGAGACTCACTTTTGAAGCAGCAACAAGTTGCGCCGTGCTGGCCGCAATTTCACGGGAACACACCATCAATTCCTCAAACTTCCCTTTGCCCTGCACCACAAGATCAGCCGCATCCCTGAGATGACACATGGTGAAGCACAAGACAGTCTATCAAATTTTGAGTCTTCACATGAATAATCCGAATGCTACCATTAGCAGCAGGGGTCACAGCGGGACACAAGAGATGGCGTTTACGTGTCTTGTTCCTGTTGAGATCAGCGGTTCATTCATTAAGAACTAATTTCATGAGAAGTTCAGGTACTTACACCATGACAGTGGCGCCCCATCCAACCGCCTTCGAAGCAGAAATCAAGCCCTCCGTCCAACGGGAATTCTTGGCATAAAATTCCTTAGTGGATGCTGCACCCTGGTGGACAGAGGAGGAATTTCAACCAAATCAAAACTAAGCACAACTGTCAACTGGCACGAGCCGCTTGATCTTAAATTTGATTCAGTAATTTGTCAGCAAATACACATTTAACCTCATGAGATTTCTGCATCAATGAGTAGAATCTTTATATTTTACTATTCAGAGTCACATTGGAATAATCACATGCTAATGTAGCTCAATAAACGAGACTAAATAAACATCAGAGAATTGGTGACTTGTTTCAGTAGTTCAATTCAAAAACTAATGAAACAGATACAAAAAACGCTTTCCAAAAGGCAGATTCCTACCTATATAAAAAAAAAAAAACAATTGGACACTTCCTTATTAATGTTCAAATTTATTGGGACGGTAAATTTGGGGGTTTTCGTTCGCTGTAAGCTATAATCATCAAAATCATACAAAATAAAATCAGCACTATTTCACTTTACGTGGAGTGAATCAACATATTGAGTTCCAATTTTTGAATTGAACGATTGAAATGAATGATGCCTTCCACGATAATCCAATTCATTGACATGCACCTGTATGTGCCTGACACGTGTTAATACATAAAAAAATGGGGGCGGGGGGGAGTGGAGACCACTAGTTTATAGTGCTGAGTTCTACAACAGGGCAAAAAATTCAAATTTGACTCAAATTCACACAAAAAACTATTTTTTGGGGGGGGGGGGGGAAAATATTAACAGTATTACTTGTGCATTTTACTCTCTTCCGACAGAATTAAGATGATATTCCACCAGAAAATTTACACTCAGCAAAAGTATATTCAAAGACAAGATTATATTACTGTTATTGAAGAGCAACTGGACTGGAAGGTTAATATCAGATGAGTAAAAAAACAAAAAAACATCTATCAGTCAAACACTCTTCCAAACCTGGAGACAAAGACCAACAGAACGTACCCTGCCACTCTCAACAATATCCTTTTGCAGATCTTTGGATGACAGAACAAGTGCCTTGATGGCCGCCATCAGATCCGTGCACGAAGCTAAGATCCTGCAAAGTGGCGACAGGAAACACACAAGTGCGCGCGCGCGCGCGCACACACACACACACACACACACACACACACACACACACACACACACACACACACACACACACACACACACACACACACACACACACACACATTTGCATAAGCACACATTAAATGTGCCGTACATCATATCATATCATATCATATCATATCATATCATATACAACACCCAGGCACAGAGTGGATTGCACTTTCCCCCCCAAAAAAAAACAAAAAACAAAAAAACAAACAAAGATGTGGTAAACAAGCAATCACGTTCTGGAGAAGTATTGTGGTCAAAGTTGTGAAATACGTCTCCTTTTATCCCTCCATTTCGTATACCGCTTTTCCACGGGCGAGAGGCGGGGTACACCGTGGACTGGTCGCTACTCAGTTGCAGAGTCTTATTATTCTTACCACTGATTTTAATCAAAATAACTTATGAAATTAAGACTTTGACATAAATTAATCCAAACGTGAAACAGAGGTTTGATTTTATTACCTCTCATTGACCTCCATCTTGATGCCTGTATCAACTGCTCGAGACTTGTTGAGCATTTCCTATGGGAGGACACAGGGAAGAACTTTCTCAAGTCAGTATGACTGCATAGTGAAACTGGTGGCTATTAATTCCCATGCTAAAAGAAGTGCATGCTTGTTTTGCGTAGTTGCGAGACTAAATATATAAAACACATCCACACCTCTATTCTTGCAGCAGCTGATTCCACAGCTGCAGATGTGGCCGCCATTTCCTGCTCCACGAGATCTCCCAGCTCGCCTTGCTGCAGCTCCAGACGCTGAGGACGCAGTTTCTGAATTGAGGATGGAAGACAACACAAGGCAAAGTTTTCATTCTTGTGGCCATTGTTCACGAGCACACAAGGACAGCATTTAGACAGGTAACGACCTCGGCGGAGGCCATTATGGCCTGGAGAGCCTCCTTCAGCTTGCAGTTATCTGCTGTTGTTATGTCTTCTTTCGTCTTCATGTGGCCCAGCAAAAGCAGGGCCTCAGTGCCACATGCCTTCACGCTTTCTAAAAGCACTGTTACAGGGTACACTTATTACAACCAAAATCACTGTTGGCATTTTAACATTTGGCTACCAAAAAGAACACAATGGAGGGGTAGCAGTGGTTCATTTGCATGACAGGCAGCCCCTATAAAATCAAGTGGTTTCAAACAGAGAGCAGATGCTCAAGGGGGAGTTTGCACATTTCACTCTTGTTAGTAGTTTTAAGACTGCATACTCCTCATCTTAAGTGTGAAGAGATGAAGAAGCTACTTTATGCAAGAACTGAGCTCATTCATGTGTAATTACCATCAGGTAGACACTAATAATACACGTCATAATCACTCCTCTCTCTCTCTTGGATATAAATTATGACATGTGACATGCATCATCCATCCATCCATAGTCAACACTGCTAATGGAACCATGGATTTTGTTTCATCGATAGGCATTTCTAAATTTTGGATGTCGTGACCACACAAAGCAACTCTTAATCTCAAAAGTAACCCACAACAATTTACAGACGAATGTACTGAAAATAGTTTTGCATAACCGGTCCACCAAGTCAACAGCTTACCATCGGCCTGCTCTACAGGCACCATGTGAGAGGTTGCACTGCCCTGAACAATGGTGTCACCCACAAGGTGGCCGCATTGGGTCACCACTTTAAGCAACTGAGACACACCTGCGTAATAATAATGGAGCACAAAAGATAATGAATCTCAATTCCCCGTGGTCTTTGCATACAGGAAGTATGCTCTGCAAGACAGCGTTCAATATTAAAAGGCTGCTTACCTGTGTCATCAGCTAGAAAGGCGTCTCTGGCAGGATGGAGCTGCACCACACAGTCTAAGGACGCTTGACATCTGGATGCCAGGTAGTCTGCGGAGGTCGGCATTATTGGCCATTATACACACATCCTCACACTAATGAGTGTCTCACAGCGGAGGGAGATAACAGCAACCTGCTGAGCTAGTGCAAGTGACGTGGGCTGGGTCATCGATCTGGGCCAGTGAATCTTGGATGATCTTTTCTGCCTCTTCAACAGCTCCCTGCAGACTGGACCAGCGGGCCGCTACGAGCTGGATCTCTAATGCCTGCTCCCTGCTCTCCTACGGACACACACGCTTCCATCACTTAGGGCTGGGCGATATGACCTCTCCAATTTGTTTCACAAATTCCGAAACAAGTTCCCCCACCTTGCCCCCCTCCATTTCTGGAATTTGCTATATTCCTCATGATTCCAAACAACCCTGGAAAAAGCTTTTTTTCCCCATGATACATTTCTTTGACTGTGCGACTTATACTCCGGAGGCACCTTTAAGTCAAAAAATACGGTATTTGATCCTGTGCCCACCAAGGCTGAAATGGAAAACATGCGGCTGTCATCAGAGGAAGCACAGTGAAGACTAAAAGCCTTTTACATCAATTCATTTAGATGAAAAGGATTTCCGAAAAGGGATCCAAATCAACAACTCAACTCGGTAACTCGGCTATATGTAGACAACGATGTTTGTGATCATGGCTCATTATGAAATTTAATATATTGCTTGGTGTTAGTGAATATTTACAAACTATGTTTTTTTTAAGTAAATAAAATAGGTAGGAATTGCAAAACGCGTCACATTCTCAAAAATTTTAATAAAACTTGCGGCCTTCATAAGAGAGTCCACGAAGGCATTTTAATAAACACGATAAATGAATACATCAATTTCGTTATGGCTGACACACGAATAAAGAACTAGAACTGCATACATAGCTGGGCCCTGTTGATTTGTTTGCCAAGTGTTTGACCTTTCACCTTGTCATTGAGCTGATTTTGCAGGGCTTCGGCTGTCTTCACACCACACTCCCTCTCACTGGCCAACGAACTCCGGACACGCTCAAGCTCCTCCCCTTGAACGGCCAGCTCGGCTTCCACTTTGGACAAGGACTCAACGAGTTCCGCTTTGTGAGATTCCATGGCAGCTAGTTGAGTGCCGAGTGTCTCATTGGACTGCCAAACAATAAAAAAATAAAATAAACGATGTGTTCCAGAACAGATGAAAAATCATAAAACAATGTGATTAGATGGGAAGTCTTGATCATGACAATATGAGGCTGTGGAAATGCTGTACTTTATGATACAAGTGACCTCCAGTTATAAACACAGATTGCAACACCACTGCTTTTTCATAGTTCGTGGCTTGGCACGTAGTCTCCGAGGAGTGCTGAGCGGCGGTCAAGTCGATAATCAAACAGGGAGTGAGAAGCCGTGGTTGTGAAACTTGGCAAAACAAACTATGACGACAGAGTGAAGTTTCATCAGATCCTGAATGTTGGATGCTTGTCTGTTCCTTTGGGGCCTTGTGAACATGGTTTGGAACTCGCTGGAATGAGCTCACTAAAAATATGGAAGTGACTTACACCATAAATACATGGTCAGATGTTAACTGGAGGGGAAGTAAAAACTGGCATAGAGGCATAACATAATGAGAGCTGTGACGCAGAAGGGAAACAAGCAGGCTTGTTACAAGAACATATTTTTTAGGACGATATATTTTCTCAAACTATGACGCTAAATAATAGTATCATTGATGTTTTTTTTCTTGTCATTGATATAAAAACAGAAATCTTTGAGTCGGCACGCATTGCTTTGAAAGATTCTGAGAGAAGATGAAAAAGACAGCGAAGTTATTTTTGAGGTGTAATGAAGAACAACAACAGACCTGTTGAGAAGAGGCCATCGTGGTCTTAAGGGAATCCAGCTCAGCCCTGCTGGACACCAGCTCTCTCTGCAATTCTTCCATGTGCTCCCGCTGCGCTCGTTCCTGGGTTAATGAAATGCCACATTTCTTTAAATCAGTGAAGGAAGACACACAAACCGATATTCAATGATAATTTTCCGATTTACACTGTTAAGTGTCATTGGATCATTTGTGCGGTACACCTGATGATCCCTAACAGCACAGTGGTTAGAAAACGCTGCTGAATGTAAGTTACACAAGCCAATTTATGAACCAATTAAAAAAAAAAAAAAAAGCTGACTTCGATGCCCACCTGTCTGTCAGCACAATCTTGGGCAGCCTTCACCTTGTCCTGCATTTCTTTCCTCACTGCATCAATTTCATCCTGAGCTGCCCGAGCTACCGTCACCTGCCGGGTCACCTCTGCATTCTGCACCCGCACACAAACGTACGCTTAGGGTGATAACGAGAAGGGTTCTTCAATATGAAGAAAGGTGTTTCTTCTCACCTTCCTCAGCAATTCAGCATGGCCTTGTACCAGCTCGCTGTACTTCTCCTTCAGCTTAGTATAGCGCTGTTCGTTGGCCTGAGCTTTTTCTGCAAAAGAACGTATGGAAATATTAATTACGTTAGCCACCAATTTATAGGGACCTTGGCCTATTGTTTTCACACGTGTGGAAACAAATTACATAATGCAGCCGTTTTTTAGTTGGAGGACATATATGTATACGTTAAATGCACAGACCAATTCTTGTACAAAGCAAGAAAAGGAAATTGAATAATATACTTTGTAGAATTGCTATATGAGTCTCTGCTTCAATACCTGGTACTGTGCTCTCTGATAAACTGTTTCGAGCTGTCCTTTCTAGTTACAGTATTTTGTAACTTATTTAGAAACCTTATTTGACGTCTTCACCGATACGGCCATGTGTCTAACATAAAACAGTACTTCATTTGCCAACGGTTCAGAGCTATTTTGGCCAGTTCAACATTTTCTTCCACACAACCAGGTCATAAAATAACCCTGTGAAATATCAGAGAGAGGGCTTACTCTCTATCTCCGTCAGACTTCGCTGCTCTTTCACCGTGTCCTCTCTGACCTTCCTCAGGTCGTCAAGCTCAGCCTTCAGGAACTCACTCTCTCCTGCTGCCTGTAGCCTCAGGTGGCTCTGCTCCGCTAGCTCTGCCTCCAGTTCATTGACACGGCCCCTCAAGGTCTGACATAATCGTCCATTCTGGCAGATGGAGAGAGTGAGTCGGGGGGGAAAAATGTAATTATATTTGCTTGATCAGAGGAATTATGAGCAAATTCATTGATCGTGCTCTTGGATTAAATTAGGATTTGGGGGAAACTCGTTTTCCTTTTTACCTCCAGTCGGAATGATTCCAACTCATCCTTAAGGGCCTGGATCTCCCTTGTCAGCTGTTCAATCAGTCGGTCTCTGGCGGATCGAGGAAGACAGAGCAATGCAATCAAAGCCTCCAACTATATTTCTTTCTAAATTTGGGTTTTACATTGAGATTGCAGTCATCCTCAATTAAATCAATGTACAAAAAGCTTTGGTCAGCTGTAAAGAGATTTCAGGCATACAGGTAATTATCTTACCCTGGGCTAGTGCCCAAATCGCAAAGTATTCATTCAGTTCAGTTCAAAGTTATGCATTTAAAATCTTGTGCTGGGTTTATCTGTCAAGTCAGATTGAAAGTAAAAATAATAATGCGCTTCACATTTTTATGTAAAAAAAAAAAAGTACATTTTAAAATTCAATGAATGATACTTACAATATATTGGCATTAAAAAACTGCTATTTTGGTAATTATCAATGCTGCTAATTTAGGGCAGTTGTGGTATAAATACTACATGCTGGTCGGATGCATTTACCAAGTATTGTATCCATCTTCAGCTATGCTTAACTAGAGGATTTGACCAAATGAAATTTTATTTCACAGACGTTTATCTACAGAGTCTTCAAGTCGTACTTATCGTCCTTGCGCATGCCATTCTGATTGTTGAAGTTGAAGGGGTCAATTGCAGCCGAGGTGCCAAACATGTCATCAAATTTGGTCTCCACCGGAGCCTAAGGAGTCACAACAACAAGATATAAAAAGGTAAATTCCAAAGTACTAAATTTAAAACAGAAATGCGAATACATTCTGCTGTTTGCAGAATCAATTTTCCGACTACAGATTTCTATTAACATCAAGTATTAAATTCCCATCCGAAAACAACATTCATAGCCGTGGGTTCAAAAGGTCATTGATGACTTCGGTCTCCGTTGCTATTATTGGTTCACTATTGCGTAACTTTCAAGTCTATTCAGTCAGCGCGATTCCGACACTTATCCTATATTTACCGCAAGGACGGGGAGGTCTGTGTCCACCAGGTCGTCAGTTTCCACCATGTGTTCTGACTCTGGGGAAGACGACTCGGCCGGTATCACGACCACAGGGCTGATGTGCTCCGACAGAGCAGATGCACGCAGGAAGTTTGGAGGATTCTGCGAGGAAACGTTTCATCCGCTTAAAAACTTTGTTTTGCCTTTGTAGTGTCAAGAAAAGACAGAAAGCAAATTGCACAGTCACGCTAGCAAACGTTTAAGGACATGTGCTCCCCTTAGCCAAAGGATTCGTCACGTTTTAACACACAGTGCAAAAAGAACATGCTTTTAAATAAATGTCCAAAATTATAAATAGAATTTATGCTGAAAATGGGTTAAACTCCTTGCTAATCTGAAACGACCATTAAGTCGAGGGGTAAGAGATGGATGCGTTTTGTAGACCTTTTGGACAGACCTTTTCATTTATTAATCAGTCTGAGATGGACTCGACTCATTAGCTCCCGCTGAATCAGTTTTGAACAATTCTATGCCTGAAATGAGAAAAGTTTGGCGAAAGGCCTTCTCTGGTCCAGCATGATTGCAAGGTTCATAAAGGAATGTTTGTATGAATTTTATGGTGAAAAACCTGGACAGAACCCTGACCTCAACCCCACCAAACACATTGAAAATGAAATACAAGGGGACATGTCACTGTACTGTAGCACTGTAATGGCCATGTTTTAGAATTAATTCTATGGAGATTTGGGTCAATCATCACCTCAGGCAACTGTGGGATCTGAATCAACCGCTTGAAGTACTGCAAGTTACTGGAGCGATAAAACAGACTCTTCAACCTGCAATAAAACAAAATCGAAGAGTGGAAGAACAGGGTTGTCAGCGCTTAGTGCATGCGGTGATGGTGTGACCGGCAAGGTTTGGCCACCAGTGGCCATTCATACTTTTTAAACTGTTCCTGGAAGCGATCTCGGTGGCCTTGGAGAGTGTCTGCTGGAAGGCCTGCAGAACGAAAATACACACAAGGCAGTTAACCCATCAAACCGTCAAATTACAGATACTATTTCCTTCAGGTTGTCAGATTAGAAGACGTTCAGAAAATAGTGAGAGAATTTAATGGCGCTGATTCAGATAATTTTTTTAATGTAATAAAAACATTCCACAGTTTTCAGAAAGAACATCCCGCCAGAACATATTCACAAATTTAAATTAGAACCAAGCTTTGGACATTTTAATGGCTTTCTGTCAGATCACTGACACTTACACTCAAATGGCAGCTGGATTTGTATTTTCTCATTCTTTCAAATCCTGTTGTACAACCACAGATGATTCCAAATTTGCTTTTGTGTTCTTGTGCATCAAAGAGGCCTCATTGGCCTCTTCACCAAATTTTCATACGCTCATGTTTGTTGCGTTGGACTGACTGACTTTTCAGATTTCTTAAATGCTTGCTCTACAGTAAGATTTGTAATTGACAAGGACTACTTGTTTTACAATCGAAATATTTTACTTACTTTAAATACACATCAAAGATTGTTATATTTTAAAAAGTACGGTATTTAAACATCTCCATTTTCAGTGAGTATTAAATTAATAAAGAGAACCACAACAATATATAAATGAATAAATGCAGTTTTTTTTTTTTAACTGACGGAGCAGCAGAGTTGTGTGTTACTCACATGAGTGCAGCTTAAATAGCAACTTGACTGTGTAGTCGTACAGGTGGCTGCAGTCCAAAATGACTTGTATGAGCGGAGCCAGACGACATTGGCCTGCAGCAGTCACTGACACTGACCGAGACATATCCAGCGAGCTGAATACTGGGAAACAGACACACAGACGGCTCCAATTGATTTTACAATTTATCTCAACATTGTTATTCCTTGTTCATAGGCCGTACACCACTCTCTTGTTTTGGTTGGGTTTTTTTTTGTTAGTTGCACCCCGAAAAGGAATTGTGAACCCAGATCTGAAGCTGAAAGCAGACATTTAGCAATGTTTATGCATTTGAATGATCAATGTTATACGATACAGATGGGCAACAAAACACACCTGTCACCAACATGTTTCAATACATTTCCTCTCAGTGGATTCAAAACAGTATTATTATTATATACTTATTATACTATTATTAGTAGTATTAAAAAAAAAACACTCACAGATTTAATTTTTTTCTCTCTCAAAAACACAGACACGTTAGCCATGCCTCTTAAACCCTGAAAGATGAAACACTCTGGAAATAGATACAACTGAGAGCGAAGGTCTGAGCTACAGTCTTCAGCCTGGTGGATAGCATATTAAACTAAAAATGGAGCAGAACAAATGAAACATGACAAATCTCACAAGAGCGTTGTCGAGTTGTAGTGAAGATTTATGTGAAAAATCTCTTTCCACAGTGATAATAATGGTGAACGTTAATGAAGGAACATGCCTTAAATAAGTCTGCCATTCGAAAAGCAGCCACATAAGGAGAAAAGGTTTCAGAAACCCCTCTCAAAAGAGCCCCAAATAAAAGTGAATTGTGTGAAAATACTGTGCACAGGATGCAGACTGAAGGCCATGATAAAAAGAAACAAGAATGTAATTTCCTTCGATTCATTCATGAGTGGAGGAGAGCAGCTTTTGGAGCATTTCCTTTCAGCACAACAGCCTATTTTTAGCCATGTGTCCATATACTGTGAGACACAAGCACCTATGATGACTCACTCACTCTGACAACAAAAGAGTCTGTCTGTAACCACTCAATCAGACGCATCACTGGTCTGATGGTAAAAGTGTCTAGTTTTGTACAGCACCTCCTGTCTGCCCAAGCATGAACTTTGCGCGCAAGTGAAAGTGCTTTCACAGCTGATGATCCCATCAGTCCAAAACACCTTACCGCCAAGGAAGAGGTTGAGTTGACACTCCAGGTAATCAAACATCTCCACAGTTAATTGAAAGCTGCGGGGGCAGACACAAAGAGGAACACATTTCACACACCTTTGGCAAAATGTAATATTGCTATTCAGCTATTTTCATCGGAAATAATATGTACGACATACAATGCATCTGGTTAACCTCAGAATCCCAAGCGTTTGCACCCACGGCTCCAGTCCTAAGTCATTTGAGCTTGCAAGTATTTTTTTTTTTTTTCTGAGCGGCAAATGACGTCGGTCGGAGCAAAACTGACGTTGCCAAGCATGTTCAAGTCATCCGTTTCAACCACAAAGGTTGAGTGTATTACAAATGCATAACCCAAATATTGAATCACAAGCATCTGCCTGCTAAATGCGTGTGACGCACTTCAGTGAATTGGAGAAAACCCAACGGGAAGCCGTCTTAAAAAGTCCTTCATTAAAGCAAATAGTTCTCGCTAAGTTAGAAGGGCATTCACCTGGCAAAGTACACATCCAGACTTGGGATATTTATTTATTTTATACTAGAAGGATTTATCCGGAAGCGCGTCACAGAAGGTACTTTGTGTGCGCAGTCAGAGGGTCAAAGAGGTGTTCCAAGCGCCTTCACTTTATCCCCACCCCTCACCCCACCCCGCTGTCCCTAAAGTACCGGTAGGAGTGTGGAAACATGCACTCAGGCTAATGCCAACAGATGAATTTTTTACCGGCACACACTGAAAAGTTGGCAGTTTCTGCAAGCATATACCAAGAGCAAAAACGGGACAAAATTTAAGATCGATAAATTGACATCCTCTGCTTCCGAGTCCATAAAGTTATTTGTGTTTTCTTTGGCTTCGTTTCGCACAGTTGTGTAAACACTATCGGGCAGGTATCAGTCATGACAAACCCAAATCGAAAAGGTTCATGACAATAATCAGAACATTGCATCGGCCGAATTGGTATTCAAAGGGTATTTGCTGTTTTTTTGATTGTAAAGTGTTACTATTATTAGCGTGACAATCACCTCAGCTAGAATGGTGCGTTGCTTGTATATTGTAGTTTTATAATGGTAAATATTTGACATTAATCATATTTCCATTCACACATATGGAGAACATTTGAAGGTCAAACGGCGTTTTGACATTTATCTTTCGGGTTACGCTGCATAAATGAAGTGGCAGCTCGCCTGACTTACAAGTTGTTGACGTCATTCTCTCCTGCCTCTTCAAGTTGTCTGTTCGACATCTGCAGGTTGCCGGGGAAGCGAGGGTTCTGAAAGAGAAGACAACACAAGAAAGGTGGAAGCTCAAATATCATGATGAGTGGCACGCCATGGGCTATCTGTGAGACACACATGACTGAAATTAACTCTCTCCTCTACCTCTTCACATTGGTACAGGGTACTGCAAAGAAAATGTAGTTACAATCATGAATTTCTGTTTATCTACAACTCGGCTCAGTTGTCCCATTAAAAGAAGCGTCATTTAGAGATATTTGAGAAGCCATTTGTATCACAGCCGCAATCTTCACCCAAGGCCCCGCAGGGAAACGATGGCAATGAAAAGAGACTTCGGGCAAGGATAATGAACGATGACGGAGCTTTGCTGGGTTTTATAGGCCACGCCAACTCACTTTGATGTGAAACTCCATTTTGGTGATGATCAGTTTGAGGTAGATGCTGCAGAGCTTCCCGTAGCCTTCACTTAGGTGACCCTGTAGGCATAAGAGACTGAATCACAAAGGGAGACAAACATTTGGAGACATGTCCACGTGTGGAAAACGCTACCTCCTATTTTTGGCCTGCAATTTGGCTGCTTAAAGAACACAAGGAAATTTGAGATGACATATGGGCCCGGGGCGGTGTTTAATTAAGATTCAAAGTCTGACCAGCTTCCTCTTGTGGAGCAGAGCTATAACAGAAAGTATGTCAAAGTATTTCCTCTTCACGCTTTATTGATACAGTTAACTTTGGAATTACACCCTGCAGGCAACTTCTGCCCCACTTCAACTTTTTGCTCTTGTGGTCACAACCCAGGAAGTGTCAACGATCCAAAATGAATTTTTTATGTATTTCTGGTTTCAGACTTTGGATTTACCTTTTTCAGGTCCTCTTCCATCATAATCGATTTTTTTTGCCCAATGTTTTATGCATAACCTATGTCAAAATGAGTCTGTGACACAGTTTAAGGTTCACATCTACTGCATGCAGTTTGTTGTTTGCATGCAATAGCCTTTGAAAGGGAAAAGCATGCAAAAACAACCAGATCTGAATTTGGCACTGGTGTGACATAGTATTGTGCCTCATTCAAATATATGCACACACACACACACACACACACACACACACACACACACACACACACACACACACACACAGAGTATATACAAAAAAACTGAAAGAATAGGACCTTTAAAAATGCAAGCAGCATTTTTACGTAACGCCACATATTTTCTGCTCATGTTTAAATAATCATTTGACAAAGTCAGCAGTAGCTGCATGCTGTGATGGGAAGAGACTGTCGTGTGTGCTTCCTTACCCACATCCTGCTCATATCCGTCAAATCAGCCTTATTCCTCATAGAGTCCTTGATCACCTGAAATGGTGGCAACAGCCACAGAGGAAGTTAGGAAAGAAAAAAAAAAAAGCATTCTGAGTTTACACAAATAAAAAGAGTGACGACGTATAATAGGAGAGGCAAGTGGGGGCAATAATACCAGCCGATAAAATTCATAGTGGAAAAATGTAGTGGTGGAAAGAAGTGATGCTGTCTTTACGTACGTTTGAATGGCCATCTCGTAATAATTTGTGGAAGACGTGGCAGAACTTCCAGCAAAGGACTGCGTTGCCAGAGAGAGGAAGCCGGTTGACCGCTGCCCAGAATGTGTGGGCACCTTTCTCATGATGAGTCCCCAAAATGCAGGGTGACACAGTCAAGGAGCATCATTTTACAAAGTGCAAAATAATTTCTCACAAATGTAACAGCAGCAATGTTCGATTTGACACCTGGAGGTGATAGATATATGATGGCGCCATCTATAGCAGCATCTATGGCTCATGATAGCCAAGTCAAACTAGGACTAAGCCTGCTATAAAAACCGGTGGAACCCTACAGCTCGGCAGAATATCACTTAACCTATCTACGGCCAGCAGTTTGAGTTGTCACTCCTGCTTGGGTCACTAAACGGTGAAGTGCAAAGCATTCTAGCACTAACTGCTACATAGGTTGGACACTGTGGCCTACCAAGCAGCAGAATTTCCCATCAGCACGAACCACCCTAGAGAGCGTTGGCATCATGTAACTTCTGCGCTTTGTTGTGCTTTGCAGACTGCACTGATGCAGTAATTATTTCCCATTATCAGAATTGTTGGCATCTAACAGGGTTTTTTTTTCCCTGACAATTTTGAATGCAGAAGAAACCCTGTCTATGTACAGTTACTGTACATTGTACATGCCATGCCTAGCTGTAGGCTGTTTATTGTACAGTGTTTTTTAAGATAAAGCAATCTTTCTTACTGTTTGAACTGCTAATAAATGTTTTGAGATCATAGTGGTATTTTTTTAATGGTTTAAAATATCAATGCAGGCAATGATAATCATTTTCAGGGGGGGAGCGTCAATTATTCATGGGAATTCGTTACTTGCGGTCAGGCACGGTTTATCCCCTGCAAGTAACGGGGGTCCACTGCACTGACCAATGATGACTTTGTTCTCTGTTATTTATTCAGGACACAGCACAAAGTTTAATAAACAGAAAATAGCTCTGGGCGACAATCCAACAACTTTCATTTTGTCCTTCTGTCCACCCAAACAGACAACATAAATATCCATTTTGCTAACTTTAATTTCAAGCAGCTCGATATTACTATAACTGAAACAAAGAACTGCACTGACTGTCTCGCCTCATATTTTCTATCCCACGGGATTAAATTAGTTTCAGCATAGATGAGGCTACCCTCTGTTTGTTGTTTTTATCTTGCACTAACATAACCTCATCTAGGAGCAACTGTGTCACATGGGAATCACAAACACACACACAAACACACACTTGTGCATGCACACAAAATATGAGGATATTCCTGGCATGCTTCTCTTTGACAGCAACCTCCTGTGTGTTGATGGCCTTGTTGATGCTGACTGCCTGTGAGGAAGAGGAACAAAATGGGAAACCAGCCAAAATATACATTTTCCAAAACTTTCATTTCACAATATGACACACTTGTAGTTTTCAGAAAAGTGCTTTGCCCTTTTTAATGAGAGAATGAGAGTCAGTGAAGATGAACTGAAGGTGATTGACCTAGTTTCTGTTGAGTTGGTATTCAAGACAGCAGCTGAGAGGCCCACTGAGGTCTTTTCTGCATTCGATGATCATGTTAGGCTGACAACAAATAGTCTAAGCGTATGAGACCGTTAAACTGACTCCATTGTACAGTGCAGTACAGTGACAGTCTAAAACAGGCGGTGTCAAACACATTTTTGTCGCGGGCCACATTGTAGTTACTGTTTCCCTTGGAGGAACGTTATGACTGTGAAAGCATATAAATAAGTCAAGAATGGGAGGTTTATTCAACCATTGTTTACCTCACTGTAATGAGGGTTTGGTCACAAGAAAATGCTTAGAATATCTCTCTTCTTCATTACATATGAGAATTTGAAATTTGGCACGGACATGCTACTCAACAACTGCACCCATGCACCTTCCGCCTCTACTTCTACTTGTTCTGCAGCATGATCCTGGCTGATCCTTTAACACACACTGCCACCAGCTGGACAGGTTTTAAATGATTTACAATGCAGACAAGCCTGATGCTGAGACAGAGGCTGCGTCAGACCGTTCTACACACTATGGTGCAAAAAAAATTTAAAAAAGAAAGAAAGAAAAAAGGAAATGACGTATCAATACGTCATGGGTAGGCGGAAGTTGCGGGTTTTCAAAACGTATTTAGACGTCATGGGGACCGCATGAGTTAAGATGAGTAAATCACAAATGGCATTCTGTCGATTTACATTTAGTTGGTGGATGACAGTCGAGGTCAAGTGAGCACGGGAGGCCTGTTTCATAATCTCGCTTCCCACAGATGTCCTGTGTCTGTTTGTGCCAGTGTGCAAGCAGTCAGGAGAGGAAGTAAACAAGAATGGGGAGGAGCAAGCCCAGTGCCTTGTCCATCAACAAATACCTTCTGTTATTATTTGAGCTTGGATGTATTTTCCACGCGTTCCAATTCTGAAAACATTTTCGACCCCCCCCCCCCCCCCCCCCCCCCCTTTAAAATCCCACGGTATCCCACTGCAATTGCTTCCCACAAGTAGATGACCCAGTTAGTCCACAGTGACACTTTGTACTTGGGGGTTGAAAGAGAGAGGCAGCTGCCCAGGACTCCTTAAATTGGCTGAGGAGGCTGACTGGCATCAATAGTCAATTAGCTCCTTATATTGAAACAGACGGTCTTGACTGACAAATCCAAGTGCAGAAAAGAGAGGGGGGTAAAAACAGTCAGAGATGAGTTGTGGTTTTTGATGACAAAGATTTAACCTGGTTAACTCATCCATCTATACTTTCTTTTTTAAGACTTCCAACATGCCTCCATTTTATTCCTTTTACACTTGAAAACGTGTAACTCAAGAATTACATAAATGATATACCAGTTACCATCATATATTTTAGAACATTTTATTCCACCCACAGTGGTCTTTTGTAAAACCATCTGTTTAAGCCATGTTAACTTGGTCCAGGCAGGCCTAATTAAGCATAAAAAGGCAGAGCATTGATATGCTGATGGTAGGCTAGCTGTGCTGGGAGGAAGCATCAACTGCCTACTTAATGAAACAACTCAGTAGTCATTCTTTTGAAATAAACGCCACAGAATATTTTGTAGAATTGAGAACGAATGTCAAGGTTTTCAGGGTCACGGCATGCAAGACAAAGGATGTTGTGTGCTGTGGATTTATTAGTTAAGTGATAGGTCTCCTGCATTCATGACATCATTGATCAATAATCCATCAATTTCCACCGCATCCTTCATAGAGAGAAAGGGATCAGGACCGCTGACAAGAACCCCTTTGGATGTCTGACATTATGCACATTAGGAACTACAGTATCATAAGACAATGTCGAGAACTTGTTGAATACTCTACACAGGCCCCAAGTGAGTAATTTGCACATTCTGGCGGTTTCCTGCTGGGCTGGGTCGCTATACCGTACATGCTGCTCGGGTTAGCTATTCCAGCTTTCCTCCGGCCTGTGTAAAATCAGCAAATGTGTGTTCAAGACATTTGAATCCAACTATCACCTTATCGTATAAGTGTACTAATAACACACACTGGCAGGCCAATATATAAAAAAACAGTTTATTACTGACTGCACTACCTTTGTTACTAAGGGTGTCACCAAGTGAAAATAATTTAATGCTAAAAGTAGCGATAATTCACGAGCGTTACTTGCAATGGCAACAAAGCATGATGGGAAAGCCTCCACCAATAACTGTTGCTGTGTGGCAATCATAAAGTTAGAGTCAGTTTACTAAGTAGTCCACCGGAAGTGCTGTGCATAGGTTTCAAAATAAGAGCAGTGCAGAAGGGCAGTGTTAGCTGCCTTAATCTCAGAGTTTGATAAAACTGCCTTAAGTGTAAAATGATTTATAAAATTGTCCTCTGGGTCATGTCTAGATAAGTGGAAAGATAAATAAGTGCAGTTAATATGTTTAAAAGTGCCTTCTTTCCCTGCAAGAGACTCATTGTGAAATTGTGACAACCAATTCAAACCATGGGAAATTAATTCCCTCCAGTACTGATGATTGTGGAAAAACAACAGCTCACTTGAATATTTTAAGTTGATGTTGACTCCCAAAAAACACTGTGAGTTTAAAGACAATGGCAAATTGAATTAAATGAAAGAAGATTTAGATACTTGTAATTAAAGAAGTCGACAATTGGCTTGCAACCAGAGCAAAATCAACATTAATCAACCGTCCATTTTCGATATGGCTTATTCTCATTAGCCAACCTCACATGACTTGGGGCAAGAGGCGGTGTCGACCCTGGACTGGCCACCAGCCAGTTTTTTTTCTCGCCTAAGGTGACCTTGAGCTGTAACCACCTTCAATGAGTGACACCATTACTCACTTTTTCCAATCAGCTGTTTTAGTTCTTGTAACTAACAAATGGTGGTTCAAAGCGTTTACAAGTGCTTGGTCATGTTTCCTGTCTTAGCACACCCAGCACTGCCCATTTCCTGGCCAGCTTCTGGTGAAAAATACACTGCTCCACTTCTCAAGCGACAAAAACGTGTTAAGTCCCTCCAGACAGTGGCAGGATCACCATAGTGAAAGACATTCTTCCTTCTATCCCTGTCACATTGCTCGCAGATGCTTCAGGTGGGCTAAGCTGCTCCTAAACTATGAGCATCATTACATATATCAAACTGAAGGGTGAATAGGATTGCAGAACTGCACAAAGATGTGTTTCATAAAACATGATATGCTTTACATGTAACAAAACGTGGGCACTGGTTTAAAAACATGCCCTCAGTTAAACAACATGAACAATTCTGTCTCATTTATACTAGGATCAAAATAGAGCAATGCTGAATTTGTCTGGGTGGCTTAAAATTAAAGTCATTTTTCAAACACAACACACCCATCTTCCTGTTACAACATGCATGGCCCTTCCGAAAATGAAAACCTCAAAGAACGCGCCTCTTAATCACACACGTCAACAACAAAAGTTCACAACAGCAACGAGAGAAACGTTTCATGAAAGAAAAACAAACAAAAAACTCAATCGAAAAATCAATGTGGGGCTAAAGTGCATTTCCAAATGGAACTTCACTCATTCCTCTGAACAAAAGTGTTGCTTGTGTCAGGACCATTTTACTTGTCGCATCCGACACAAACATCCGTTCTCCTGCAACGTCACTCCGCACCTCTTGAAGGGCTGGCACTAAGTAGAGGAAGGTAGTGGAAAATTGTCAGCTTTAGAGTACTGCATGGAACATGCAAAAACTCTTTGAGGTCTTTTCTAACAGGAAAGCCCGCAATACCGTTCAACACAACATTGCCACCTTGGAACCATTCTGTTGATTTCGACCTAATCACAAGGTAATTTTAGCCCGGTTAACATATGAGTTCTGAAGGAAGTTACCTATTGAGAGCGGTGTAAATCACGTAACCTAAGTCTTTTGTTTATGCGTGGACACAGTGGATTACGAATGCCACTTAAAAAGGCATGAAAACATGTAGAACTTTGCCATATTGAAAGGAAGTCAAATGGTGAGAATGGAAGTGGAAGACAAGCAGAAGCTAGTTAAAGCTAGAAAAACGTGCAGACGGCCGGACTCCAGCATAATTAAACTCTTAGACCTACACCCCCCTGTGGCATGTTTATGAGCCCCTCCTAATGGGATGTCTTTCTGCAGGCTCGAGTGAAGCCTCGGCTCTAAAGCTGAAATCTGGGAGGACTGCTGATGTCATGTGGACACATCATAAAAAAAAAAAAAAAAAAAAAAAAAAAAGAACATCTGTGCAGCTCAATGAAGCTGCTTAGATCACTTTTGTCAATGCACCCCACCACCAATCACGTGGAGCTATCCATCACAGACTCCCTGTGCGTGTGTGTCTTCCCGCAGGAAATGATTGGAATTAAGTTGTGACCAACTACCACCCAACAAGTGTAAAAGACATCAAGTTACATCCACTAAACCCGGAATGAATTCGCTCTTCTGTGAATATACTATTTTGGAATACTTATGCAACAATATTTATCGCTTACATTTTCTTCATATTTGCTACATGACGATGCTAAATCAATACCATATTTTCACGATAAGGCGCACTTAAAAGTCTTACATTTTCTCCAAAATGGACGCAGCGCCCAATAATGCGCGGCGCCTTATGTGTGCACCAAGTTCCAAAAATGAATGCTTTGTTAGGATAATGTTTAGCCACACCAGCGAGCAAGCACACAGATGTGCCTTGTTGTGCAGCAAGTTAGCTCAGCACCTCGCATTCCTCCTTGTAAGCCGCCGACAAAACAAGGACGATGTTCATCTGTGTGTCGTCACGCCGATACACCATTTTTTTTTTTTAACTACTTGGAGCTAATTGGTTTGCACAACATGGCACGAATAGCATGCCGCTTTTATGATTGGTTACTTTGGCAGGAGAGAAGGGAGACATCTGTATGCGTAAATTGTAAAACAATGAACATATTCTGGATCATTCGGGAGCCCTGTTAAAAAAAACTGATTTGGCGATCACATGATCACATTGGAATTGTGATTACGATCGAAAAATGACAAATCATTCAGCCTTTACCAGAGATCACAAATACTAATATGGAGGGCTAGCAATTTGATACGCTTCTGTAATACCACATTTTCTCAAATTACCTGTATCTCGACAGCATGTTATTAATAATTAATTATATGAATCTGTGTCTGTGGTGTCAAACTTCTTTTTGTCCCGGGCCACTTTGTAGTTCGGGCTTCCCTCAGTGGACCATTATGATAGTGAAACCAAATTTAATCATCTCATCCTGTTTCTACATATACACAACAAAATGATGGATTACTAGTTTGGAAATCAGAAGTCAAGAATAGAAGTTTGTTGAAGCACTGTTCAAGTTACTGTAAAAAGGGTAACAACAAAATTATTACAACATCTCAACGTTATTTATTACACAAAACAATTTAAAGTTTTGGTACAGATTTTAGTAAGGGTTATAGAAGTTCATATTATTTGCGTTCGTGGCAAACGTAAAATGATGTCGTGAGCCTTGAGTTGCACACCTGTGATCTATGTGAAGACACTGCTCATGTAAATTACTTTGTACAACAATTATGAACAACGATTCAACAAGATCAGAAACAGATGAATATCAATATTCCCGTGTGTGCTTGGAAATCACAATGCCCCATCATTACCCCGAAGGCAAACGCACTACAAATATCAACATTATAATGGGAATTGTGAACAACAATTTTTGTTGCACTTGTTTTCATTCTACACAATCTCTGGACAAGGTCAACAACCAAAACAAAGATAATGACATGGTACAGCCTTGAGAACTCCATCAGAGTGACTTTTTCAAAATAATATCAAATGCAATTACAACATATGTGTGCACCTCACTTCACATTGTCATAAACATCTCAACAAAACATTATTTTCTTGTTTTTGGTGGTCAAAATAAGCATCATGGTATTTAATATCAATTTTATCTTATATGCGCAGCGATGTTATCAATAAACCTCTTTCACTAGGATAAAGACGATGTGTTCTAGATGTCCGTTTACCTCCCATCCACCCCCATTCCTACAAGTGTGTATCCCATCAATGCTTCCGATAAAAGGCTGGTCTTGTTTCTTACACGCACCTGCTCGAGTGCATTTGGAACACAGCCCGTTTGTCTCCATCACATCATTTACTGCCACAAGTCATGCAGGTTGGACTTTTTATCAGCCCCCGATACTGCACCACATCTAGGAATTACATGGCCTGATTTGCACATGATACCTTGCTTTATTTTTCCCTTTTTGTTTTTAAGCCTACAGTTTTTTTGTTTTGAATTGTACTGCCTTAAAAAAAAGCTATTCTGAACCGTTTTAGGGAAGTCATAGAATTTGATTGCTTCACACTTTCTAACTGCTATTGCTGCTGTGCGAATGGCCGTAAGACATCTTGAATACATCTGTTTGTATTGTAGTACAATATCTACAGCAACACCTACACGCGCATATTGGTTCTAGATTAGCCTTCAAGCAAGTTAGAACTTGTTGGGACCTAAGATGTTGGTTTTTGCTGTACTATTCTGTCAGTTCATTACTTTGTCGTTTTGTGACTCTCCTCACACAACAAACTGGATACTTCCAGCAAGTGCATTTTATTCTTCTACCCCAAAACAGACCCAGTTCAAGAAGCAAAACCACATGTTAATAACACAGGATGCCCTGTGCTGCTGTTTGGCTCATGATTGTAATGATCGATGCGTCTTACATTTAACTGAAGAGGTGGGTACCTTTGTATGAAACGCACCCCATGTGCCCAGCAGACCCCCCAACAAAATTACAAAACTTGTCATCGGCACATTTAGCTAGACGAAGACAACAGGCCCCTACTTGCACTGAGAATACCTTCGACGCCTTACTTCACACCAGCCCGCAACCCGCCGAAACAACGCCGTTCTATGGCAATGTCTAATGTCACGAAAATGCATCTACCCTTGAGCACTTACAATTTTACTGAGATCCATGGTCCTTTCCCTCCCTGCAGCGGTGGGCTGAAGATCCGCTGGCTTGATCCAAACGCGAGGACCCGGGAGGTAACAAATGTGTTTGGGAGAGAAAGGGGGGGGGGGAGGAGCGCGACGTTAGCTCAACATGTGTCCCGATTTGGTGTAAAAATGCTCCCCTGTCCCCACTTCCTTCCTTTCTTTCGTTGTTCCTTCGGCGTCTCCTGCTGTCTCTCCCTCTCTCTCTCCCCGCGAGCTCCACGCAACATGAGACCGCGGAGAAACTGAAGTGTTCGGGACTCGAGCGGCAAGGACGACCGCACATTTCACATCCCGCCCGCCAACATGTCTCTACACAGCTTGAAGCGAGACTCTCTCGCTGGCTTTATTTTGCAAATAGCCTGCTTCTATTTGGAGACAATAGCGGCACGGGAGGCTGCGGAGTAGGATGGCTCAAACCCGGAGGTTTTCAAACTGGGTTCCGGGGCCCACCAGGGGGCCTTTCCAAGTTCGGTGGTGGCGTGGTTAAAGTGTACTATTTTTGTTTTCCAAAACAAGCTTTTCTCCTGCTTACCGACCGACTGGAAATTGCCCCTGAAAGATATCCAACATCTCACAAAAATGTGATCTCGAAAGGCTCCAGAGTATACAATTTGATTTCTGCATGCGGACAGCAATCTAGAAATCTGAGGTCTGTATCGGGAATGTTAGCAGGTATGTCATTTCTGTTTGGCTGTTGGATATTGTAAAAGAGCAAGCTTCAGGAACAAAAACTCAATTCATAGCATTAGAGCAACTTTAGGCAACTGACGCCCCCATCTGGAGTCTCTGAGATCCTCGGCAAATCATGGCATAACAACTGACTACTGATTTTGAATAAAATGCAAAATATCAATTGATCCGATCCAGCCGATCAAATCTGTGACAAGTCGAGTGCTGACTCGCATTCAATATGAATTTCAATGTGACTGGTGAATGCTTAACAGCCACATCCCTAGAATAGCACACTTTTGCATCCACATTCTCCCATTTTTTCCACCTCCTCTCTTGAAAAGATGTACATTTTTGTCAATTGAATTTTACGAGTTATGTATGATTAACATGGCGCAAACAGTTTTAAGATTATTTATATAGGTCTAACTGTGCTCTAAATGCCTGACATTTGAGCAGGTGTGTGGACTTTTTATATACCGGGTACACTGTATATTCATTCCTACAGAGCGAGACGACTTCTTTCTTCTCTGACTCCCTATCAGCTTGAAGCAAAGTCCAACAATAGTGACAACAAAAACTAAATGGTAATATGATTATAGGATTGCAGTCAAAGGTATCAGGGCATAATCCAGAGAAGAAAATTGGTACAGGGAAAAAAAAAAAGCTGTCCAAGTGTTGATGTCAGATTGTTTTTTCGTTCAAGACTGCATCATTTGGGAAGAAGAAAAGAAAAAAAAAGTGTATTTGATCCAATCAAATAAAAATACCTGAATGATTTCAGCCAAGCTGCTGAATGTGTCATGCCAATCACCACCCAGTGAAAAGTGATTAAAGCCCTACGACAAAGATGCACTTGGAGAGAGTGACTTCACTTTGCTTCAAGCAGACAAGAGGAGGAGCACTCGTCCTCCGTCCAAAATAGCTCACACTTTGCCAGTCAGTCTGGTGACCGACAGTGGCTGTGCTGGCAGCTAAACGCTATTTTGGTTGAAACTTAAACAGTTGTAAACAATTCAATCCAGCCAGCTCAGAAAGCTGGCTGTGTTATATGTCTCTCGGTGCCCGCCCACCAAGATGCTTTGAGGCACTGATTTCTCAAAGTTTTTATCATTAAGGTCATGAGAAAAAAAAACGGATTTTTCAGGAACTGAGTTTTGGTAATAGAATAAATACTAAGTTTTTAAATCAATGAATAATCCACTTGTATCCTGTCATTATGATTTCAATAGAAATCAAAATAAATCAGGATTATTTGTGTTCTCCCATAATCGCCCAGCCCTAGCTGGTAGTGTAATTTTAAGGCCTTCATTTTGCAACACACAATGTGGTGTCAGTCAATGGTTCACACTGCATACCCCAGCGGCGGAACTCGTGGGCCAGAAGCCTTCCACAAGCTTTAATTATGGTTCATGTATATCCAAAAATTACTACTTACACTAATTCCCAAATAAAAATAGCATTTGGAGCCATTTTGCAATCTCTGAGTGACAAGACAGTCACAACAAACAACAAACATAAAGCAGAAATAACACATGTTCGTATGCAGCGAATCCCCGCTATAATGCGGTTCACTTTTCAGGGCATCGCTGTTTCATGGATTTCTTTAATGCAGTTTTAAATAAAAATGGAGTAGATATAAGTGTTTGTGAGTTTCTGAAAAGAAAATCACTGCCTACCTGAGTAGAGCTCTGAAGCAACCTTGTATTGACTAAAGTATTTTTAAAAACGATCAGTTATTTGTAAGACAATGTTTAGATATTATTCTCTCGTACAGTATTGTATTGTATAATAATTGTTAAAAAAATAAAGCTGACTACTTGACGGATTTCGCCTATCACGGATTCTTTTTGGAACCCATGATAAACAAGGGTTAACTGTACTTTCAAACTCATAGACACAAAAGAGAACCCATACGAAACATAAATAGATGTCTGAGAAAAACATATTTCCGGTTGACATCATAGCATAATTTAAGAGTCATGCCATAATGAGCGTGTCATTAAAATCAAGCACTGTACGCTATCTTGCTTCCCTCGTCCATTCTCATATCCCGTGTGGACAGTGTGACAGATATGATTTAGATCACTCCCTGGTAGTTTACCCTGCTTAACAGGGTGAAAGGGTAAGTTGCTCCATAATTGCTAAATTGCGTACATGTCTTTGTAGACAAAACTGTAGCCTGGGGCACACGTTCATAAAAATGTATTTAAGTGACATAATTAAAAAAAAAAAAAACAATAACCCATACCTCAAGCAAGTTTGATTATTTTCATTTTGAGAAAAACAAATCAAGTCAGTTAAGACAGTTAATGCAAGTCAAACTATCACACGTAAAACTGCAGTAGCCAGTTTTGCCAGAAAATCTGAACAATTCCTTTGACCAATGAATCAAACCTCTGTGAGAAAATACGCATTGGTATCACAGGTCTTGATGTTAACCAAGTTGAAAAGCATATTGAAATGATTAATAACGAGCTGGACAGACAGCCAGATGCCCAGCCACGACAATGCCAAACCCAGAGTGGGCCTGCACACTAGACTAACAATGCTGAACAGTTTTGTATTTAAACTGATGGACACAAGCAGCTATTGTTCACCAGTCTGTCACAAATCATGTCGACTACAGTCCAAATGCCTTTGACTCTGTATGCCAAACAATAGTTATGCAACATAAGTAGACCTATTATATTTTTATGATGTTTCTTCTGTGTAGAGAAATTGTACCCAATGACAAACACTTGATAAAAGTTTTTTATAAACACTATTCCTCCACTGATTTACTTAATGGTCGGCAAGGCAGAGCTCTAAACCACACAGGGATTTATTTGGTTTACAACAAAAGAGGTGAAATCGACTGCACAGGAGATTTAGCCATCTTTAGAACAAAACAGATCAGATGGATTATCTCTCGTTGATCCCCTGCCAAGTAAAAAGCGGAATCATTGATTTCTGCCATCACTTGCCCCAGCTCACCAGGCAAAACTCAACCATGAGGCAAAAATATAAACATGTACAAGTACATAGGGCTGCATAATTATGGCCAAGACGATAATCACGATCATTTTCATCAAGAGTGTGATCGCGATTATTAATCAGTACTATTCATCATGTTAGGAAAAATGTTTTTACTGCAATACTTTTCACTACCCGTGTCCGGGCAAGGGAAACTCAGGTCCATATATTTTTCTCATCGTAAGGAATCTTTTGAACTCAGGTCCATATATTTTTCTCATCGTAAGAGATCTTTTGAGCTATGCTTTGTCTGGTCCCCCACCTAGGACCTGTTTGCCATCGGTGCAGAGTGAATCATACCTCTCACCAAATTTGCTGCAATAGACCGCACCCCACCAATGACCCTAATCGTGACAAGTGGTAGAAAAAGAATGGTGGACGTACTTCCAGTAAAGGTGACGTAGCAGCCTGACAGTGACCTAGTGACCATGTGTTGCTTGGAACACACAATCCTTCTAATCCGTGCTGCCTGTCTTGCCTGAGAGTAGTGAGCGAGTACAGCAAGAGAGGGTTCAACTGCATGACACAGACTATACGCAGGCCAGATTGCTGCTGTTCACATTCAAACGTAAAGAATGTCTATGTAACAGCACTGTCATAGCAGTTTGGCTGACTTGATTCATTTGACCTACTTAACCCCCCACCACTACCCCCTCTCCACCGTGTGCCTGATCTGTAGAAGAGGGTGGGCAGTAAACAGCAGGATCCACAACACAACTGCAGCCTGCATGCTCAATGTGGGTGTGCGTGATCAAGTCAGATCTTTGTTGTTGCTATGCATCATCATCTGAGCACCGTGGTCATTCAGTGCCCTGAAGATAATGCAGGTATGACTTGACATGGAGTGTAGTGTTAGGGTGGAAAGTCATATACAAAGCTCCTGCATGATTTGTATGCAGCTGGTAGGCTAAACAGTACAATTATCTGAATTTGAAAGGCCACTGACCTACATTTCAACGGCTCTTTTGTTGTGGGTACTCATTGGTATCTGCTGATCACACACAACTGACGCTGAACACAGCACCAACTTGATTAGCACTGAAAGTCTGCGTAATGTGTCAGACATAAAATACGGGGTCATTTCTCATATGGGTCCTCTCCCATTACAGATACGTTTGTTTTGCCTCCGTTACTATTGTCTATCCCTACTTTACAATACAAGTCATATAACTGGCAAGAAAACGTGTTGTCTGTTGTGCTACACACCTGCACTCTCTCAAAGTTTTCTCTCTCCAGCTCCAGACTGTTGGCCGCTCCAGTGCGTCGAATCACTTTTGGGATGGCATTGGGTACTTGCTGCATGGAGCTTTTGACTCGATCCATCGTCTCAGGTTGACAAAATACGCCAACGGTTAAAAAAAGGGGAAAAAAGAGACCGGTGAATTAACTGTAGAAACAGGAAAGTTACATTAACTATGGCGGACAGCGGTCCATGCTGTACAGTACTCGTTCGGTTCAGCGGACCAGTTGGCCTCTGTAAAATAACACCACTGTCAATGACAGCAGCAAAATTTCACGACAATGAATACTTCTGCTACCTTACGTTATTTCAAAATAAAGCTTGTACCCATTGGTGCACTTGAGTAAACACCGCTGCTAATTGTTTAAGAGGTAGCACACAAGTAGTAAATACAATATGGAACATGATGAGAGCTAAAGAAGATCAAAATGTCATTTTTCTTTGTGTATAATGCTGTGGTTCGAACCCCGCTACATTAAAAAGATTTTTACTTTGTGAGGTCAAACCGTCAAATCGGAACTACTTTGTGTATCCACATTCTGGTGACATAACACATCCCCCACACGCATATTGCTGCCTGCAGCCAGAAAGATATGTACGACCTCTGACCACTTCAAGAAAAAAAATGCAGATCTACTTATTGGAATCCTGTGGAAAATATGATATTTTATAAATATCAGGGCTCGCGGATTTAGTGGCCTGGGCCGCTTGAAAGTTTTTCTCCCTAAGAGCAACGGTCAGAAACGCCTCCCAGCGTTGGCAGCCACAAGCTGGAGGCACAATACTGCACCTACCCCCAACACTGGATCTCCCGATTGGTCTGTCGAGTCTGGTTTCATTAAGCCTTAACATAACAATTTATGTATCTGTGCGAATATTTTTGCCCCTCCAAGAAGAGTGGGATGACATGCCTCAGCAGACAATAAATCGATTAGTGAACAGCATGAGACGTCGTCAAGCCGTAATTGATGCTCAAGGGCACACGATGGAGTTAATGAGACGTTGAATTTTTTCGTTGTGGTGTAACCACTATTTTTAATTGTTGTTTCAATCAATAGTTTGTGATGAGGAAATCACCAGGGTATCTTTCTACTTAAATGTCCTACTTTCATGATATATGACTGCAGTGTGAACTTTTTACATTTTCCATCAATTTCAGGTGAAAGACAAATATCCTTAACTTTTTGTGAGTAGTGCATATGCACAAATAAATGATTGCCTTTTTTTACAGCACATTTGAATTGCAAGAACTTCTGATTTAAAACCGATAGCTACGTCTCCATCTCCATGTGCACTCCACAAGGCCCAATGCTGCCCTCACCAGGACAAACGTGGCTACGTCATTGTAGTCTCAGTTGTGGACTGTATGTAGCACGCTATCTCCACGAGCGACGAACATACGTCAATATTCTGATAATTTCAGATAAATACACATGTATGGCATACGTAAATGGGAGCAAAAACATACCCTATGTAGTACTACATGCACCCATAATCCTTAATTTCCACCATTCCTAGTAATGCCGCAGTCTCTCTCACGCTCTCTTTTTTTTTGTTTCTTTGTTAAACTGTTTACATTATGAATATTTACTGTATATCCATCACGGTCAATGTAGTGCTTCCAGCTTCTTTTCCCCGATGAGTGACTGCGGTGTTTGTGTATAAAATACCGCGGGTCATGCTAGCAACCTAGCTGCAGATACATAGTAGTTCAGTGTTTTTATGCGAATTCCATGTATGTTAGTTGAACAACATACCTCAGTTTTTAAGCTGGAAGCGTCAACGATGGTACACGGAAGCTAATGTGGCATACGGCTTTTAAGATAAAGAGTTCGTTCTTGATTCTGAACTCTTTCATGTAAGCTACTTTTGTGGGCTGTCGCTTCTGCACCCTTTTAAGTACATTTTGTTCAACAATATTTTTATCATGTATCATATCAATGATTGTTTTTGATCCAGTCTAATGTAAATAAATACACCGGACAATGTATGCTTTTTAGTTTTGGCAGTTAAGTGGGGAATGTTATAGTTGAGTAAAGAACGTGATGCATAATTTATTTCACTTTATTTCCTTGGAAATAACGAATATTCTACACAGCTTTTGTATATGACAATGTCTTTGGAATTTGTACAGGATATAGGTGTCATTTCAAATGTAGATTGTGAAATTATTTCGCATGTGTTAACCTGACAATGCAACACCAATCCAATAAAATAATTTGTAAAATTTTTACATTAAAATGCAGTCAATGCCACTTTACGGTCATCGCAATCTTATTATGGGGCTATCCAAACTCAGACTTGACACCATCACCACCGGCGCAGTCTAATGAAAATAGAGCGTAGAAGAATGTGTGTGCTTTATAAGTTATTTACTACTTTAAACATTGTGTGTCGTGCATCACTGTATAAGAGTGGCAGAAAGTTGCAACAGTATTCGTCGAGCACCCGCGAGAAAAGGGAGGGTGATAAAAAGAAAGGATTCAAAGGAAACTCTCGCGAGACTACCACAATACAGAAGAAGCTGGGGCTAGGTCTAAGTTTTCCTCATGCATCATTAGATGATTCATATCAGCGTCAAGATGTCGGGACGTTCAGGCCGCGCGGAGACCCGGAGTCGAGCCAAGGATGATATTAAAAAGGTTCTAGCCGCAATCGAGAAAGTGCGCAAATGGTACGTAAGCTGTCTAGTTTACAATATGGAAGAAATGTTTTAGCTGAGCGTCGGTCGTTAGCTGCTATGTCGCTCAACTAACTTCAGTCGGAAAAGTTCGATGATTGACATAGCTGGTAGCCAATCGCTGTCCCTGTTTGCGGAAAAAGGCGGGCCGTGTGATTGTTTTTTTTTGCTTAGCGCTGTCAACATGGCTGCCGCTCTTCACAATGAGATCCAATTGACGGTTTACAATGACATTTAACACGATCATTTGTACGTGTAAGTTTTATAATTACTTTAACTGGGTACACGGAAAACGTGGCCATCTACTGTAGGTCGAGGATCAAATTCAACCGATTAGAGGGGATCATTGTTAGCTTATCTAAATATAGCCAAACAACTTTAATCCTCAGGGAGAAGAAATGGGTGACGGTTGGAGACACGTCCTTACGCATATTCAAGTGGGTGCCAGTGACAGAAACAAAGCAGGTGGCGTTTCAATTATGTATTCAATGAAGAAACTCGTTGTGTGTATATACTGCATATAAGTGTGTGTGTGTGTGTGTGTGTGTGTGTGTGTGTGTGTGTGTGTGTGACTGGTATCAATGTCCACTTCTTATATCAGATCTATCGCACCAAATCGACTGGTGGAGAAGCCAGAGGGCTAAAAGACGTAGTCCTTGAAAACACCAACTCTTTGCCAGATTTGACCGGTGAGTCTCTTGGGGGACAAAGAGTTTGCTCTAATTATATATATATTTTTAAAGTATTGTTTTAGTGTTTTATCATTTGTTGTTGTATGACTTAGTATGGCTCGATTTACAAACTGTGTATACAGCAGTGGTTATTTTAAAGTGCTCTCTAAATACTGCTGAGTTGAGTAAAAATACTGTAAACGCATGATGAGACGAACAATATGACCAAATGCACAATTTTATTGAATAAACAGTATGAATCATGTGCTCTTTTTAATCAGATGAAAACAGCAACCAGAGCTTTCTGTCTGACGTTTATCATCCGAAAATGGATAACAGCAGCAGCAACTCTAGCTCGCAGCAGGTCAGCCCGCCGCACACCTCCAGCCTCCGAACTGAAGACTCCCAACCACCAATGCTTGGTCAGGAGAGTGTGGATGGTATGTCAATGACTTTCTCATGGATCAACACAATTGTATGCATGTTAATGTTTGTCTGCTCGAATTTTCCTGATGTATGTATTAATACTTATCAAATAAAGAAATACTTGTTTTGGTTTTGTTTTGTTTAGACTTTCTTTCTTCAAGACGTTATTTATTATGTTGTCCCCCAATGAATCCAGATCCGGTTCACTCTGGAAGGGATGGAGCAGATGAGCCTCCAACTCTGATCAAGGAGGATCTTCTGTCATCAGGAAGTGCCAGACGAAGCACCACACGCACACAGGTTTCATACTACTTTCCGATAAAGTGGTTGCAATACCCATAGAAACATTTTTCTCAGTTACATTATGTAAAGGTGATGTTCAGTCACCACAGTCACCATTTTTCCCCATTTTACAGGACGAATCTGAGGAATCGGGAGCACCTTCTTTAAAGAAGATTTGCACAGGAGAAAATGCTGTGTTAAGATAGTGTACTATGTGAAGATGCACACAAAACCTATCCGCAGTTATTTTTACTTCAGCTAAGTGTTCAACATTCAGGTGTTAAGTCTCTGTAGTATGCTTCATTTGGAACACCTGCACAATCTAATCTGTTCTGTATCTGAGGTCCACGGTTACTAGTACAGAAAAAGATTTAAATGACTTTTATCCTTTAAAAATATTTATGTTTTGACTGTACGTTTATGATATATGGTCTCTGTACACTGTCGTCTCTTGTTCCATGCACACAGAGCCAATCCACACATATGCACCAATTGTTTGTAGCATACTACAAGTATAGCACTCGCTGTCAAGCGGGAAGATTTTATGTACCAGCCTTTGGTTTAGTGTGTTGCATGTGACTACTTTGGCAATTATCTGGAAGTGGGCAAGGATCTCTCCATCAAATATTCCCAACTTCTCCATTTTTGGGCCACAGCAAAATTTTAATCTTTGACTGTTTGGTTCTCATGAAATGAGCTACGCTCATACATGCAGAGCTACACTCAAAGATATAAATATTCTGATTAAAAAAAGAACCACAAATTATGAGACTTTGTTAAAACATTTTTCATATTTGAAGACCAGTAAACCGCTTACATTATTAATGTGAATCGAACATGCTGGAGTTGGAATAACACCTTGGGAACATGAAATTTATTCTGTCAAGGAGTTTCACAACAGCAATGTTGTTTTGCTTGTCTGTCCATTTACTGAAACCCATCATGCACATCTGTCTGAGAGGGGATAATAGCTGGCCTATGGCCCAGTATGAAAGTTTTGCAGTCCAGTTGAAGGGTCAGCTTTTAAAGTGAGATAGATGCTAAGCTACCAATTGTCAAATGTACAGTATTAATTTATTCGTATAGTATTATTGTAGTTCACAGCAGTGTTTAGCTCATTTACATCATATAAAGAGGCAATTGTGGTGTTTTGGTCATCTTAGCTGCACTACAGTAGAATAATAAAGACACCTCATTGTGATGAGTGCAGTTTTACATTGCGACATACAAGCCCTTTAATCAGCACTTGTTAATGTATTTGGCACTGTACAAAAACTAAGCATTATTTTCTTTGTGACGACTGGGTTTTTGGTTATTATCGTGTGATTGTGAAACACCTAATACTGTAGTGTGGTTGGTAAGTGTACATAGCACAGTAGTGCTATTCATTGCTATCTTGCAAGTGATAATGCAACATTCCCCGCTAAACTTAAAACTTGTTGACTTATTTTTAAACTGATGAACACGTACAGTGTACTGTGCTTGGCGTTTTGAGTACTGTAAAAGCCATATTTGGAAGCTATATATATCTCTTAAGTGTCTTAATGCTGTTGATGTATGCCTTTGCATATTTCACAATCATTTTTCGTCATAGTACACTTTGGAAGTGAGTTACACGTGTAGCCTATGCGTTTATACACAGCAAAAATTATGTGTGTGTATTATATATATATATATATATATATATATATATATATATATAGTGTGTGTGTGTCTGCATGCCTCTCTCTCTCTCTCTCTCTCTCTCTCTCTATATATACTGTATATATGTTTGTGTGTCTCTCGCTCGCTCGCCTTCTCTGTGCCTGCCTGTATATCCGGGTTTATAACAGATGTTAACCATAATAAACGTTACATTTCAATTCAATTTAATCATACTATGAGACCATCACTGCATTAAATATGATGGCAGTGCTTTTCCTATTTTATGAAACAATTTGATTATCAAGCGCATTCTTATTTGTAACAAGCCAAACTATGCTTAGTTTAGCAATGTGTTTTATGATTGTGCTGAAATCGTAATTGAACTGCTTGATTTGCGATGAAAGCGTGTTCTAACTGTACTGTGTTAACAATGAACGTTCAATGGCAACCAATAAGACGTCACTTCCGGACAGTTTGACGAGGGCGCCTCGCGAAGAGAGCCAATAGCTGACAAGTGAAGGCGTGGTCGAATTGTTACGCCGCTTGCTGCCGGGGAAACGGGAGATTTTAGTGCGAAATTGTGCCGGCGTCGAGAAACTCCCGCCATTTCGACAAGGAATCAACCTCTTAGAGACATTATTTTAAACAACTTACAACATTTTGGTTTTTTTGTTTTCTCTCAGAACGATCAGTAGATAAGTGGAAAAAAGACCCGAGATCACCTCGGCTTCTAACAGTCGAGTAAACGAGTGAATTGTTCTGCGCGCCAGATCTCCCGCTGCTCCGGACTGTGAGCTCTGCCCGCGAATTGGACTCGGGGCTTGGATTGCCTCCTGACAGCTCAACCGGGAAGGAAAAAGTTCGCCAAATACTTCGACACAAGAATAAAAACCGTCTGTTTATCCGGGACCTTGCTTGGAATAGCTATGGCGTCACTGCTAAAGCAGCGAAGAGGATTTCGATGAGGAGGCGAGGACGGCACACTGTTTTGTTTTGCAACGGAATAGCAATCCGGGCCGCTATCTAGCCGGCTAGCTGCTACACGTTGACTTCTTCTAGGCCTACCGGTGAAAACTTGATACATGCTATCAGGCGGGATACAGACAAAGGTCATATTTTACATCCGAGTGTTAAAGTGATTATTTCGTTGCACAGTAGCCATTTGATTTACAATGGCGCCTCTTTTGGGCCGGAAGCCTTACCCATTAGCTAAGCCGTTAGCCGAGCCGCTAGGCCCAGGAGAGGAGGTCTACATCGTCGAGCACACCAAGGAGGCCTTCAGGAACAAAGAGTATCCTTTAAACGTGATGCTGGTCTTCATTGGAGCCGTACACCAGGAGCTATTTGCTCATCTTGTCCCTTGATGGGGTATTCTACACCACACATTCCATGTGCAAATGTGCGGGTCTGTGTATAGGGTTCATTTGTTCGATGCTGACATTTACCACCGTTTTAGCATTTCCTCGTGCACTGTTACTTCTCGTTGGCAAGCAGGTTAGCCTATACAGACATGTGCTACAAACAACAAATTCCCGACCCTTAGCGTCAGATGGATTTATATATTCATTCAGTTGGCAAGTGGTTTTGGCAAATGTCCACTTCTACTCTTAGCTTCTGCGAATTTGTTGTCGACCATCATCGCAGCCGGGTATGCTAGTCCAATGCTAATGTTGGTGTTATGTCACAATAGCCTGATCATATCTGTCAATGCAAAGTCTCAAGTGTGATTTTGCAAACGTAAATTGCCACGAGAGGCGTGTTCATGGCTGAAGGAAGTAGTTTTTTTGGACACCAAGTCTCCATAGATGGTCTACACACTTGCAGTTGGATAAGCTACAGATGAGCTATAGCACTTGAAATTCACACACTGTAAAACAATTAGATACAGTACTTAATGACAATACAATATCAGACTTTACTCTCCACTTTTAAGGATTCTAGACTATTTGTTCATAAAATCAAACGTACACCCAAGTGATTATCACGTTCATTATTTGTGTCTTTGTATTTATTTATTTATTTTTTGGCTGATAAGGTTTGTGAACACACAAATTCTTGATGGTTCATATATACACAAGTTGTCCTTGACAAAATAACAATAGTGAATATGAGGCCCGCTTGAGGAGGTATGAAGAGCGCATCTGGACGTGCAAAAGTACTGGTAGCATTCAGCTGACACACAAAGAAGCATGGGAGGAGGAACAGGAAGTCACAGAATTGTAAGTATCGATTCTCACACGTTTGTTTCCGAGTTACTTTGTTAATATTCGGAGTTGTACTGGTATTCCTCTGCCCCATACAGATTCTTCCAGCAGATATCCTGATGAGATTAATCTGTAAATAACTTGGATGCAGTGTTTCAGTTTGTGTCACACAATCTCCAGTTATTGCTAATTGTAAAGTCAATTTCGTGACAGTATCTCACAAGTGTGAAAACAAAAGCCATACACTCAGACCAGTGAAGGCCATGATCTTGCGGCTGTGCTGTGATTGGATAAAGTTGGTGTGCCACCTCTTTCTATTTTGGAGGATGTGCGTGTGATTGAGTCATCCTAACTCTGCTCTGGTCTTAGAAAAGCTAACTTATTGGAATCAGCAACATGGAAATAGAAACAAAATTTACACTATTAACAATTAACAGTATGGAGTTATCAGACAAGAACCGCATGTGCAGTAATGATATGTCATGACAAAGCAAAGAGCAATGCAGACATGCAGAAGTTGCTCCAGACCAGGAGCTGTACTTAAAATAATACTAATTGATACTCCTTCTGCTCCCAAGCGCCTGCTTTTGTTGGGAAATATATTTTAATTGTAAACCAGTGTTGCAAATAAATAGACTCTTCTATATGTGCATTTATATAAAAGCCAACCGAGGTAATTAGAGGTTGTAGTTTGTTTTGTAAGAGGTAAGTAGCTCATTTTTGTGGATGTAAAAATATCCCCACTCAGGTCAACATTAAAAATAGATTCCGCATTAATTGTTTGACTACAGGTTTTGTTTATTTGCATTCTTGAAAAGTTCCACCTACAGGCGACAGACAACATATCAAAACAATTCCTATTTACCTGAAGCTGCAACAAACATCAGAAGGAACTCGTTGCTTTCACACTGACCAGCTGAGTTGCTATTTACCCATCTTGTTATATTGTGTCTAAGGAGCAATGTCAGATGGGGGTTTCTACGGGATGATAATGCTAGCATTTCAAAAAGCGCTTATTCCAGAGGCCCTTTTTAAAAGTTGAATAATAGCTAATAGTTGATTCGCATCGTTATGCAAATGAGAAGCCAAAGGACATATTTTTTCCCCCTTCATATTTAAAACCAATTTTGTTTGATCAATTAAGTAGGAACTTGGGCCCAGCGGAAATGAGAAGTAATGAGGTGGTCACGGGCTTGGACTCATCTACAGCCAAGCCTCTTACTGTATGTCATTGTGTGTTTGTATAAACAATAAACACGACATGGGTGTTCTCCAATATTGCACACTGATAAAGTGGGTGGTCTCAGGTCACAGTGGAAATGACTTTTTCTTTGCTTTATTCCAAGCCAACTTGGCATCAATATTATGTGTAGGCTGTTAGGTCAATTTTTTTTACACTGTTACATTGAACACTGTCCACGTGTTTGAAAAGAGATTTTGCAACCCCTACAGGCCAAATTCAGTATTGAATGTATGGTTGGGGAAAATTCCTTGTCATCAAATACAATGTGATAGCAACCACAGAAATTGATTCATGGTGTTTATGAAAATATTTCACTGTACTTTTTCAGAGCCCTATTCCTAAACTTTGATGTAATTTGACACGATTGTTCTAGTTGTATTATGTAATGTGGGTGAACGACATTTGTTTGTTTGTTTCCAACTACAAAAAGGGCTATCTTTTGTATCTGTGCAGGCTTCAGGAAGAATATCCTCACTGGTTTGAGAAGCCCATCCTGAAGATGGTTCACCACAACACAGTGTCATTGGACAAACTAGTTGAAATGGCCTGGGTAGAAATTCTCACTAAGTATGCTGTTGACGAAGAGTGTGACTTCACGGTCAGTTTAATCTGCGGTTATTTCTTTTCCGTTTTGTAAACTAGTTCCTTTTAAGTGTTGATTTCTTTAATCTGCATAATTCAATAATCAGAAATGTGATTAATATCTTGATGCTTGCTAAGATACTCTCAAACATAATTTAATATAGGTGAGCCAAGACAAAAGTTTACGAGCGAAGGTGGCAAAGATTCATCCCCTTGAACACCCTGAAGGTGAAGCTGGAGAGAAGAAGCTTGAAGGTGCCTGTGATTCTCCCTCCAGTGACAAAGAGAATACCAGTCAAGAGAACCAGAGGAAGGAACCAACCCGTAGAGAGGAGGAGAGTAGGAGAGAGACCCTCTGTAAGTTTAAACAATAACAGCTGAACAAGTTGAAATTCCTATTGTAGCGAGGGGACAGTGACAATGCAATGTTAATTGCACACACACACACACACACACACACACACACACACACACCATTGTTTGGGGGAGGGGCGACATGGCTCAGTGGTAGAGTGGTTGTTTCCCAATCCAGAGGTTGATGGTTTGCTCCCTAGTCATTGCGACCATGTCGAAGTGTCCTTGAGCAAGATACTGAACCCCCAGTTGCCCCTGATGCTGCGTCATCAGTAAGTGAATGTGGTAACAGGGTAAAGTGCTTTGAGTACCTAAGGTAGAAAAGCTCTATATATAAGTGACAGCCCATTTCCTTTTTTTATTTATTTTTTTTCCACTGCGGCATTCATCTCCTTTTAAAAACAATTTCTGGCTGTTACTTCAGCCTTCATCAGAGCTGTCCAGCTGACGGACATTTGTTTTAGAGATGCAGGTATTCCAGTCAATGTTCAGTGGGATATGATCTGTAATATATTGTATATTGAGGTACGTACCTTTGAGCAAGGCATCAAGTCCCTTCGAATACAGCTTATGGGTCGGCACGCTTTTTGGGTCTGATCACTATGACTCTTTACATGCCAGTGTTGCTTCAGTGTTTGTGACATTGGATTCTTCTTTCAGGTGAGAGAGCACGGCGTTCACCAAGAAAACTTCCCACTGCCATGAAGGAAGAAAAGAAGAGGTGGGCAATTCCCAAATTCCTTCCTCATAAATATGACGTCAAGCTCGTCAGTGAGGACAAGGTTTGTATGTCTCCACACACACACACACACACACACACACACAACAAAGATGATGTGTGCTTTTGGGTAAGGGGGGCAATGAGGATACAATGATTATCAGCTCATTAACTTTTATTTGGTCTTTGAAATGTTTTGTTGCACACTAAAATGAGACAAATCTTTCTGACCGGTGCCACAGGTAATTAGTGATGTGCCAGCAGATAGTCTTTTCAGAACAGAGCGCCCGCCAACCAAAGAGATCATCCGTTACTTCATCAGACACTATGCACAGAGGCTCGGCATGGGGGAGAGTGCACCCTGGGTGGTTGAAGATGAATTAGTGAAAAAATTTAATTTGCCCAGTAAATTCAGTGACTTTCTTCTCGACCCACACAAGGTACGTTGCTGGTAATTTCTTCCTTATAAGGTTGTGAATGATATCAGCTCACACTCTTGTTTGGTTTCTAGTTTTTAGCTGAGAATCCTTCTGCCAAGCGCAAGAGCTTGACTTCTCCTGAAGGTAAACCTAAAAAGAGGCCAAAGACACCTGGCACACCAGGAGAGCACTTGGGAAATGAAAAAGGGGAGAAGAAAAGAAAAAACAAGAAAGATGCTCTCGTCAAGGCCCTTAGTCCCACCATCTGGGGTCACATGCAGGTAGGGTCAATTGCAATCAAACATTGACACAGTGTGATCCCATAGTTGTGGAGTGTTCCTCTTAAAAGCTTTCATTGGCTTGTGTCTTCTCTGCTTTTTCCCCCGCATAGAAAATAAAAATGAATGGTTCACCATTAAAAGTAAAGAACTCTGGATCACCCAAGAAAGGTCTTTCCGGTCCAAAATCTGTTAAAAAATCTGGAGACAAGAAGGACGGAAAGAAACCCGGAAAGGGCGGTGATAAGAATATTCTCAAAGCTTCTCGAAAAGATGCAAAAGCAAGTGCCAAGACACCAAAGATGAAGCAGATGCCCCTGCTGCATCTAGCTAAGAGCCCTGCTACAGGCAGCCCCAAAAAACGCGCCCGCAGTAGTAGTACTGGCACTCCCAAACTAGGGAAGCCATTACATCCAATGGCTCTCCACCTTCTTCGTTACTATAAGGAGAACAAGGACAAAGAGGACAAAAGGAGTGTTCTGTCGGCCCTCATCTCAAAGGCTGCAAAGGCCCTGTCACCAGATGACCGTGGCAGACTACCCGATGAGCTGAAAGAGCTGGTTGAGAAACGCTGGGAGAGATTGGAGCAAAAGAAACGCTGGGCAGCCATGAGCGAAGAGGAAAAGCAAGAAGAAATGAAGAAAAGACGCAAAGATCTCAAAGAGAAACTTCGGGAAAAAGCCAAGAAACGTCGCGAGAAGGAGATGCTACTCCGTCTTGAACAGTCGCGTCGATACGAGGACCGGGAAATCAAAGGTGGCAAGACGCTGCCGACATTTAAGCTTGTTGACATGCCCGAGGGGCTGCCGAACACCCTTTTTGGGGATGTTGCCATGGTTGTGGAATTCCTTCACTGCTACGCCGGCCTGCTTATGCCAGATGACAAGTACCCCATCACATCGACAGCTCTGATGGAATCGTTGGTCGGACTACGCTCTGGTTTCCACTACCTGAACCGTGTGCTGGTGGTGCTGCTCCAGACGCTGCTGCAAGACGAGCTTGCAGAGGGCTACAGCGAGCTTGATATCCCTTTATCTGAGATACCCCTGACCTTGCACTCTGTATCAGAGCTGGCGAGGCTGTGTTTGCGTCCTTTTGACGCACAAAGTGAAGAGAGTGGTCAGGAGTCCGTGGATCTGGCCTTGAGTGGCTTTGATGACGTGGTCACTAGCGAGTTTCTCGAGAAGCTCGAAACTGTCGAGGTGTTTGAGCTTGACCCGGAAGAAAAAGTCAGCCTGCTGGTAGCGCTGTGCCACCGCATTCTCATGACCTACTCGGTGGAAGACCATGTTGATGGCATGCAGCAACGGACCGCTGAACTGTGGAAGGAGCGCGTGGCAATGCTGAAAGAGGTCAATCGTAAGAAGGCTGAGAAGAAGAAGCAAAAAGAGGTTGAAGGCAAAGGTAAGTTGGACTTATCAAAAAACTGCGATGTGAACTGGAAAAAGGCAACTTGTTATATCTATTCTGCATTTGGTAAAACATTCCTTTTGCAACATGTCTTTTTTTTTCATGGCTCAAGATGAGAAGAAAAAAAAGAACTGCGATGTGAACTGGAAAAAGGCAACTTGTTCTATCTATTCTGCATTCGGTAAAACATTCCTTTTGCAACATGTCATTTTTTTTTCATGGCTCAAGATGAGAAGAAAAAAAAGGATGATCCAAAGAAGGAGTTCAAGAAAGAAGTCAAAGTCGAGCTGGTGGACATGATCAGCTCAGTCAAGAGCAGGCAGCTGATGAGCTTGCAGGCCAAGAGAGAAAGAGAGGAGATGGACAAACAGAACAAAGGTGAACCTTGTTTCCCATGATACTTTTCAAATCAGTCAAGTTGTCAGTTGCGATTGGATTTGAGGACTCATTTGTTTCCAAATTATCATCCCCAAGAACGCATGGAAGAGGCGGCCGAAGAAGAGAGACTACGCAGACAAAGAGCGACCGCAGAAAAGAACTTTCAGGAGGGTATTAAAAAGGCCAAACTGGTCCTGCGTAGAACTCCGCTGGGTACAGACAGAAATCATAACAGGTCAGTGAAATTATTTTAACCATTAAATAATGGTGAGTCAATTAACTATAAAAAAACAATATTAATTGATGGCCATTTGTCCAGATATTGGTTTTTCTCCGACGTGGTTCCTGGATTGTACATTGAGAAAGGCTGGGTGCATGACAGCATAGACTATAGCTATAGCTTCACACCTCCTCCTGATCCTGATGTGGACGATGAAGACGATGGTGAGGCTGCTGTCACACAAGGAAGAAAATATATTTATGTCCATAAGCACGTGCAAGTAATGTATGACTAGTCATGTTATTTTTCCACGGAAAATCAGCAAAATAGTGATGTTATGAAACTTATTTTGATCAAAATGTCTTTGTAGAGGCTGATGATAGCGGAAGTATCGATGGCACGAAAAATGACGAAGCCCAGCTGGGGGCACCAACAGACGTCTGTATAGAAACTACAATTCCTAAGCAGGGACAGAATCTCTGGTTCGTGTTTTATATTCATCTTTCTCTTTGCCTTTTGGTTTGAGAATTTGTAGAGTGTTATTACGATCATATCTGCTTTCTAATCAACAAATTTTGCCAGGTTTATATGCGACAGTCCTGCTGAACTGGAAGAGTTGGTGGACAGTCTTCATCCTCATGGAGTTCGAGAGAGTGAGCTGAAGGCAAAGATAGAAAGCAGGTGAATGAATGAATGAATGCATGCTCAAGACATAAATAGTTTACACACGCACACAACACATGTGTAAAGTGCTGTCAGATTACTTTTCAAAGGCAGTAGATGTAAATGACTCTGCACACTTTGGTACGGATAGCCCGACACAGTTGTCGTTCCTGCAGATCATTTTTCAGTAAATCAACCTTGCTCTCGTGTGTTGTTTTAGCCGGCAAAATCGCGCCTGTGGCTCTGAAGTCACTTCGTCTCATAGACCAAAATCTATGGGGGCAGATTTGTCTAAAATGTTTGTTGAAAGGAAAATGGCCTGCTGATATGCACAGTTTAAATTCAAGTATAAAATGTTGATGATCAAAAAAGGAAAACCAGTTGGTCGTTTATTATGAAGTGGAAATGTGATTTTTATTTTTATTTTTTTGTCTTCAGCATTTACTAAGATTTTTTTTTTAATCCAAATACTTGATTTTTCAATACTTTTCAGTAGGATACCCGAATACCAAATATTCGATAGCTTCAGCCCTAATGTATATCCAAATCCTATTTGTATCTGCCATGGCCCATTAGTTTCACTTACTTTTACATTGGAACTCACAAGCAAGAGCAATGGAAATAACTATGTTTCTAATGTCCTTGGCCAGGTATCAGGACATCATACACTCCATCAATCTGACCCGAAAGGACAAAGTGGGCCTTGATGTCCCTGATGAGGACACAGAGCTGCTGAAATTTTTGCGCAGTGATATTCAGGAGATAGCCTCACGCCTCCTGAAGGGTGGCTTGGGCTACTTTGACGATGAAAAGGACATA